GGACGCAGTCTCTCTTTCTCTGGCTGCCCCCGATGCCACTCCTCATCCGGTTACCTTCACCTTGGCTGCAATTAATTCTGGTAACATAATCTTCACTTACAACTTTATATGACACTAAATCAGTGCAAAGTGGGAGCTGAAATGGTGGAAAGGGGGCAGTATATTAGAGTGGAATCGGTCGGTTGAGCATGTGCGTTGTTGTGGGCGTTTCTCGGCGGCTTTACAGGCCCCAATTATGGGCTCACACACGAAATTCAACGCTTTCGGACTTCGAATTTAATTAGTTCCATTTAAAGCGCAAGATTTACGAAAACACGACCGAACAAAATGCGAATGCCGAGCGAGCGAGCATTCTTTCCGCATATTTGCACGCCAGCCGATAATTATCGCTGGAAATTCGGTCAGAGGTTGACCCACCCTCTCCAAATCTCCTTCATCTGCATGTGAGACCCTCCGAATCCACCTGATATATACGAGTGTATATACATATAGTAAATGCACTTGCAGTTGAAAGAGAAGGGGCGTGATCTGCAGCACGCACACTGCCCATTTCATTTTCACTTTGCCCAGCGGGGAGGCACCGAAAGATAACAGATTATACCTCCAGATGGGGGAATCGGAGGGCTATGGTTATGGTTCCATGTGACTGCCAGACGATTACGTGATTTCTCGAATGCCCATACATGCCACTCGGCCTCTTTGTGGGGCACAATGAATGTTTATAAGCTTTACTTTTGTCGTCCAACAGAGGAAATAAAAAAGCGCTTATTATGCACTTGCAGCCGAAATGTCGTATCATAAAATATGAATAAATTATTGTGGGGGCTTATGAGCACGAGACAGATATTATCCGGTGCATCAACTGTATCTGAAGATCTTAGTCGGATTTTTTATTTGTCTGTTGTAAATAACCCAACGTTAATCGTGTTAAATGTCATGGCTTGCACGTAAAAAGTCATTCTTTGGTGTTAAGTCACAACTTAAGATCATTTAACTTTAAATATTTTACTTTTAGCATACCTTATCCTTTATTTCAATACTTAGTTAACGGCTTGTATTGTTATGTACCTTCATATACTTACCTTCATATACTTACCTTCATATACTTACCTTCATATACTTACCTTCATATACTTACCTTCATATACTTACCTTCATATACTTACCTTCATATACATACCTTTACATACTTACCTTTTCTAAAATTATTTATACTTTCTTGGTGCATCCCAAAATTATAACTATCTTCTTGAACCCCGATGGCAGCCGTGAAATTTGGGATGAGTTCTTTTAATAAATTTCTCAAAGGGGAATTATTGCCGCGTTCCGGCAATTTCCTAAAGTCATTAGCAATTGGGAATGGCTTTGGAAATACCACTCGCGACGAGTGCAAGTGAAATGCGATGAAATGCATACCCGATTCCGGCAATTCACAACGGCGAGTGGGAAGTGGAAAGTGGGGAGTGATCCGAGGAGTGAAGGCAACGCCTCATGCCGAGCGCTTAACTTTTCGACATGTTTCGCATGTGATGAAGATTAAGTAGAAAATAATTACAAGCTGGACCTTAGCCGCAGCCAAAACTGTGTGTGTGATCGCGATCATATCGGATCGGATCGGATTGGGATGGGATGGGATGGGATGGCTTTGTGATCGGAGCGCGGCTGGAGGTAATTACATAAACGGCGATGTCAGTGCGGTGACAGGACGGCGTCATCGGAGCTCAGGGAATCTGGAACTCCAACCCGACTCCCAGCCAGTCGATCATCAATCGTGCGAACTTTCCAGGGCCCCGCCCCCTCGGAACGCGGATATCATTGCCGGCGAACCACGAACTATATACCTGTTCTCCGCGATTGCAAAAGAAACCAGCCATCCGAAAATAAAAGGGCCAAATCAGCGTGTAAGATGCCAGGTCGGACCTTTTCTGGGGCCATAAATTTTAAAGTAATTTTCTCTTAGCCCCGAATAATTTATGGGAAAATATTAAGCTGCCCCAAATACTCAAGAACCCGAAGATCCTAACCCAACAGACTTTATGCCCCAAAACTAGCCCAAATAGAGTAATTAAATAAGAGTCTGGCTTTATTCTTATTATCTCTTATCTACCACCAGTTTAACTGGGATAATCCTGGCTGGCAGTTTCGCTTTTGGTATTTCGAACTGGTTGAATTATGGGCATCCCATCCTTAAGGTCCAGGTCACGATTATCTGCATACGCAGCCGGCAATAATAATCTCAAAATTGGCGCACTTAAGCGAGGATCCCTCGGCAGGCGTAATTTGAAAGTTATTTTGTTGCCGTTGCGGTGAAATTATTGAGCAATATGCTGATCTGTAAAATCATAAATAAAAATATTTGTACTTGACCGCAGAAGGCCTGGGACTTGGATTGGGATTGGGACGCAGACCCACCTTCGCCAGCACTCGCTCCATCTTCATCTTCATCCGCAACTCATCTCCTCCCTCTGACAACTTTTATGTTATTAGGTGAGAGAGTCGCTTTCGGGGCCCAAATCGGAGCTCCACGGATCCCGGACACCGGCTCCGGATCGAGAGTCTCCGCCCGCGGCTTAACGATTGATAAAGTCTTTTTATTTACAAGCTGATAATGATGGTGTAGGTGCAGCTTTTGGCATTGCGACGGTTTTTCATGTAATTTATGAGCAAATTGCAGACGATTTTCGAGGCCCCAGCTCACGGAATATGCGGAGAGGATGGCGGGGGTCTGACCCAAAGATCTGGGGTACAGGGAGCGATACGGGTTGAGAGCGTGGTGGAGCCCAGTTAAGTGAAATGGAATATATACAAATGGAATTTATGGGAACAACCACTTATGAATGGTTGAACTCTAAAAATATTGAGAGAGTGCAGGGCCAGACTAAGAAAAATATGCTTAAATGGAATTTATGGACAAATATTGTGGAACTTATAACTGTCTTTGGTTACTCAACTGAACAGACAATTATTGAATCAAAAAAGAAGTTCCTTATAAGATTATTATTACCTTAGACTTATAATGTGCATTTTCTAGGGTCTTTCAAACGAAAGGGCCTTCTAAACCCTTTACGATGAAAATCAGAAACAACAGAGGTAAAGAACAAACATGTAAGTGATTCCCCAAAATCGGAAACAACACTTTATGGTAATTTAAATTATTCCACCTGGCTCATAGTCTTGAGTTTCAGAACCTCTAGCCTGTTTACCATTCCAATCTCATCGAGCACGCTTTAACCATGGTGACCGAAAACTATTTTGTAATATTGATAACCATCTCGATGGGGAATGGGGTCTGGGCAGGCCATTAAAGTGTCACAACAAAACGCTGAACTCATTTTTTGATATGGCACTAGGCCACAAGAAACCATAAAACAAGCAAGTTCATGGGGAGTTTATAAGGAACGGACAAAAAACAGAAGACCATGGGCACGAACTAATAACACGAATGCCTAAATGGACGAAATAGCCAAAAGTGTCAACTGCGGAAAGGGGAGGAGAACTCTGGGTAAGCCGATTATGGGCCACGACTTTTGGGAACGGAACGCACATAAAAATGTCTCTGGTGGAGATCTCCCGGAATCGTGTTAAGCATGCTCCTAGGTTCTGGCGGTATATGGCATATGGCGGTGGTGTGGATGTCACTTCTCTCTCCTCTTGTCTCTGTTGTTATTGTTTGTGTCGCTGCTGATGATTGTCATTAACATCAAATTACCACAAGTCAAAGTCATGTTCTCCAAAATAAAGCCCCAGAACTAAGATCGCAGGCCCCTTCCTCCGGCAAATCAGACAGATAGTCGGCACTTAGTTGGAAAGTTATGGAGCAGAAATGAAATGGGAGAACCACAACAAGAGAAGCGCAGGCGCAACCACAAAAATGTGGGGAAAAAGGGTTAAGAGAAGATATCAGCCGCACCAGAGAATTCCTTGCATTCTGATGGAGATGGTGGCTCTCGGTTACACCTTGTTGACCATCGGGACAAATCTGTTATGACACCTGAGTTTGAGCTTAAGGTTTTCAGAAGGTGGGAGAAATAGCAAGCTGTTTGTGTACAAGGGTACAAAGGTTATTCATTTATAACCACCTAAAGAAATAATAATAAATGTAATTCTACTTTTATAAATCTGATGGTATACAGAAAAAATATTTTATAATAAACCTTTTTTTCCGATACTTGATATATTATATTTCCAACAGATTATAATATTTGAATAATAAATTAATATGACATACGCCTCGAGTTTAATCAACAACTCCAAAATATTGATACAAAATAAACTAATATGATCACAACAAAAAAAATAACAAATTCCAAGGAAATGTTATTAAAGTTATGAAAAAAGAAATAAAAAAGAGATAAACTTAAATTCAATACAAGCCCTTTAAAGCTTTCAAATCTTGGCCACCTAATCGTGAATCCGTCAATCTCCCCCAGCTCTTTTTTTCCCCAGTCCAACTGTTTATTCTGTTTGAGACAGAGTCCCCACCTTAGTGAGATATTATCTTCGATGCGGTGATCTGCATAATCATGCTAAACACATTAAATCCATTCATAAATCTTTTTGGCAAGCACCATTCACAAAGGGAACACCTCGGTGAGAATTTTGATAATGAGATATGAGCTATTATTCATGTCCCGCGGAGCTCTCGCTCTCATTTGTATTTGTCCAGGTCTTTTGTGGGTGATAAAACCCAACTGGGGTTATTTATGAGCCGGGGACACTCGCGATACTCGCGATCTTGGGCAAGGGAATCACCAAAATAAAATCAATAAAACCAGTCGGTGGCCACAACAAGACCGAAACCGAATCAGAAATAATTTTTAAGATGCAAATTATGTAGATGAGACGAAACTTAGTGTGAGGCCAGACGAACATTTCGATTTTGGTTAAAAATGAAATTCACCTGCCCATCGAAATCATATTTCTTCTTGCCCAATCCCTCGAAGTGGAGGCGTTGGAGGCGTGGCTTTCGAATACTTGGACTTTGAAATACTTTGACTTACTGCTTGAGGAGCTGCTCGATCGCTGAAGACGCTTCCAAAACAACATTTTTTTTGGTGGCTGATAAGATCTGTCTGCTGATTGGTTTCGTTATGTGAACACGTTTGAGGTTATGCGGGTGTGGGTCTATTGCGAAATGCTGTTAACGTTTGACACCAGAAGCATTAATTATTCTCGCCTCTGATTTGCATAAAACTCTAATCACTCACTGAGAAACTGAGGAACAGAGTTCCCCAGATTTTTAGCACACGCGCCACAAATTCAAACGATGGTGAAGGTAACGCGACCGAAAGGCAACTGCAGTTGTTAAAGTCGGGGCGACAAATTGAGACATTAACACCCGGCTTCTGAAGAAAGTTATGTATATGGAGCGTTTTCGATTTTCTTTTTGTCACTGGAACTGGGACTGGTGCTGGGACTGGGTGCCCAGCTGGAGTGTCAGGTGTCACCGGAGAGGTGTGCTCAATTAGCTACCCGTTTTCTGCACTTCCGTTAAGCGCTTTCCACGCCCCTTCCTCGAGCACACGAACTCGGACTTCTGGCCCGCTCGACGGTTAATTAACGAATAAAAAGTTGCTTTTCTGTTACGAAAAAATCTCCGAGCTCGGCTTAAGCGCTGCCGCCGCTTCTTCCACGCTCCGTACAATAAAAATGAAAAAGAAAATATGTTACACCAAAACCCAGGGCGTCGCAGTCGACGGCTCAGTCAAAGCCGACGTCGAAGTCGAAGTCGGCGTTTGCCCAGCGCACATTGGGGCCAGTGGGGACATAAAACAGGTGTAAAAACCGATTTGAACGAGCGACATATACGCGTATGAAAAAGCGTATGCAAGATCGAGATAAGCTAGTGGACGGAGACACGGGTTTTATGGGTTTCCAGGGTGTGGACACAATTAGATGTTCGTAAAAAACGAGCGTTTCAGTTTCCCGGCTCAAGTTTGAGTCGGTTTGGGACAGGCTGTAAACCTGTCATATACTGTTTAGAATTATGTGGCGACCAACTATTAATTATTTCACAAAAACATATTACACAAACATTGTAAAAAACTGACTGAGCTTAATACTTAACTTGTTTACAAGCTGACAAGTCGTTTAAATGACTACTATTAATTTGATTTGCTTTATAAAGTGCAAAGTTCCCTTTTCAGGGGATCAGCTTATAAAAATTATACCTCCCAGAGTTTCTAAATCTATAAATTTGTGTAAATCAATCATTTTTTTTTATTAATGACCATGTTCTACTGGTCATAATTTACTATTTAATGTAAATACATGCTAAACTTTACGCATTTGACACTGAACATTTAAATAATATTAAATATTTACTAATATTTATTCTTATATAATTTTTACTTGATAAATAATAAATTATATTTATTCGTTTGTTGTTGAGTCGATTTTATCAGTTGTAAGTTTAAATTAATTGTTAATATAGTACTAAAAGCTGTTACAAAATTATTTTGTTTAATTAAAGCTGACACTTGTTTTGTAAATAGATTTTAATTATTTTTTGGCACCTGGAAGATGGACAGGTTAATTCAGTGTGGACTGCGCAGTCGCAGCCGACGTCGACAGCGCAGTTGGCGTTGCGTTGGTGGCGGTTCAGTGAATTTCACTGAATATATTTGTGGTTGTTGTTGTTGCTGCTCCAAAAAGTGTAACACCAACAACAACCACAACCAAAACAACAGCAACATTAACCAACAACTAGTGATCGTTGGCTCGTGCAGAGTTCATAATGCACGCAACCTGCAAGACAACCGACTATTGTTTTAGCCTGTCTTGAATATTTTTTGTAAGTTTTAGCTCTTTTTCATTGCCTGCACATTTATTGCTTAACGCTTTGATGCGTTGACGGTTCCTGCTTTGGCTCAAGCTGCCTTACCTTATTCTTCTTGGCCATCACTCGCCCGGTTGCCTCTCCATTTGACATATTGCACTTGGCTATCTCCTCACTTTGGGCCCTTTGCCTCCGTCCTCCCCATCCTCCTTTGCTGCCTGTTCATTAAGCGAATCAGCGTAGCGAAGCATAAAGCCAAATTAACATAAACAACTTCTTTCCTACTTCTACCATATATCTGCACAGAAAACAATTATTATTAGTCTTTATTCTAACAAGTCTATCAATATATCACCAAGAAACTGTACTTCTAAGCCCATAACTTTTCTTACAGACATCCGATTTCAAAGTGGCATACTTCTAAATGATTGTGGTTAAATTCTCTAAAAATCTGTGTTTTCAGTTTGTTTTGTATTTTGGGGTCGATTTTCCGTCATTTTAATGAAAAATTTTCCAAATTTACGAAAAATGGCTTAGCTGAAAAGTCACCTAAAACCTGCACTTCGAAGCCCATAACTTTTCTTACAGACATCCGATTTCAAAGTGGCATACTTCTAAATGATTGTGGTTAAGTTCTCTAAAAAACTGTGTTTTCAGTTTGTTTTGTATTTTGGGGTCGATTTTCCTTCATTTTAATGATGTTACCCCTTTCCAAATTTACGAAAAATGGCTTTGTTGAAAAGTCACCTAAAACCTGCACTTCGAAGCCCATAACTTTTCTTACAGACATCCGATTTCAAAGTGGCATACTTCTAAATGATTGTGGTTTAACTCTCTAAAAAACTGTGTTTTCAGTTTGTTTTGTATTTTGGGGTCGATTTTCCGTCATTTTAATGATGTTACCCCTTTCCAAATTTACGAAAAATGGCTTAGCTGAAAAGTCACCTAAAACCTGCACTTCGAAGCCCATAACTTTTCTTACAGACATCCGATTTCAAAGTGGCATACTTCTAAATGATTGTGGTTAAATTCTCTAAAAAACTGTGTTTTCAGTTTGTTTTGTATTTTGGTGTCGATTTTCCGTCATTTTAATGATGTTTCCCCTTTCCAAATTTACGAAAAATGGCTTTGTTGAAAAGTCACCTAAAACCTGCACTTCTAAGCCCATAACTTTTCTTACAGACATCCGATTTGAAAGTGGCATACCTCTAAATGATTGTGGTTAAATTCTCTAAAAAACTGTGTTTTCAGTTTGTTTTGTATTTTGGTGTCGATTTTCCGTCATTTTAATGATGTTACCCCTTTCCAAATTTACGAAAAATGGCTTAGCTGAAAAGTCACCTAAAACCTGCACTTCTAAGCCCATAACTTTTCTTATAGACATCCGATTTCAAAGTGGCATACTTCTAAATGATTGTGGTTAAATTCTCTAAAAATCTGTGTTTTCAGTTTGTTTTGTATTTTGGGGTCGATTTTCCGTCATTTTAATGATGTTACCCCTTTCCAAATTTACGAAAAATGGCTTTGTTGAAAAGTCACCTAAAACCTGCACTTCGAAGCCCATAACTTTTCTTACAGACATCCGATTTCAAAGTGGCATACCTCTAAATGATTGTGGTTAAATTCTCTAAAAATCTGTGTTTTCAGTTTGTTTTGTATTTTGGGGTCGATTTTCCGTCATTTTAATGATGAAAAGTCCCCTTTTCATTTTACGATTTTACGATTTTACCCCTTTCCAAATTTACGAAAAATGGCTTAGCTGAAAAGTCACCTAAAACCGGCACTTCGAAGCCCATAACTTTTCTTACAGACATCCGATTTCAAAGTGGCATACTTCTAAATGATTGTGGTTAAATTCTCTAAAAAACTGTGTTTTCAGTTTGTTTTGTATTTTGGTGTCGATTTTCCGTCATTTTAATGATGTTACCCCTTTCCAAATTTACGAAAAATGGCTTAGCTGAAAAGTCACCTAAAACCGGCACTTCGAAGCCCATAACTTTTCTTACAGACATCCGATTTCAAAGTGGCATACTTCTAAATGATTGTGGTTAAATTCTCTAAAAAACTGTGTTTTCAGTTTGTTTTGTATTTTGGGGTCGATTTTCCGTCATTTTAATGATGTTACCCCTTTCCAAATTTACGAAAAATGGCTTTGTTGAAAAGTCACCTAAAACCTGCACTTCTAAGCCCATAACTTTTCTTACAGACATCCGATTTCAAAGTGGCATACTTCTAAATGATTGTGGTTTAACTCTCTAAAAAACTGTGTTTTCAGTTTGTTTTGTATTTTGGGGTCGATTTTCCGTCATTTTAATGATGTTACCCCTTTCCAAATTTACGAAAAATGGCTTAGCTGAAAAGTCACCTAAAACCTGCACTTCTAAGCCCATAACTTTTCTTATAGACATCCGATTTCAAAGTGGCATACTTCTAAATGATTGTGGTTAAATTCTCTAAAAATCTGTGTTTTCAGTTTGTTTTGTATTTTGGGGTCGATTTTCCGTCATTTTAATGATGTTACCCCTTTCCAAATTTACGAAAAATGGCTTTGTTAAAAAGTCACCTAAAACCTGCACTTCTAAGCCCATAACTTTTCTTACAGACATCCGATTTCAAAGTGGCATACCTCTAAATGATTGTGGTTAAATTCTCTAAAAAACTGTGTTTTCAGTTTGTTTTGTATTTTGGTGTCGATTTTCCGTCATTTTAATGATGTTACCCCTTTCCAAATTTACGAAAAATGGCTTAGCTGAAAAGTCACCTAAAACCGGCACTTCGAAGCCCATAACTTTTCTTACAGACATCCGATTTCAAAGTGGCATACTTCTAAATGATTGTGGTTAAATTCTCTAAAAAACTGTGTTTTCAGTTTGTTTTGTATTTTGGGGTCGATTTTCCGTCATTTTAATGATGTTACCCCTTTCCAAATTTTCAAAAAATGGCTTTGCTGAAAAGTCACCTAAAACCTGCACTTCTAAGCCCATAACTTTTCTTACAGAAACAAACATGGTTATTATATTTTTGAAGATTTTTATTAGTTACATTTGTAGATTTAATTTTTCTTAAAATAAACAAAAAATTAATTAAAATATTGTATCAAATTATATAATTTTTTTCTGTGCACTTATGGCTTACCGCTCGCAATCGTACATATGGTTAGAGCTTCCTCCTCGCCAGCTCATCTTTCGGCCATTGTCAAGCTATGTGGCGGAATTAAAGACCCTTTACTCTCCTATTCTTCTATTGCCGCCATCGCACCGGCAATTGCTTTTGGTACGCGTCTAATTGGAATACGAATTTCATTTGCTGCTAGTTTGTAGATTGAAGTTGGTAGTCGCTTGTTATTGTGGCCGCTTGTTTTTCTTTTCTCCGGTTGGGAGGTTTTTCTTAGGACAGGTCACAGTACCAACACTCGATGATTTGTTTTCTTTATGTCGAAGCTTTCCACGGAAAGTTGTTGGTTGCATAGAAAACATTCTAAATAAAGTAATCTCCATATTTTCTTACTATGTCTTTTAGTCTTCGGAATGAGTAATGACTTATGATCCTTTAAAATAGTTTATTTATGGACTCGGCTTTCTTGAAAGTAAGTCTAACTGCCTGTTAAGTAAACCATCACTATCTCTCCAACTGTGCATCTTTAGCTTCTTGTTATGCATTATTGTTGCGTGATTTAAAATATGTGTTATAAATATTTATAAATGCAAAAAGAGAGCAGCGATGTGTAAGACTGGTAATGGAATTCCATGTTGTAACTTTAAGCACCCGTCAATGCAACTATAGCTCGTGGTAGTTATAGCAGCCACACATTATTGTGTTGCCATGTCTGCACTTGCAATAAACAAGTTGAGGAAACGCCGGCACGCGCTATTTGCCATTATTAGAGAAAATGTCGCGACCTTTGAGAAAGGATTACCGCACTGCGGACTTTGAGCAGCTCAGTAAGATGATCAAGGATCATCCGCTGATGAAGGCTCCTGAAACGGAGCAGCAGCAGTTGCAAAAGCTGCGAACGCCGGAGTATCGAACAAAGTGTGTGATGAGGGCTTCTCTGGATGACATTGCTTTGGGGGTGAGTCTTTATGATACTGGCTTTCAACGCAACGATATTTATTATCTTCCCATTTGAGATCAATCTCTATAAGCTGCAGCTGGACAAGCCGATGTCACCCACTGTTGAGGAACCGGATTACTTGAAGGAGCCGGCTCCCTCGGCCCGTTCCGCAGCCTCCGCTCGTCCACCAGCCACGCCCTTTATCAAGGTGCTGCTCCGCAAGACGCCCATGGTGGTTCTGTTCGAAAGTCGCAGCATGACCGCCTTGGCGGACACGAATGAGGGTCGTCAGGTGATGGAGGACAACAGGAAGTACGAGGAGCTGCTCTCGGGAGTCGACAAAACACGGAGGACAGTAGATGCGGATACGCAAACCATGACGGCGCTGATGAAATCAAGACTGGTAAACACCGAACGGCTGACCACCGCCCAGATGGGTTCCTATGTGTCCAACTTCGAGATGTACGACACCTACACTGACCTGGAGAAGTCCACCACGAGTGTACAGGTTCAGGGCGAAAAGAAGATGGAGATAACGACCTACCACGTGGGCGGAGTAGATCAGTTTGTGGCGATCAATAGCCTTCCCGGTTTTCGACTAGCTCTCATGTTGACCATGCGCATCCTGGCCAGCAATGTGTTTGAGCCGCAACAGCGCCGCTACAGGAATATGGCACTGCCGGATCCCTTGGCCGAGGATGTGAAGTTCAAGTACCGATTGGGACTGCTTTGGCGACTAAGTCCACCTTCTTCAAATCCAAAGGTGCATCAGGCAGTAAGCGATGTGAGCTTCTGTCCCAGTAATGGTGACATAATGGCGGTGGCCTATGGTGTTTATAGCCATGGCAAGGTTGGCAAGTTGCCCAAATCCGGATGGGTCTATGTGTGGAACATCAAGAACCCAGTGAACCCGGAAAGACGTTACAACTACCAGGTGGCAGTGGTCACAGTGGAGTTTTCACCCACACAACCTCAACTATTGGCCATCGGTTTGCATAATGGAAGCGTTGAAGTGAGGGATATTTCTGGACAAGATCTCCCTCCACTAGCCATATCCCAACGTTCATCTTCGCCCCATTTCGAGCCAGTCACCGCCATCAAATGGATATATTTCGAGGGCGATGTGGGATCCAGGAATCCCCACATCACTCCCTTTTTGGCCACCTCGCAGGCGGGAGCGGTGACCAAGTACCGGCTGATAAACAGCCCCAATCTGCTGGGATTCGAGCAGCAGCGCTTGCAGCGGGCGGAGGGCGAGCTGGAGGGGATTCCCATCGAGCGACTGCCTCCTGCGGCTTCGCTCTTGGCCAACAGGCATCCGCAGTGCTTGGAGATAGTCCTCGATCCCGTGCAGGCGGATATGTACTATGTGCTCACCGACGAGGGAACTCTCTACAAGTGCTCCACCAACTACCCACTGCAGCATCTGGAGCTGAGGCAGGTGCACGATGGGCCAGCCGCGTGCATGGAGTTCTCACCGTGGTCCCCAAGACTGTACCTCACCTGCGGGAGTGACTGGTGAGGATTACTATATGATTTTAGCAGCGTTTTCTTGGCTTTACGTATGTATTTCTTATATTTACCAGGTGCATTCGAATTTGGCTGGCGGGAATCCTTCTGCCCATTGTAACTCTGCAGCACCACCTGTCTCCGGTGCACTGCGCCCGCTGGAGTCGCACCCACTCAACCATCCTGGTTTCGCTCAGTCGCAGCACTGTGGATATCTGGGATCTGCGTAACAGCACCATGAAGCCGGTGTCCTCCACCATAATCGATGCTGATATCTTCTACTCCACCTTTAAGTGAGTTCCTTTTGATTAATCTTTTTATTCCATTTGTTAGTAACTTAATTTGTATTCCAGATTCACGCACTGCGGTCGTTCGCTGGCCGTGGGAAATGAGGCTGGCAACCTGCTCATGTTGTCCTTCGAGGACATGCCCTTCCCCCCGCACTTTCAGTACAAGCAGCTGAAACGAGCCATCTTCAAGGCTTTGGCCATGCAACCAGATCTTCGCAAGCAGGTGAAAAGCGTTGGACACTTTGGCTACCCCGGGGGAAAGAAACAAACCAGAGCTTAAGTTTCTACTTAATGTATAATTTTAACAGACAAAAATGTTTATATTTTTATAATAATAAATGGAAAATAAATAGATACTGAAAGCAAATAAAAGCAAATGTTTTTTGGTGGGTGTTTTTATAGGTGGGCGATAATAAATCTATTGTGGTTCCAATTTGCAAAATTCCTACTTTTATTCCTTTTCCTTTGAGCTTAAAAAGTTGAGAGACCTATTTCAGTTAATATCAGTTTCAGTTTAATATTCCACAAAGTAACTTTAGGTTCTTTACTGGTACTCTTGATACTCAGACACATTTCAGAACACATACATATGTGTTTCTTTCACTATTATTCTTGCCACAATTCCTTACATTACATGGCCGCAAAGCCACTTGAACACTAAAGCTCAACTTTCTTGACACCTTGAGGTCTTTTTCCTATCGGAACTAACTCATAGCCGAACAGGTCTTATCAATCACCTGCTTTTACAATGCAAATCACGGCCCGGGGTATAAGGTAGCTCCCAGTACCTTGAGCATATGATAGCCACCAAGTTCAAGCCACCGACGACGCCGACAAAGTTTGTGGTTAGCGGCGCAATGGCGATGACGACGTGGCTGACTTTCCCAGGTTTTACTGCTCATTTAGTTGAAATATAGACGTTCGCCATGCCTCATCTTCTGCGGCAGAACATGTTGTTGCCCAATCCGCCCACGGTGGTCATGCACGATCCTCGCACCCACCTGCGGCACCTGCCCCCCGCCTACAGTCCCGCCCAAACTCCGTTGAGTCGCGAACGGGACTTTGCCCCGCAGGTGCGCTATAACCTGGAGTCGCCACGTAAGCCCAAGTTCCGACCCTGCAAGGTCATCTTTGTGGGCGATTGCGCAGTGGGTAAGACCGCCATTGTCAATCGGTGAGTCTATAATAACATACTTTATGAAATTCTATTAACTTACCTATTTTCTTGCAGGTTTTGCTTCGACAAATTCCAGTCGAATTACAAAGCCACCATTGGCGTGGACTTTGAGTTGATAAACTTCAGCATTCTGGGTCACAACTATAGTCTAGAAATGTGGGCTTAATTCCCTACAATACGGTTTAAATTTAAATTATAAATATGGTTTGTTTTCAGGTGGGACACAGCTGGTCAGGAGCGATTTAAATGCATAGCTGGAGCTTATTATCGCAATGCAAGTGGTAAATATGAGATAGTGCTTAGAATGACTTTCGTACATTCAATCTATAAAAGTACAAGAGTCTGATAAGTTTCCAAAATCATTCACTAAATCTTTACTTACACTTTTTCTTGGGGTAATTAAAGTGATAGTGGTGACCTATGACATGTCGAAGCGGGATACCCTGGAATCGGCGAAAAAGTGGCTACACAGCGCACTCAACTACAACACTAGCCAAAAACCTCTCATCTTTTTAGTGGGCACAAAAGCAGATCTCTTGGTAAAATGATTTGTTAATGAAGATTATAAATAATTAAAGTATTTAATTGGCAGACGAAGGAGGAGTTTGTACGCATGGAACGATTGGCGGGATTGGTAGCTGCCGAACTCCAGGCCGAATACTGGTCCGTCTCAGCGCGTTCTGGTTTCAAAGTCACTGAATTCTTTCAAAGGATTGCTGGTTTAGCATTTGAAGAAGCTGTGAAGCAGGAACTTAAATCAATCAAAAATAATCCAAAAGAAACGGCGACTCAGTCATCAGTTAAATCGCAAACATTTGGTAAGGCTTTTTGATAAAACTTATATACCTTTGCCATTAAAAAATTTTTATTACAGATTTACGTAGCTTTTTTAGCAGTCGCTTTTCGCCTCAAAAAAATGGGTGTGCTTGTTAGCCCAGTTATTTTCCAACCAATATTCTAGTTAAAAATATGATTTTTAATTTAATGTATACAATACAACTAATATTTAATTTAGCTACGAATAATAAAAATAAGTATAATTAAATTTGTTGAATAAAAGTAAATTTTTCCAGTTTCAACGATGAAATATTTCGGAGTACTTTAACACGAATTTATATTGCGGCATACAAAAAATAAATATTAACAGGTTACCGATCTTATTTGATATCAATTTACTTAATTTTATTCTTTTTGAATTTAAATTTGAAAAGTAACAGAGTTGCCATACATTGTTTCAGCTGTGTTGCGCGCGCACAATGTTAAGATAACCTCTCCACCACCACTGTTAAGTTAATAAAAAGTTCTGTTAAGCGCACCAAAAGCGTGCTGTTAGGCGCGAAATTCCATCGATCTGGCCACCCTTCTGTCAAATCGGGCTTCCGCTTTTTGACAACTGCCCCTCAGTTTTCCTTTTCATTTCTTTTTCTCGTAGAAATGCCACCCAAAAAGCCAACCGAGAAGTCCGGTAAGGATTTTTCATATAAAAATAAACGAAAAATGCGTGAATTGATCAGCAAAAGCAAGCCGAATGCAGGGCCTACAAGCGGGAAATCAAAAAAGTGCGGAATATTGCGATTTTAAGGCAGAAATGTGTTTATACTGATGGCCGATAGTTTCGGCCACGTGCGGTGTATCTCTATAGGATTGCTTGAGTGTGTGTTCAAAAGGGCAATGTAATCTATAAGAGTGTTAAATTTAAAGTTAATGTGATTGAACGGGGTTAGTTAAATTAAAAAGCGTCTACTTGCTTTGCTGATTGATCAGGCCTAACCTAACTTCGCATGAGAAACATGTTTACTAATCTGGATTTGGTGCCCTTCTGTTTACAGCTAAGCCTGGCGACAAGAAGCCAGAGCAGAAGAAGGCTGCTGCGGCTCCCGCTGCCGGCAAGAAGGAGGCTGCTCCGGCTGCCGCCAAGCCAGCGGCTGCTGCTCCCAAGAAGGCTGCTGCCCCGGCTGCCAAGAAGCCCGCTGCCGCTGCTGCCAAGAAGCCAGCGACCGCTGGTGCTGCTGCCAAGAAGCCCACGGCCGTGAAGAAGACCGTGGCCACCAAGGCCAAGGGCAAGGATGCCAAGAAGAAGATCCTCGCCGGCAAGAAGCCCCAGTCCGTGCTGGCCAAGCTCTCCGCTAAGGCTCGTGCGGCTGCCAAGGCCAAGAAGGCTGTGAAGCCCGGCGCCAAGCTCGTCAAGGGAACCGCCAAGGCCAAGGCTGTGGCTCTGGCTAACGCCAAGAAGACCCAGAAGAAGGTATATAAATCGTGCATCCATAGGTATCTTTGATTAACCTTTTATTTCCACTCTTTTCCAACAGATCGTCAAGGGAGCCTTCGGCACTCGCGCCCGCAAGGTGCGCACCAATGTGCACTTCCGTCGGCCCACGACCCTGAAGCTGCCCAGGAGTCCCAAGTACCCCAGGAAGTCGGTGCCCACCAGGAGCCGCATGGATGCCTACAACATCATCAAGTACCCGCTCACCACCGAAGCGGCCATGAAGAAGATCGAGGACAACAACACCCTGGTCTTCCTCACTCACCTGCGCGCCAACAAGAACCACGTGCGTGCCGCAGTGCGCAAGCTCTACGACATCAAGGTGGCCAAGGTGAACGTGCTCATCCGCCCCGATGGCCAGAAGAAGGCCTATGTGCGCCTGGCGCGTGACTACGATGCTCTGGACATTGCCAACAAGATCGGCATCATATAAGCGGTGCAATCTGCGGTAAAGTGTGGAATGGGCATCGCGTTCTACATTTTATATGTAGAGTCTTTTCTATAAACAAAATATTGCTAAGCTGACACGGTAGAGCGAGGATGAACGTTTCAAAGTTGTCTGGGTATAATAAAACCACTCAAAAACTAAGTGTGGGTTTTCAATTTGGGTGGGCTTAATATTTCTTTCAGGTTTTTTCTTCTAGGCTGCATTCTTCATACCCTAACATTTGTCAAGGTGAGTTTAATGATTGGTCACTGGTAATCCTCTTGCTAACGTTGTTTTCCTTTATCGCAGACTATCCTAAAACAACAAGAACCGTATCTACAGAAAAAAAAAGGTAATTATAATTTTGGTTTATAAAAATAAACTGGAAGTAGCGAGTTGATGATATTATGAGTAGGAATCTCATTGAGCTTCAGTCATGCGTTGCTTTGAAATCAATTTTAATCTCTTCTGATAATATCATTTTTTAAACAACGATGCAATCTTTTAAAATTCCTTACTAACCATTATGTTTTATTTCAGTTGTTCCAAATATTATCTGGCTCTTGGACTACTACTTATAAAGGTGTGTATATACTTACTAATCTGCAATTTAAAAATAAGCATGTTCTGATGATATTTTGAGTAGGAATCTCATTGAGCTTCAGTCATGCGTTGCTATGAAATCAATTTCTCTTACTGATCATAAAATTTAAACAAACGACTAATATATTAAAAATCCCAAACTAATCAAGATTTATATTTTATTTCAGTAACTCCAGAGTGTATATGCATCCTCGAGGAACTTCTTAAAAAGGTGTGTATAAGTTTTGTAATACAAAATATAGATTGTAGTGATGATATTTTGAGTAGGAATCTCATTGAGCTTCAGTCATGCGTTGCTTTGAAATTAAAATTGTCTCCCACTGATCTTAAAATTATAACTATTTTGTCTTACGTTTCTAAACGAATCTAACGAGTCTCCTTTTATTTTTATCTTACAGAAATGGCTCACCAAAAGGATATAGTTTAATGTATTATTAAATTAATTGCAAAATAAGATACTCTTCAACTTATATTGAAACATTTGTAGTTTTTATTGTTGGCATTTTTAATATCTGCGAAACTGCTTCCTAAATTTGTCGTAATGGTAGTCATCTGTGGCTCGTTTGACTCCATTGGGATTAGTTTGATGCTGGGCAGACTTGTTACCGTCTCTCTCCTCCCGTTTGCGTCTCCTTTGGTCGCTGTTATCCTCGATGTTGACTGGAAATAATCGTTATTGAATATATAAATGTGCATAAAGGCTTATAAACTTACATCGATTGTGCTGCATAAAGTTGACCGCCATATTAGTGGGCACAAACTGGGAGGGACCGTCCTTTTTATTCTTAGCATCCTGCAGAAGCTTCTGCTTGGCATCCTCGGTGGCCTCTATGTTGCGGATCTTGGCCACAATGCCAAGATCAACTTCTGGGATTCCATTCAGCATTTGGTTGGACAACATCTCCTCGGATCTGTGGGAGGACGACTGCCTAAGATGGTCGGGAAGGGCGTACAAGGCGGCATCCTCAGGCGTGAGGTATTTGTTCACATCACCATCGTCCTCTGCCGTTCCTTCTGTGCCGCCTCCTTTGCGTTTTTGCAGCTCCTGTTCGATGTACTTCATCATTTCCTCGTCCTCATCACGCTTGTTTGTCTCTGCCGAGAATTGGGTGCCAATTCCCACGTCGTAGGCGTCGTCCGCCTCCTTCATCTTTCCAGATTTCAACTGCTGCATATTGACCAGACCACCAGTCTTCACATTAAAGGGATCCTTGATGGCCAGCTCCTCCTCGGGGGCTACCTTCTTGCCCAGTGCTAGACCTACTAAGCTGACGCCATTAGGTCGCTGTCTCAGGCGCTGCCTCTCCTTAATCTCATCTAGGGTCAGTCTATATAGAATTAAATTGTTGAATTGGTTAAACACATTAACGATTTAAAGGCTTACTGTTCCTCCGGATCTTCATCATCTGAATTCTTGCGTTGCCTTAGGTTTTTGCGTCCTGATTTTTTAAAGAAAACCTTGGGGGTTTCCTCAGGTTTGGTTTCTTCTTCATCACTCATGTTTATATCTTAAATTTATATTTTAGTTTTGTAATTGAAAATAAAATAAAATAAATTTGTTTACGTTTGGTTAGCAGTATGACCGTAGCGGTGGTTTTACAAATATACTCAAGATACATTTTTAAAATGAAGATTTTATAAAAAGTATATTTTTAGGAGCCAAGCGGTATATTTTTTCGAATTTTCCGCGGCCACACTGGCGGCGGCATTCTCTGCAGGAATTTCGCATATTTTGGCATAAAAAGTGTATAAAACTAAAAGAAGTAACTAGATAAAGCCCCAGCGCTCAGTTTCAAGCGTGCAGGATCGAGAACACAGGTGAGGAAACCAACCCAACTGATTGCAATCAACTTTTGCACGCACTGCAACTAAAATCGATTTTCCCTGTGCAAAACTGCAGCGCTGGTGGAGCACCCAGTGGTCGCCGGGAGACGCTGACAGTTTAGAGGGTCTCGCAGGACATCAATCAGCATGTACAACGGCATTGGACTGACCACGCCCCGTGGCTCCGGCACAAATGGCCACGTGCAGCGGAACTGGGCATGTGTGCGACCTGGGAAAAAAGACAAGGACTACCGCGCCGAGGACGACACCAAAAAGCTGGACGCCCAGCTGAACAGGCCACCTAACAAGGAAATCCTGGACCACGACCGCAAGCGCAAGATCGAAGTCAAGTGCCTGGAGTTCGAGGAGATTCTCGAGAAGCAGGGGTAAGTTGGGGATATTCGGTATTACATGTCGTGTGTAATGACAATCCGAGGTTATATAACGCCGGTTTGGGTCTGTTGCTTTCTCCTCTGTTTATGTTTACGTTGGCGCCTGGTAGCTCCCATCTGCCAACTGCCAACTGCTCTTTCCTGCAAGAGAGCGGACGCACACGCGCCGAAACGAACAATGAACAACCCCCAGACGGGTGGCGAGCCACCCTTAAGAGGGCAGGCGACCTCCACCCCCTCAGTGCGTCACATGTGAGCACTCTTCCGGTGGCCCGGACCCTGCTGGTGGTGAAAAAAGTGCATTTCAGTTGTAGAGATTATTTTGAGTGAAAGACATCCGCATGTCCGGGCAGGCGGACAAAAAATTCGAGCACTCCCTACCTAATTTAGAGTCTAGATAGTTGCAAAGTCCCATTTTAGCCTTATACATTTAATTAAGCTTGTCTAAAAGGTACAATTAAGCACTCTTAGCCTCTGAAACATATCTAATTCAACTAAATTCCATATTCGCAGACGCACACCGGAGGAAATCAAGACGCATGTGGACTCCTTTCGCCAAAAGTTAATGGGACAGGGCAAAACAGATCTGGCCAAGGATGAATTCGGACGCGTAGCGTAAGTATGACTCTTTTTTAAAAAGCTTATGTAATTTAAAATAAAACGTGCGCCAAGTGGACAAATCAATAAACGGTTTAACAAAGCGACGGTCTGGTGAAATCTCGGCCAGCTCACGACAGCTGTAAACCACATACACGGAAACACATGCGCCGCCGCAGCGCCCACTTCGCCACCCCCTTAAATCCGGGGGCCAATCACAATCGAGAAGTGGTAGAGAAAAAGCTGCTGCAAAGATTTTCCGGGATGCCCTCGGCTTTTAGTCACTTCAAGTCTTCCAAAGCCACAGCAAGTTGGCCAGCTCGCTCTGAAATCGCCGCGAAGCAATTAGATATATATATTTATACAAATTAGAAGTCTGTTAAAAAAGACCGACTAAGTGTCCTAGGCAAGGACAGCGAAAGGCGGGCGATGGAGATGGCGCAGAGGAGCCGCTGCAGAGGACCCGGAAAAAAGTGTCCGATAAACGCAGGAAAAATCAATAACCTCCCCTTCAGAAACCAGGCAGCAAATGCAGCCATAATCCTATTAATCAAAAGGGAAAACCAAATTTAAAAGCGAAGTCCCAATGACCGGGAGGGAGTGCTCGGCACCCAGGCAGCCCTTCAAGTGTGCCGGAGGAGGAGTGGAAAAGCGATTGCACCCGCTGAAGGGAATCCCAGTGGCGGCGGTGGTGGTGGTGACAGGCAGCAGCCCTTGGGCCACCCCTAAAATAAAATCAGCATTGCAACCCGCTGCCGGGCCGTGGATTAAGCGCTCATGTCGTCGTCGTTGTGTCTACTATTATAGTGGTTGTTGCAAGTGCTAGGAGTGGAGCCCCATGCAAATGGTGTCAGGCCAACCGAGGCAACACTTGATACCAAAGCCGAACGAATGCAACAAATCACTAAATAAGTCTTCCAAACATAGTCAGTAATTAATTAGTCTAAGTCGCGAAGTTGAGAAGGAAAGTACACGAAGTTGTGGCAAGCGGATTAATTCAAATAGTTATTGCATTCTGATCCAATGTCTTCTAAAATTATCCAACGTCTTCCAAAACGATAAGGATATAAGTTTAATAAAAATGAATAGGGCTTTACATAATGTAGCCCAAAATAAAAACAAATAAATGCTAATCCAACGTCTTCCAAACGTAATCGATATAATTATAACAAAAGATCTTATAAAATAACAATTTTTGTATTTATATAAAGAACAAATATTTTAAAATTCACTGTCTTCCAATAACGTGGATTTATAAATTTATTTTACAAAACAAAATAAACAAAAATAAAAATATAAATGCGTCGCGATAAAGAAATATAAAATCCACTGTCTTCCGATTATATGGATCTATAAAGTTAAAAATATATTTTTATTAAAAACCAAACGAAAAAACTGAAATCAAATTCAAGTGTTGAAATCCACTGTCTTCCGAATACATGGATTGATATGGTATAAACATTTAAATTAATTAAAAGCAAACGTTTAGAAAAAAAATAATAAATTAGTGCAAACTAATTAAGTAACAACAATTTGAATGCTTAAAACTTCGAACTATTTCGTTATCTTTAAAAACTTGTAACCACCAAAACTAAAAACATTTTATTAAGGCAATATAAGCCTTTCAATCGTGTAACCAATAACAAACACTTAAGTGAATATCTTGAAAATTGAGATATAAGAACAAGCCAACATGCTCTCCTCAGAGATCTACAGTAACACAACCACATCCACATCTGCGGCAACGGCGGCAGTGGGAGCCACAGCGGCTGCCTCGGTGGCCACTGCGACCACAACCACAACAACGATGGCAGCCACCACGGTGCAGGTGGTGAAAACTAAGAAACGCCGTAAGCGACGCAAACGCGCAGGTCATGCAATAGCCTTCACCACCGAAAAGAGCACCACCCCGCCCGGTAGCAACACGACCAGTCCGCGCCCCCAAACCGGAGAGAACCAACCCTCCGCTCCGGCTGCCACCGCCGGGGGCAGGAAGTGCAAGGCACCATACTTCCAACACGACAACCGGGAGTACCTGGCCAAGTACGAGAGCTTCCGTTTGACCGCCCACACGTGGAACTATGCGGCGGTGGCCAGGAAGTTCAAGCCCTTGCGGCCGGCGTTGGCAAGCGGCGCCAACAAGACCAGGCGACCAGCAGTCTCCAAGAGGTCGCACCCGGAATGCGCCTGCGCCTGCCAGCAAAAAGAGCCGGAGCCGGCACTTGAACCCGGTCAGCGAACAGCTGAGCACTCCATCCAGAAGGAGCTGCCTGCGTCACATGAGAAAATAAATATTGATGGCAGCGTTCTACTCGAGCTGCTTAAGTACTCCTCGAGCAGCCTGCTGGAGACACTGCTGAGAGGCGGCAGTGCGGTGGCAACAAGGTGGCTGGATAAAATAAAACCCAATTTATTTATCTATTAGTACTTTTGCTTTTTATAAAATAGTTCGTATTATTTAAAACAAGAGAGAACGCTATAGTCGGTTGCCCCGACTATCAGATACCCGTTACTCAGGTAAAGGGAGTGCGAGGGAGATGGAGATAGAAACTTTGATCACGCATAACTTTTTAACGAATGGTCCGATTTGAAAAATTTCTTCTACATTTCGATAGGTATTGATAAACACAATAAAACTGCATTTTTACTTTTCCGAAATATTTAAATTTTTAAAATCGTATCTAAGCGATTGTGGGCGTTAAAGGGGGCGTGACACCTTTTTGAAATAAACTTGCGCTGCGTAGGAACTCCTAGAATCTGCATGCAAAATGCCAATCTTCTAGCTTTTATAGTTTTCGAGATCTCAGCGTTCATACGGACAGACAGACGGACAGACGGACAGACAGACGGACAGACGGACATGGCTAGATCGACTCGGCTAGTGATCCTGAACAAGAATATATATACTTTATAGGGTCGGAAACGCTTCCTTCTACCTGTTACATACTTTTGCACGAATACAATATACCCTTTTACTCTACGAGTAACGGGTATAAAAATGTTTTAAATAGGCCATGCAATTTAATTTGTGTATATAGGTATTATTTTCATTTTAATTCACTCTTGCATTTAGTAGGGATTGATTGTATTTGCCACTAATAATTAACGCAGAATATTGGCGAACAAAACATTTGTAATAAATTAAATTCATTAATTAGTATTAATAAAATTCATTAATTTTCTACTTGCAGTGCTCGTGACACCCATCAAATAGCCGAGGCTCAGCAGCAAAAGAACGCCAAGCTGCGCGAGGCCTTCAACATATCCGAGTACTTCGTGGAGGGCAGCAGCTTCGACAGCGACCGCAAAGCGAAGGAGGACCTGGCCAAAAGCGTGGCTCTGCAAAAGGAACTGGACGCCCAGCGCGAGAGCCTGGCCGCGGCGGCAGCTGCCGCAGCAGCAGGCAAGGACAAGGAGACCGGGAAGCGGTATGCCCTAGTGCGCACTCCATCCCGCGAACGGGAGCGTGATCGCGACGGAGGCGATGCGACTGCCGCCAGCGGGGATGAGCGCGAACATGTCTCCAAATCGGACAAGAAGAAGCGCAAGAAACGCGCCAGAGAGAGGTGCGTAGACCAAATATAATATTTCACCTTATTGTTGTATTAACATAAATATTTCTTTTTCCAGTTCGGCCAGTCCTGAGCGCAAGAAGGACAAGAAGAAAAAGTCGAAGAAGCACAAGAAAGAGAGGTAAGAGTCCTGGCCGGAACACAAATCTTCAATCCTTCGACAACCGTAGTTCTGTGTTTGTTTCCTTTGCTCTTTGTTTGGACTCTACAGTCATGATTTTCGTTTTGTTCTTTATCGTACATAGTAAAATGTAAACACGTGCGCTTAGAGCGTGAAAAATGATACTATGTAACTATCAATCAACTGCTTAATACATTTTGTTTTTCGTCTCTACTCCTTCTTTTACATTGCATTTGAAACCACAAAAGGGACTCATATGAGAAAGAAAGTAAAAAGAAGCGAAAAGCCACGTACAAATGACTCACACTTAGTTTTAAACGAGCTAACACTATCCTACAAAACATAAGAACCAATCCAATCAAGCGAAATGTTTCAAATGCCTTTCTGCAATATATACTTTCGATAACCTAACACTTGCCAAGACAATCTTTTATTTGAATCTGTGTGCAGCGAGAGTGAGTAGTGTGATCAGGGATCTAAGTACGTATGGGTTGTCCACTAGCCAACACTCCACACACTTACCCACACGAAACCCAACTCAACCAAACCTAAACTAACCCCAACTGATCACAAATATTTCCCCCACAATTCGCCCATTCACATTTCCCCAAAAACTATGCCCGGCGGTAAGTAATAATTCGATTCTACAATCTATAAAAACATAGAAACTGCATTGCCAACTAAAAATACAAAACAAAACACAAGTAAATTTCTAATAGAAATTAAACCAATACAATAAACGATAAAGTTAAGAGGTCTCTCTGTGTGTTGCAAAAATTAAAAGCGAATTACTTTCTCATCTTTCTTTCTATTGTTATGATTACCTTCTATAATGTTAAGACAAAGCAATTTGCGCAGTTTTCGATGAAGGTAAAGCACTGAACCACAAGTAAACCTATTTATACATTGCTGCTAACCAGTATTTTGGAGCTCTAGGGCTACCGAAAGCGCCTTGTCCAATCTGTGTGTCGTAGCAAGCACCTGAACACTTTTAAATAGCTGACAAAAAAGCGTGATTGTGGATCCACTAATCCTAAATGGGACCTAACCTTCTACTTGCAGTAAGTCAAAGAAGAAAAAGTCGCGTAAGCGCAAGCACAGCGAGAGTGGCCGGGATAGCGACAAGGATAGTGATGACGAGGATGATAGCAGCGAGGAGGAGCGGCGCGAGTCGAAGAGTGCCCGAAAAAAAGCCAAGAAGGACAAGGTATGCAAGGGTTAGGACCCTAAACCTGTTGCTCTAATGCTATCGATTGTACGTGGAGAAAGGTGTGAGGAGAGAAAGCCAATGACCGGAGGTGGAGTGCATGTTTCGTTGGCCGAACACTGAAGACATGTCCATTTAACATGTATGAGATTGTATAAAACAAACTCTCCAATAAATAGTCCAGTTCTGACGCTCTTTCTCCAATACACCACCCCGCCAATATTGTAACATATGCAGATATATCTATTCCTTTATTGTACGACTCATCCTTTGACTAACAACCAACTAATTATTACGTCTGACCAAAAAATCCGAATGGAAGTACTGCCTCTTTCTCTCTATATATTAATAATATTATTACCTGTATATGATGATATCTCGTTTGACTTTTCGTTTCGTTGTTTCAATTGTTCACCAAATATTAAACATACGCCATTTCTTCTCTTGCTTATTTACTTCTTTTTCCACCAAATAAAACATTCAAAATAACGATTGACAAAATAACCAAGTACTGAACTATAATCCTGCATATAATACGTTCTCTACCTTATAAATACTAAAGCATACAACTTAATTAGTAAACAAAAAATTACCAAAAATCACCCACAAATATTGTAAAAGGTAAAAAGGCTTCAAACGCATTCTAGTATAATCTCTTGATTTCTTTTTGAATACTTTACCTTTTCTTTTATTCCTATAGATGCTTAGAAGAAAGTCATTGTTATAAAGAGGCCATCCACATGAAAGCAAACAATATGTATTCGAAAGTATAATTTAAAGAACTGTGAATGGCCTCTAAATCTGTTTTGATTTTCAACTTTTTTTGAAATTATTTTCAACGATTTTCAGTTACACGTAGATCGTTTTTCCAACAAAATCAAACCAATTAATTTAAGTAAATTCAAGAAACGAAAAGAAATTTATATTTTGTTTATGAAAACCCTTGGCGCTTCATTGATATAGGATAGCTTTCAATGGCTCTCTTGTAGTTTTGTAAGTACTTTCATTTGACTGTTTTCTTTAAGCTACTAATAACAACCATATGATACCTAGTGCGAAGTGATAGCCGATCAAAACTCTTGTACAAATGCAGAAAAAAGCGAAAGCAAATCTGTTTCCAGTCCTAGAGAGAATGCTTGCGAAAGTCAAACGCTGCAAAATTTTAAGCACCAAACTCGAACTTCATATGTCTATCATGCCATAAAGAATGAATTATGTTTGACATTACTGCTAACAGTTAGACTCTTAGCAAAAGCGCCTAACATTTTAGTCGGTCCACTAACACTTCATACTCTTTTATTATGCAGAAAAAGCGTGACAAGAAGCTGAAAAAGAAGTCACGTGCCCGTGCCAGCTCCACGGATTCGGAGCGCCCAAAGTAAGTTGAGATTTACGGCTAACCAAGAACCTAGAGATTAATTATGCATTGTTTAGCTCTCCTGCGCGCAAGGAGAATAAATCGGACAAGTCCCGCGGAGGGAAATCATCCAAGGCCAATGAGAAGGCTTCGCAGCAGGACAATGCCACCCGCAGTCGATCTCGCGAGCGTCGTAAGGACACGAAGACCAGGCCACACGAATCTCCCATGGACAATCGACTTCCGAAGGCGCGGGAACGGTCAGCGGCCACTCCGCCACGAAAGGAGCCCGAAAGGCAGCGAGAACGCTCAAAGGACAAACATCGGTCTAGGGAAAGACAAAGGTCAAGGGAAAGGCAGCGATCTAGGGAAAGGCAGCGATCTAAGGAAAGGCAGCAATCCACGGAAAGGCACCGATCCAAGGAGAGGCAGCGATCTAAGGAACGGAAGCGATCTAAGCAAAGGCAGCAATCCAAGGAAAAACAGCGATCCAAGGAAAGGCAGCGATCCAAGGAAAGGCACCAATCCAAGGAACGGCAGCAATCCAAGGAAAGGCAGCGATCCAAGGAAAGGCAGCGATCAAAGGAAAGACAGCGATCGAAGGAAAGGCAGCGATCGAAAGAAAGACTGCGGTCCATTTCCAAGGAGAGACACCGATCCAGGGAAAGGCAGCGTTCCAAGTCCAAGAATAAACAACAATCTAAGGATAAGAAACAGTCGGTGATCAAAAGGCGAGACAGATCAAAAGACCGTTCAAAGGAAAATAAGCGTTCAAACGAGAGGCAAAGATCAAAGGAGAGGCAACGTTCTAAGGAAAGACATAGATCAAAGGACAGGCAACTATCCAAAGAAAGACTACGTTCCAAGGAGAGACCACGTTCAAAGGAGAGACTACGTTCCAAGGAGAGACTACGTTCCAAGGAGAGGCTACGCTCCAAGGAACGGCAACTTTCCAAGGAACGGCAACGATCCAAGGACCGGAAACGTTCCAAGGAACGGCAACGATCTAAGGAAAAGCACCGCTCCAAGGAGAGACGTTCTAAGGAAAAGCACGGCTCCAAGGAGAGGCAACGTTCCAGGGAACGTCCTGCCAAGGAATCTCGAGCCATAAACTCACCCAAGGAACGCAGTCCCAAAAAGAAAGACGACCGCCGTCAGCGATCTCCTTCCATCGGAAGCAGAAAGCAAACCGATGATCGCCGTCAGCGATCTCCTTCCATCGGAAGCAGGAAGCAAACCGATGACACTAAGTTAAGGCGCGACTCCCGATCCCGATCGCCAGCCCATTCCCCAGAGGTGCCGCCCAAGAAGACGGTGCCTACACCAGCCTTCAATCCCTTCAAGGCGGCCGAGGACACTGTTAACGATATCCTGGGCACGAAGTCGGTGATAGTGGCCCTGGAGCAGTCCAAGCGCCAGAGGGCGGCCTCCAGCTCGAGCTCGGATTCCGACAGTTCCAGTAGTAGCTCGTCGGCCTCCCGGACGCCATCGCCTAAACCCACTCCGAAAAAACACAAGAGGAGGAGCAGGACACCAGAACCAAAGGAGGTAAAGAAGGAGGCCAGTCCCAAGAAAGAGCGCCGCAAGAGTGTGAAACGGGAGCGATCCACCTCCCCGCGAATTCCCAAGCCAAAGAGCAAGGTGGTCGAACCGAGTCCCAAGCCAGCGAGGCGTCGTTCTCGCTCGAGTTCCTCGGAGCTGCGCTACTCGCCTGCAGAACGGCATCCAGAGCGCTACCAGGACATCATTCAGGACAAGAAGCGGTCATCCAAGGCTAGGGAAGCACCGACGACAAAGCCTGCTCCAGTGGTGCGCCTGAGGGCACAAAGCGACGATGGCAGCGATGCTGAAACAGGAGTAGATGGCACCGCTTTGGAGGAATTCCAGCAGAGCAGGCGGGAGCACGAGGAACAGCAAGAACTGCGCATGCTGGAGCAGCTAAAGTCCGGGATCGCGGCGAAGGCCAAGCAAAAGATCAGGATCATGGAGAAGGACCCGGCCAAGGAGGGCAGCGAAGTAAGTGGCAGCGACCTAGTGACGGCTACTAAACGTAACTCGCTAAGCGAATTCCTTGTTGCTAACAATGTGACCGCATTGATTAACCCACTGACAACGACCACGCTAACGCTGACAACCACGCCCCCGCCGCCCTTGGCGGTGATCCTGCCGCTGGAGCAGCACAAGGAGCAGGTGCAGCTGCGGGATCCAGACCGGGAGCTGCCCGTGACTGTGGAGGAGCCGCTCAACAAAAGGGACGCCAGCACACCGCCCATTTGCAAGACGCCCCACGTGGCGGCGAATGGCGAGGCCAGGAGTCCGACAGTGGGTTACAAAATCCACCTGCACCAAAGGCCGCCTCCACAGCACCTGCACCAGCAGCACCACCAGCCGCATCAGCAGCAACATCCGCAGCAGCATCCCTCGGGGAAGCGCATCTTCCACAACCGCACGCTGAACAATAACCCTAACAGTAGACATAGTACTAACAACCCTCATGCATGTGGTGGTGGCGGGGTCCCTCATTCGAATCCCAACAGTAGCACTGGCAGCGGCAACAGCAGCAACAACCCGGGCATGCTGCCCTTCCTGGCGGGCACGCCGGGCACCTACAACCGCACCACCAACCGCCTCAACCACGGTCCCCTGCTGACCGCCACCCACTACAACATCTGCAAGAACCACCAGCACAGTCTGCAGCAGCAGCAGGCGCATCACCTGGCCCGTGGCCTGGTCTACAACTCGGCTCTGTTCGGACACGGACCCCGGCACCCGGGACTCCTGTCCCTGGCTGGAGTCGGTGTGGGCGTGGGTGGGCAGGGTGGCCCGCTGCTGGGGCACCCGCCGCATGTCCGGGGTGGTGGCGGTCCCATTAGCTTCAATGCGGCGGCAGCGGCCGCGGCCGTGGCTGCCAATAGTATTAGCTACCATCATCATCATCATCAACACCAACAAAAACCGAAAATTGTTATAAAACCCTTCAAAATTCACGATCCACAGCCCCTAGTCGCAGCGCTCGCGGACAGCTCGCTGGTGGACGCCATCGTCTCCAAGGTTTCCACGGCCACCGTGGCGGCGGCAGCGGCGGCGGAGAGTGCGGCTCGCAGGAGCAGGAGTCGCGAGCGTCGAAGCCGCAGTCGGAGCAAGCGGCGCACCAGCGGAAGCCACCATCGCCATCACTCCAGCAGCCGCTCGAGATCGTAAGTAAAAATTCAAAACTAATTCCACTACCATTTTTTTTTTAAATATGTTGATACGAAAGTTTATGGAAATTGGGATAACATTTTAAAGTAAAATATCACGAAATGAATAGGTTTTTCAAAATACCTTTTCCACATTTTCTAAAATGACTGCCGAAAAGTCACCTAAACCCTGCACTTCTAAGCCCATAACTTTTCTTACAGACATCCGATTTACAAATGGCATACTTCGAAATGATTGTGGTTTAACTCTCTAAAAAACTGTGTTTTCAGTTTGTTTTGAATATTGGGGTCGATTTTCCGTCATTTTAATGATGTTACCCCTTTCCAAATTTACGAAAAATGGCTTTGTTGAAAAGTCACCTAAAACCTGCACTTCGAAGCCCATAACTTTTCTTACAGACATCCGATTTCAAAGTGGCATACTTCTAAATGATTGTGGTTTAACTCTCCAAAAAACTGTGTTTTCAGTTTGTTTTGTATTTTGGGGTCGATTTTCCGTCATTTTAATGATGTTGCCCCTTTCCAAATTTACGAAAAATGGCTTTGTTGAAAAGTCACCTAAAACCTGCACTTCTAAGACCATAACTTTTCTTACAGACATCCGATTTCAAAGTGGCATACTTCTAAATGATTGTGGTTAAATTCTATAAAAATCTGTGTTTTCAGTTTGTTTTGTATTTTGGGGTCGATTTTCCGTCATTTTAATGATGTTACCCCTTTCCAAATTTACGAAAAATGGCTTTGCTGAAAAGTCACCCAAAACCTGCACTTCTAAGCCCATAACTTTTCTTACAGACATCCGATTTACAAATCGCTTACTTCAAAATGATTGTGGTTTAACTCTCTAAAAAACTGTGTTTTTAGTTTGTGTTGAATTTTGGGGTCGATTTTCCGTCATTTTAATGATGTTACCCCTTTCCAAATTTACGAAAAATGGCTTTGCTGAAAAGTCACCTAAAACCTGCACTTCGAAGCCCATAACTTTTCTTACAGACATCTGATTTCAAAGTGACATACCTCTTAAGACTTGTGGTTTGGTTTTTTAATAATCTGCATTCAAATTTTTTAATTTATCTTTGATAATTTTTATAACGACTTCAACGAGGTTACCCATTCCAATAAATAAGAAAAATAGTAGTATAGGCGCAATCCTCTTCTAATTTGAACCACTATTTGCCACCAAAAAAGCATGATTTGTGAAATCTATTAATATGTACTCATGCTGTATCCCATCTCTCTTTCCAGGCGGTATAGCTCATCCAGCAGCCGAAGCGGATCGCGCAGTTCCAGGTCCCGCTGCGGGTCGCACTCTTCCCGCTCCAGCTGCTCATCGCACAGCAGCTCGGGCAGTTCCTCCTCCGGCAGTGGTTCGGGATCATCACAGTCAGGCTCTCGGTCCCCCTCCATCCCAAGGCGTCGCGGCTCACCAAGCTTTCTAGACAGACGTCGCATAACCAGGTAGCTAGACGGGATTCAATGTCTTTATCTGCCTTGGTTGAATAATTTGTTTATATATTAATTCCTTTATTTTATATTTTATTTCCTTAATTTCGTAGCCGTCGATCGCCGCGCAGTACAAGACGCTAGTTGATTGCCATTATCCATTATCCGCTTGAGTTGCATTGATTTGACATTTTATTTATACAACATGTAACGCCTGATTTCGTCTTAATGATTTTATTTTTTTCAGCTGGCTCAGGAATTACTTATAATTTGACTTTTTAATTATCCACCACCAACTCTCTCTCTTATATATATTTTTGTAGCTTTTCAATTGTGTCCTGTTAGTTGCTCGTAATACAGCAAAGCCGCAAATAAACTTTGTCACCTTACCGATTATATGGTTTTTTAGGATTTTATTTGATTTTTAGCCAACAATTTTATGTTCCTTACGATTTTCAGTTTGGTGAGTTATCCATTCGATATATAATTTTTTTGAAAAGGGCAAAAATCGTTTACTTATAGTATTTTATATTTACAGTGCCCGCAAGCGACCGATTCCGTATCACCACAAGGCCGCCGGTGAAGGCGAGCCGGAGGAGGTTTCCAGTTGCTGCTCCAGTTGCTTCAGCCGCGCCAGCAGTCCCACCACGCCCCTTCTAACGCCACTGCGCAACAGCCGGAGTCCCTCGATGGCCGCCTTCTGAGTGTTAACCGCCTCGCTGCGCAAGATGTGCGGCGAGTCCTGAGGCAAGACACTCGACTCCAAACCCCTCGATCAATCTCATCCTAGTCACCAGCCCAACCAGTCAGATAATCCGACTTCTAGCCCTTAAGATAGTTGTTATTCGCATTTAACTTGTTTTACACCTGCATTCCGTAGTCCTAAGTTAGTCGTCTGCCCATGAATTTACTAGCGAAATTATATTGTAGCCCCCGATATTAAGCCAATAATACTCGTTCGCCTTTGCTCGATTATTTGCTAGTTCTAAGCTGCGTTTTAATATAAATAAATTATTTGTTGCCTCTCGAAAATTGTTTTCTTTTTCTTACAAATTGTACCTTTTTGCTGCACAAACATTGGAAAAAACAGCTGATCGGTTAACACTTGCTTGGACTTCTGGTCACTTTCTGAGTGTTTCTGTTCGCCTAGTACTACAAAGTGGGAAATTGTCCACTTTGAATGGCAAAAATTAAATTTGGCCGGTCCAATTTTACAGGAAAATTTAGATTTATGGGTTTGAAAGACCAGGCGAACACAAAAATTAGTAGTTGTCCAACTTTCGTTTTTATTCAAAAAGCAAGGCCGTATTCAGAATTTTGATTGCTCCTGCTGACTACGCCTATGTGTGCTTGAATACAGGTAACGGTGAATTTTTGTAATTCTTACAACCCAGCAGCCACCTACTGGGTTTTCTGTTGGCCTGGTGTCGCAAATCAAGAAAATAACCACAAAATGGTTTTTGATAAATTTTGTGTCGAGTTGGTCCGCCAAATTTCCGATATTTCTCATTTCCAAGTACCAGGCGAGAAGAAAGTCCAGTAGGTAGCTCTGCAAACTAGAAACCCTGCAGCGCTGAAAAGTAGGCAATACAAACAAATAAGTAATTTAAGGGAAACCAATATATCCGCCAGCTTCTGTCAGTGAGCACCATGATCGGCTGCCTAAAAATATGCTACATATATGCAACACGATAATGTCCAAAATTCCTAGCCCCAAAAGTATGCAACACTTTTGTGTTTCAATTACCGTTTTCATTCAAAAACAAAAATAAATGGTTTTTATTAATGTGCTTATTTTTTCAGCTTTTTCGCAGCACTGGAAATTAAGTAAATTGTCCACTTTGAAGCCGTGAATTCAGCCCTTCCTATATGCTCTCATCGGCCTCAGAACGTTTTCTGCGAATCTTCCATTAACATTCCCTTTTGGAGAATATCTTCCTACCACGTAATAGACTCCTTCTCCGTCTTCTCATCGGCCTCAGAACGTTTTCGGCGAATCTTCCATTAACATTCCCTTTTGGAGAATATCTTCCTACCACGTAATAGACTCCTTTTCTGTCTTGGGCATAGCCAAAACCCAGTCTCTTTGTATTCTTCCAAACTACGGAAGTAAAATGTCCAGTAGCAATGCTAAACACGGGATTATTATAGTTGTATGACGGCATTTCATCATACCAAAATTGGACACATTTCACAGGATCAAGATGTCGGCACAAATTTTCACCAAATTGTCCTGCCGCCGAAGCACTTGAATGCACCAATACTCCTCTAGCCATAAGCTCCTGTTTAAGTGATTAGGTATTAAAAGTATTAAATATTTATAATAATAAAATGCGAGTACATACCCTAGCATATTGTTCAGCACCCTTGGAGAGAGAGGCGTCCAATTGCAGCGGGGGACTTCCATGCATCCTCCTCAACCGATTGTGCTCCCTTAAGGCGTCATTTTTAGGTCCAGCTTTGACCGCCACGAGCTAATGTTAGCATGGTAGATAAATGAATGATTTTTCATTAATTTCAAATATTACCAAGAAAAGAGGTAGGACTATTATAATGACCGCCGCAGCCATGTTTTCCAGTTGTTCTAAACTTTAGATTGCTCAATAGATGTCCAATCTGAGGTGATGATTTCGAACTCTTACCAGGAAACCCTTCGATTTAATCATTAAGTGTGACCGACACACTTATTTAGCATTTATGCAATTGTTTGTTTTTTGCACTTTTATATTAACAGTTAAGGGCGGTTTAGTTGTCAGAACAGCTTTAACTACCCCAACGAAAACATACTACCAAATTATGTTCGGTTGGAACGTAATAAGTGTCAATTAATTACTTCTATTAGGAAAATATAATGATGTTTTCCAAACGTTAATTTCCAAAGATTAATTAGGTAATAATATTATAAATAGTATTTAATAAAAATAAAGTTGTGGTGCTATAAATTGAACTCACTGTTTGAACTTTACACTTACAAGTTTTGGACTGGCTTTAAAAATGCATACCACTTGGTACATATGTAACTAATGGTTTGCATTTTAAATGGTACGGCTTATACATATGTACATTATTAATACGTTTATTTTTAGTACGAAAGTTTACAAAATTTAAGGTTTAACAACAGCCGGTTGATAAGGCGCCCCTTCAGTTAGTTTTAGCTTATCTGACGCTCTCGTACACTCACGGAATTTTTGCAATCCGCCGGAACGCAGGGAAGATAAAGAACTTCAAGCAGTACAACCGTAATCTAAACAGTAATTGGAATATTAAGCCAAGACAGCATGCACAAAGTTTAAAGTCTTCGTCTCCGGGAACGCTTATTTGGCGGCCTTCTCGGCTGCCAACTTCTCCTGGAAGCGACGACGCCTCTGGGCGATGTACACCACCCAAATAAAGGATATGATGGCCATGCTAATGGACCGGAACATCGGTGGCACGTAGGCGAAGTTAAGGTACACAAACAGGGAAAGATACTGCCAGTTGGCCTTAAGCAGGGGCCAATAGAGCTTTTCAACATTCTTCAGCGCTGTGTTGGGGGAGTTGCCCTGGAAAAGATTAAAGGTCAGAAAGGAATTTGACAGAAATCTGTTTAAAGAAACTCAGGTGAAGATCGCTATTGTTCTCTCTTAGCTTTAATCTCTGGAGATTAATCTGACACTTAAATCCAAAGGGTTTGCCGACTCCTACCTCGAACAGGGAAAGGAAGAACAGGGAGAGTGCCTGATAGATCGGAGCATAGACCAGTCGCTCGGACAGGAACAGGAAGAACCTCCTGAAGCGCACATCGTGGCTAAACAACCGCTCCACAGTTGTGTAGAAATAATGGGGCACACTTCCTCCGAAGATCAGGCCAAAGAGCCCGTAGGCGAAGACACTGTGCTGGTTGAGAGTCTTGGCTCCCGACAAACGCTGAGAGGTCACATTCGCCGAGGTGGCCAGAACGCATCTGCAATGGGGGGCAGCCAATAAGTGACGGGATGGACAGATAAGGAGTTCAGAGTCTTACGCCGTGATGGACTTCGTGCGAACTGGATGGTTGAAGAGCTGCTCCAGATAAGTGCCGAAGAGCGAGTACAAGGGCTTTGAGAGAACCATGTTGCCGGTGTGATAAAGATGAACCTGGGGTAAAGTGCGTAGGATTAGGATGCAGGTCAAAGTGCAAAGTGCAACTAGCCGCACTGATAACAGCACGACCGGTTTTCACTGTTTACCTAAGAACTCCAAACGTCTTGGCCGCCGATTAACAACTGAGCGTCCGCACCAACACCTGTAGACATAGGTATTAACTTTAGTTTTGTTTCTGCTAGTTCCAGCCACTATCGATAAGAGGGCCGATTTATCGGTGCAGCTATCGATTAACCGCGAGAGCTGGTCCGTCTGCAGTATTCCATTAATTTCGGCATACTTTTCCAGATTCTCATAAACTAAACCAAGTCCTGAAGATTAAGTGTTCTTCCGGCTACGATGGAGTTTCCGCCTTGTCCTCCCTCATTGAAGTCCATTCAGCACTTCTTGAAATTGGCCCAGGAGCACGACACCCGAGATGTGGTCATTGCCTACTGGGCAAGACTCTAGTAAGTACCTACAGATTGTGTTTTCCTTACCCAGTGTGTATTTACTGTTCTTTGTGTGCTCCCGGCTCTAGTGCGCTCCAGGTGGGTCTCAAGGCGTCCACCCAATCCGCTGAGGAAACCAAGTTGTTGCTCGGTAAGTAAAAATCCAATACGCATATTCCCCAACTATGACTCATCCGTGATTTGTTTTGTTTTGGTTTTCCCTTTTCAACCGTAGGCATCATGGATTGGCTTGAGCAGATGAAGAAGCAGCATACGGATAACGAGGCGTTGACCAACGAGGTTGCTGCCCAGGCTCACATCGAAAACTACGCCTTGAAACTATTCCTGTACGCCGATAAACAGGATCGAGAGGAGAACTTTGGCAAGTGGGTCACGACTGGCGACCTCTGAATCGATTTCCCTTATTCATTTTTATAATTCCTTGGCAGAAACGTCGTAAAGGCCTTCTACTCCAGCGGGGTGCTGTACGACATTCTCCAGACTTTCGGAGAGCTGAGCGAGGAGGCGCTGCACAACAGGAAGTACGCCAAGTGGAAGGCGGCTTATATCCACAATTGCCTGAAGAACGGAGAGACACCGATTCCCGGTCCCTTGCCAGATGACGATGATGAGGCGGAACTCGAGGGGGAGAATGCCAACGCCTCGGCTGACACATCGCCCGAGGATGGAGCGGGAGCAGCTGCTCCTGCCCCCTACCAACCGCAGCCGGATCCCGAGCCGCCTGCCCCCTCTTCGCCGACGGCTTCCAGCGTAGTTCCTCCCACTGCCGAGGAGGTGCTAAACAATCCAAACAAATTGCCCAGTCCGCCGGTGGACGAGGAAAAGCCAGGTGGCTTTGAGCCCTATGTGCCCACGGGTCAGCCCAATCCCGCCACAGCGGCTACCATTTACCAGCCGATCGTGCCCGTGGCCGGAGTGCAGATCACTCCCGACCAAATGATTACCGCCCAGAAGTATTGCAGGTACGCCGGAAGTGCCCTCAACTATGATGACGTAAAGACCGCGATCGAGAACCTGCAGAAGGCCCTAAAGCTACTTAGCACCGGAGCCGAGTAGGGCATACACACATATATGTATTTAGGAAACCATTCCTAGGCACAGTTATAGCTTAGAGCACCAGTATACCCAATAATCTCCCGCTAATCACGCGTTGCAAAACGAAACTATTACGAAATTCAGATTGACTGACGTTGGATAATTAATTTTAAATATGTATGAGTTGTTCAAATTTATTAAAATTGTTTCTAAAAGTCGTAATTAAGATGGTTTCGACTAAGTGCCCGTTACGAAGAGGATTTGATTACAATTTTGTTTGTTCTGGTCGTGTCTTTATGCAGTGGCTCTACAGTTTTAGTTAATATCTTGCCATCACATACAATATAATAGTTCTGTATACGATAATTATTTTGGCACCAAAGTGAAAACATGAATTTCGATTTGCTAGAATGATGTGAATGAATTTTTGACCCAAAGACGGGGCGCGCCAATTTTTTTGGAACCCAACTTAAGGTGCTAAAACAAAGCTGGATCAGTGAATGACTATGAGTATGCTGTGATGCAACGGGAGCAGGCGCCTAATCCTGCTTGACGCCGTTTGCAGGAGGCTGGGCGGCCGTCGAGGCCTCGTCCTGGAGGCGGGCGGTCTGGTACCAGACCACCAGGCGACCGCCCAGCATGAAGGTGAACACCAGCGCCGGTCCAGAGCGCTCGAAGGGATCACTTACCATCCAGTGCTGATAAATTCCCAGCAGCATCAGCACCAGCAGCGTTACATTGGCCGTATTTTTCACTTTGTCTGTGGGTAAGCAAGGAATATGTTATTATCATGGTGTAATGGAGTTTTTCCCTTAACTTACGATAGGGAATTAGAGCCATGGCCAGGCCGCAGACGATCTCCAGGATGCCAACTGTGCGCCGGTACCATTTCGAGGGGATTTTCACTCCAAAGAGGGCCGTCAACGGGAATACTTTGGCATACTTCACGTACTCTGTGCGCTGTAATCGAGAGGAAATCGGGGATATAATTAATCATGCACAGAAAGATCCCCCAGAGGAATTTGCACCGCCTGGCGGCCCAGCGGCAGGCGGTGCAGCCCGTTTATTTTTAAATGGAAGCAAGCTTTTCTTTTTGTCAAATTTGTATGCGGTTCTCTGTGTTTTTGTTGGCATCGTTGGCCCCAAGTGTTTGTGGTAATGCGAAGGTAATTACACCACTGGGAACAGCAAACAAAACAAATATTTCGAAATTCAAATGCCTTAGCTTCGGCAAAAAAGAGATTTAAAAAAACATGAGAATTGAAAGTAAAATGGCGCGTAACGAATGCAATGCCAATTTTAAAACATCAACTGCATAAAACATACGATACTTGAATAGGGTGAAGCTCAAAATAAATCTGAATTAATTCTCGAACGAAATTTAAAATTCACATCGTTGCAGAAACAATTCTGGGGTTTGTCCTTTTTTTTATATACTTCTTTTGACTGTCGACCCACCCTATTGTTTACATATAAAACTAATTCGTATACCTCAAAATGATTGAGAAGTATACGTCATGATGGTTTTGGTGTGGGAAATTGTTTACAATGCTATGTGAAATATTTTTATGGTAATGAAAACGAAATCTTTGGGCGTTGCTTTGACAAAGGTAAACAAAATATTCCCAGCAACAGCTGTTCTATAAATCTTTAGGTTTTTCAAGATATACAAGTACACGCATGTTTCTAATTTGTTTGGAGGAATTCAAAGCTATTTACAAACAAGGTGATTATTAATAAGTTTGCCAAATTCTCAAGGTTTTCTTCTTCTGAATTGTAAATGTAGGTTTCTTTTTGGACCTAAAAATTCCAAGTTAAGTTTTTTGAAAAACAATATTTTACCCAAGTTAGTTTGTCTTTTTAAGTGAACCACAATCTATTTGGACAATTAAAACGTATTTAACATCCTTTTTAAATTATCAATTAATAGAATTCCAAATGTTTGAACATCGTTCTGCGACTTTTCCACGTACAATTTTTTGAATATTTTTTGACTATTTCAATAATAAAGCATATATTTTTCCTGAAATATCTTTGAAGATCATAGCGTCTCGCGTCGTATGAATGTCAGCGATTGGCATTGATGGGGTCGAGTTCAATGCCCATTAGTCAGTCATATTTTTGAAAGGCGTTTTATTATGGGACTTTTCGTAAAATGTTTTTCCACCCATTTACATAAGAGCTTTTCAAGTGATGAACAAACTGACTTAAAACTGCCCTTTTAAACGCGGAGTAGGAAAAATCGATGGGCTGCACCCACATGACTGCAAAGAAAACAAACATGCGAAAACTCCGGCTGTATCGATTTTTCACATACCAGGTCCTTGTACAGATCCTTGCTGATGTGCGGCGTTAGCTTCAGGGTGCCCACGAAGATGAAAAACAGACCCAGCAGCACGGAGAGGCTCTTCAGTACGATCGTGTTGGAAGCAGGAGGCATCTTGGCCGATTTATGGGTAAACACTTTCGGGGCTCACAACTCGTGTATATATCCCAAGTGGGCCGCTGGGGGTTCGGAGGGGCCGGAGTTCACTGGGACCCCCTATACGACACCCTACCAAAACACACCGGTCGCTAAATTTAGACCAATCTCTCAGCTTTTCGTGCCGATTCGGACGGTGCGGAAAAGTACGGCGACCACCAACAAATTGAAGCACACAATCCGAATGTTTTCAAATCGCTGCGGTATGTATAATTTTATGAATTCTTAGTCCGCGGCGTTCCCTTCTATTTATTTCATTTTCACTCGGCGTCTTTCCGCTTTCAGTTTCGCGTTCGGAAAGAGACTGATTCAGATTCAGACCAGTTGCAAAGTTTATTTCGGCAGCATCCCAAACTGCGGAAAATCAATATATGCTCACATGCCCGGTGCTCTGCTCGAATCGAGAGTTAAGAGAGGACAGCTGGCCCACCCCGGAGAGTAAGGCGGAACGGCAGCTGGACCCACTGCTCGTCTTCCTTGGACGGTCGGGTCGGGTGGTGGTTGTTCAAAACTGGCGCAATTGAGGCCAAAGACCCCGGTCAGCAACCCTTAAGGAGTCCCAGATAAACAATCATTAGGTGAATATGAGTTGCTTCCGAAAGATGCATTTTGCAAGTTCCCAACGAATAAGGGTTCATTAATTTTGTAGCAAATTTACGCATATTTATGACGTAAATTTTGCTAAAATGGGTCAAAAATAAAAACGAGAAGGTTGGCAATTTGGTTTTTAGTTCTAAAATAATTTTAAACAAAAATCCAGAAAAAAGACCTGCATCCTTGCTCAGTTAATATAATTCAATAATCAAACTATAATTTGAGATGTTCTGGTAATTTGGAGTTTGGTGTCCTTTATCTGTTATTAAACTTTCCAAAAAAGTCCACAATTAAATTTAAAATTTAAACTTAAAATATAAGTTCAAAATGACAATACAAGGCATTGATTTTTAAAAATTTATTGACAAATTTACTTAGTTCATAACTTAAATCTATGAATATAATCACTACCAGCCCATTGGTCCTCCCGAAAGACCAGGTCCGCCCCTCCGATGGTGATCTTCTGGTGGAGTCTGGGGTGTGTGGTAAATTCTCTTAGATTCAGCCATGCGTTGGTTGTAGCTTTGGATCTGCTCCTGCAGCTGGGCATCCTCCTGCTGTGCTCGTTGCTCGTCGAACTCTAGACTGGCCACGCCGTCTAGTCGGTCCAGATCCACCCAGCCCCGGAACCGGACACATACCCCATTCATTATAAAACTGGACCGCAAGTGCACTTTGCCGCGTTCCCGCTCGAAGTCGCACTCCTGGTCCTGGGTATACGGATTGTGGTTGGCGTTAAAGTAGAGCTGCAGGTTGGTGCCAGAAGCTACCATTGAGATCTCAGCATAGCCCTTGCGGCAATCGTTAATGAACCTCATCTTGCGCTCCTCCGCAGCCCGTTCCCTGTAGCCCGTGTATCGCACCTCGCTTTCCCGGCTTAGACGCCGGAAGAGCTCGTCGCTCTCAAACTTTGACCTCTGATCGGGCACCACACGGGGCATCTTGAAGATAAATCGAGGTTTGGGCTGCTCGTACATGGCCATGGCTTCGTAAGGCGGGAGCATTCCATTTAAGGCCGCCGCGTCTCCCATATTCTGATGGTGATGCATAGTTTTATCTATTTATGTCTGTCTTCTCTGAAGGAAAAAAGTTGACTGATCTCCGGTGGGTTGTTTTTCTTATTTATACCAAATAAGATTTCTCGTACAGGTACTTGCTAAGGATATACTACCTGAAGAATCCAGGTGCTTTAATGTTTTATGATCCTTTAGGTCAGCCATCTGGAGACAAACAGGTATTACTTTTGTGATTGCCTTTTTGGGGTTTACTAATCCTCGAGGCTTTCCAAAGGTTTGAGTGGCAATATTTTTGAGATCTTTTATAATTCTTACCAACATCTGTCACCAAATGTAAATTCAAGTTAGATAATTAATTTTACCTGTATTTATAGTTTACTTTGAGTTAGCCACGTTCGAGACTGTGTTTTCAATTATATTGTTTCATGTAGGACATTTGAACTCCACACTTGTGGCTGACATTTTATTAAAATTATTTTTAAGTTACACTAAAACGTCTCGGTTTTTTATTAATAAATTGTTACATGAGAGTTTCATAGTTTTCACTCGAAAACTTGTTTTAACGGTATGTTTTAACAGTGTTAATTAACACCGGACATAAATAAAAAGGAGTTGCCAACAATTGAAATCTTAAAGCAGGTGACAACTCTGGCCACATAAAACAGCTGTAGTTTGTGTATTGCATTGTTTAATTTCAACACTTTGTTAACCATGTCGCTTGTCGCCTATGCCGCCAGTTCTGACGAAGATTCGGAAAACGAGGAGAAAAACCAAGGGCCAGAAGTAGAACTGGTGAAACCTCAGGCCGAGCCAAACAAAATTACCTCCAATGAGGCGCTTCTAGAACCTGCATCAACCAGTGGTCACATTAGCGATGAAGACGACGATTACGTGCCGCAAGAAGTGTCCTTGCAGGAACTTAAGACGTCCACCAGCAGACTTTCAATGGCTTTACCAAAGCCTAAAGTCACTGCTCTTGCAGAGGACGCAGAAGAAGACGATGTGGAACAGTTAGTGACTCCTGCCTTTGCCAAACTACCCATGCCACGAACAGCAGCGCCAACAAATAGCATCATAGAGGAGAAAGATGATGAATTCCTGCACAAAAAGGCGCTGCCAGTTGAAATAGAGAGACCCCCACCGCCGCCAGTTAAAGGACGCGTCAAGATCAGCATACCATCTCTGCGGGAGTTCTCGGATGTGGACCGAGAGAAGGCTGACAAGGCCAAGAGCAAAGTGGACAAACCAAATGTTCCCAAAGGATCGGGACTACTGAGTCTGCTACCCCAGGCAAAGTCAGAGCGAAATTTCTCCAAGAGCTCGGCATCTGTGGCAGCCACTCCAACAGCAAGCACCATACCTGCTCCTAAAGCAACAAGTGCTCCCGTCCAGTCTCGATCCACCCCAGCTTTTGTGCCCGATACAGTAAAGCAGCGACGGGCGGCGCACAACACTGAAGGTGTGGATGGCCCTAAGGCTGTCCAAAAGAAGAATACTGAAGGAAATGATGCCTCGAAACCGTTTCAATCCAAACCTAAAGCTAAAAGCACTTCCCTGGTGACTGCCAGTGAAAGTGAGGACGACGATGAGGATGGCACTGGAGACTTCTTTTCCCTGAATTCCGAACAAAAGCTGCCCGAGGTAAGCAGCAACGAGATCAGCGCCCTAGTGGCCAAGCGGGCAGCCAAGATGGTGCAAGCCAGTAGCAAATATCTTGAGGAGATTGCCGAGAAGGAAGCCGCAGAAGCAGAGGCCGCTCGACTCGAGGAGGAGCAGACGCAGCAGGCACAAAAGCGATATCATGAGCAGCAGTTAAACTCCGAGGCCATGGACGCACTGGTGGGCAAAAATGCCAAGCGGCGGCGGAAGGAAGCCAAGGAGATGCAGGTGATCGACATTACCGGGTCACAGGTACTGCCTGATCGTGAGGAATGGATGCGAACGGCATTGGCTTCGTCCACCACCTTCCAGCCCACCGGAGTGCTGACAGACGAAGAGCCGGTGGCAGGGACGCGGCGCAAGCACCAGATCACCTACCTGGCTCACAAGGCCAAGGCAAACGAAGCCGAACTGCAGGCGATGTGGTCAGCCAATCGGCAGTCCCGTCGGGCCACCCAAAGCAAATACGGCTTTTGAGTTTCCACTTTATGTACACCTAATCCTAAAATACATGCTTAATTCTAAATTAGTCCAACCTAGATCTTATTGCAACCAGCCCTCGCGCTTTCCCAGCCTGCTACCCACATAGAAGATAGCAGTGCTTAGCAGCAGTATAACCGGTGCGATGGTCACGTAGATAGGTATCTGCTGCGGGTACTCCAGCGTCAGGCAGATCATCACCTGCGAAGAGATGGTCAGCAGGACGCCAGCGATGTTCCATTTATAAAGGAACAGGAGGTCCGTCAGACAGGTCAGGTTGCGCCACTTGCGGATAAACTTGATGATCACGTAGATGATGATGATTACATCGAAGAACCAGAGCGGTGTAAAGGTGACAAACCAATTCCAGGTGGTGCGCGGATCCAGGCGCAGGCACAGCAGGATCAGGAATACCAAGACGATAAACCACGTAAAGAGCGCCCGGTGTGCCAGCGTCATGTTAGGCAATTATTTAAATCCTTTTCATGATAGGTCAAGAAATAAACAAAGCGATGTACAACGAAATGCACTTTTAATTTAAGTGTTGTAAAATGACTGTAAATGGCCCTTCACAGTAGCTAATAAAATAATACAGATTGGGGTAACTTTACGTTTATAAAACAATCATTTTGTAAAATTATTAATTAGAGCAAGCCGAAAGTAAATAACATTGTATTATTTTATTAATAAAGAAATATGTAGGAACACTATTTTTCATGCACAATTTTTACTCGTTTATAATAGTGTGTACATACTTATGCAAAGCAGTGTATCTTTGACTGCTAGCGACAACCCTGCTTGCGTTTTCAACATTGTCGAGAAGAAGAAGATAATTGACGTGTCACAATTTCGACAATTGGTTGGTGTTTTTCATAAAATTAATTGTTGGCAGTAGATTACGTGTAATTAAAAGTATACCCAATAACCAGTAATTGTTCTTACACCTACTTTTTCTTGTTTTTAAACAGGGGAGTGCCCGAAGCAACCAGAAAAGGGCGCTTGAAAGAAAAGCCGACACCCAGCAAAGCTATTGAATTAAGACACCTACAGGCAGAGCGGAAAAAGTGCCAGCATGCTGACCAACTTCGAGTCGAAGTCGGCGCGGGTAAAGGGTCTCTCCTTCCACCCAAAACGCCCATGGATCCTGGTCAGCTTGCACAGCGGCGTTATCCAGCTGTGGGACTACCGGATGCACACGCTCCTCGAGAAGTTCGACGAGCACGATGGCCCGGTGAGAGGCGTTGCCTTCCACCCACAGATGCCACTTTTCGTCTCCGGCGGTGACGACTACAAAATCAAGGTGTGGAACTACAAGCAACGCCGCTGCATCTTCACTCTGCTGGCCCATTTGGATTATGTCCGCACGGTGGCCTTCCACCACGAATACCCGTGGATTCTTAGCGCCTCTGACGATCAGACCATCCGCATCTGGAACTGGCAGTCGCGCAACTGCATCTGCGTGCTGACGGGCCACAACCACTATGTAATGTGCGCCCAGTTCCATCCCACGGAGGACCAAATCGTATCCGCTTCGCTGGATCAGACGGTCCGCGTATGGGATATTTCGGGGTTGCGGAAGAAGAACGTGGCTCCCGGTCCCGGTGGCCTCGATGATCACCTAAAAGGCCATCCCGGTGCCACTGATCTGTTCGGCCAAGCGGATGCCGTCGTCAAGCACGTGCTAGAGGGCCACGACCGTGGTGTCAACTGGGCCAGCTTCCATCCCACTCTGCCCCTGATCGTGTCCGGCGCCGATGATCGCCTGGTGAAACTGTGGCGGATGAACGAGTACAAGGCCTGGGAGGTGGACACCTGCCGCGGCCACTACAATAACGTATCCAGCGTGCTGTTCCATCCACGCCAGGATCTCATTCTCTCGAACGGCGAGGATCGCAGCATTCGCGTCTGGGATATGACTAAGCGTCAGTGTCTATTCACATTCCGCCGCGACAACGAGCGTTTCTGGATTCTCACGGCTCATCCGACTTTAAATCTGTTTGCAGCTGGCCACGATGGAGGTTAGTTCATTAATGCACTTTATAACCTGATATTTTATTTATCTATTGTTATTTTTCCAGGTATGGTGGTCTTCAAATTGGAGCGAGAGCGTCCCGCCTACGCCGTGCACGGCAACATCCTGTACTACGTAAAGGAGCGCTTCCTGCGCAAACTTGACTTTACCACCACCAAAGATACGGTGGTGATGCAGCTCCGACCGGGCAAGTCGCCGGTGTACAGCATGTCGTATAACCCAGCACTGAACGCCGTGCTCATCTGCACCCGTACCAACAACTTGGAGAACAGCACTTATGACTTGTGCCAGATCCCGAAGGACACCGAGAGCCAGAGCGAGTCGGACAGCAAGCGCAGCTCTGGAATCACGGCCATCTGGGTGGCCCGTAATCGGTTTGCAGTACTGGATCGCAACCAGCAGCTGGTGATTAAGAACTTTAAGAACGAAGTGACCAAGAAATTGCCCACTTTCTGCGAGGAGATCTTCTATGCCGGCACAGGAATGCTGCTGATCCGGGATCCCGAATTTGTCACCCTGTACGAGGTTCAACGTCTCGTCTCCGTGGGAAGCATTAAGCTGGCCAAGTGCCGCTACGTGGTGTGGTCTCCGGACATGTCCTTGGTGGCGCTGCTCTGCAAGCACTCGGTGACCATCTGCGACCGAAGGCTCCAGTACTTGTGCACTGTGCAGGAGAACTGTCGGGTGAAGTCTGGAGCCTGGGACGAATCGGGCGTGTTTATTTACACCACCAGCAACCACATCAAATATGCCATTACAAACGGCGACCACGGGATTATCCGTACATTGGATCTGCCAATCTATCTAACGCGCGTCAAGGGCAATCAGGTGTTCTGCTTAGATCGCGAGTGCCGCACCCGCGTTCTTCACATCGATCCCACGGAGTACAAGTTTAAGCTGGCCCTGATCCAGCGCAAGTACGACGAGGTGCTGCACATGGTAAGGAATGCCCGCCTGGTGGGTCAGAGCATTATCGCCTACCTGCAGCAGAAGGGATATCCGGAGGTGGCCCTGCACTTTGTCAAGGACGAGAAGACGCGATTTGGACTGGCTCTGGAGTGCGGCAACATCGAGATTGCTTTGGAGGCTGCCAAGGCTCTTGATGACAAGGATTGCTGGGATCGGCTGGGACAGAGTGCCCTGCTACAGGGCAATCACCAGGTAGTGGAAATGTGCTACCAGCGCACGAAGAACTTTGACAAGCTCAGTTTCCTCTATCTGATCACCGGCAATCTGGAGAAGCTCAAGAAGATGAACAAGATCGCAGAAATCCGCAAGGATGTATCTGCTCAATACCAGGGTGCACTACTCCTCGGTGACGTCAAGGAGCGGGTAAATATCCTCAAAAACTGCGGACAACTTTCGCTGGCTTATCTCACAGCCGCTACCCATGGATTTGAGGAGCTTACTGAATCCTTGGGCGAGTCGATTACCTCTCAGGGAAATATTCTTCCCGAAGTGAATCCCAACGCTCAGCTGCTGCAGCCACCAGTGCCTATCCAGCAACTGGAGACCAACTGGCCTCTGCTCTCCGTTTCTAAGGGCTTCTTTGAAGGCGCCATGGTCACCAGGGCTGGATCCAGTGCCACTGCCCGCCAGGCGCTGAACATCAACGCCGATGCTGCCGTTCTGGACGAGCACAATGGCGGCGGCGATGGCTGGGGAGCGGATGCCGATCTGGGACTGGATGAGGACGGCGATGAAGAGATGCACGACGCGTTGAGTAACGATGGTGAGGGTGGAGCAGGCGGAGAGGATGGAGCCGGATGGGATGTGGGTGATGACGATCTGGTGGTGCCCGAGGAGCTGGCCTCCAAGATCAAGGCCTCCGCCCTGGACAGCAACTACTATGCGGCTCCCAACAAGGGCTTGTCTCCTGCCCAGCAATGGGCCAACAATTCGCCGCTGGTACTGGATCATGTCAAGGCCGGATCATTCGAGAGCGCCTTCCGTTTGCTGCACGACCAGCTGGGAGTGGTCAATTTCAAGCCATTCAAAACACTTTTCCTGCAGAACTACGCCTGCTCTCGGACCAGCTACACGGCCAATCCCAATCTGCAATCTTTAAATGGTTACCCGCTGCGTAACTTCTCCGAGACAAACATCAAGCTTCAGCGTCCGGCTGTAGGAATCAAACTAAACGATTTGGTGGCTCGTCTGCAGGCTGGCTACCAGCTGACAACCTCTGGCAAGTTCTCCGAGGCTGTAGAGAAGTTCCACTCTATTTTGATCAGCATTCCACTGCTGGTGGTGGACACGAAACTGGATACGGCGGAGGCCCAACAACTGCTTAGGATCTGCGCGGAGTATATCGTAGGCCTGAAGATGGAAACTGTGCGCAAGGGCATGCCCAAGTCGACGCTGGAGGAGCAAAAGCGTCTGTGCGAAATGGCCGCTTACTTCACTCACTGCAAGCTGCAGCCCGTGCACCAAATCCTCACCCTGCGCACCGCCCTCAACATGTTCTTTAAGTTGAAGAACTACAAGACGGCCGCCTCCTTTGCCCGCCGGCTTCTGGAGTTGGCTCCGCGTCCGGATGTGGCCCAGCAAGTGCGCAAGATCTTGCAGGCCTGCGAGGTTAACCCCGTGGACGAGCACCAGCTGCAGTACGAGGAGTTCAATCCCTTCACCATCTGCGGCATCAGCTGGAAGCCACTGTATAGGGGTAAACCCGAAGTAACCTGCCCCTTCTGCTCCTCCACCTACGACCCGCAGTTCAAGGGCAACCTCTGCACAGTCTGTGAGGTAAGCCAGATCGGTAAGGATAGCATCGGGCTGCGTATATCCAACCTGCAGTTCCGCTAGGACGGAAAGTTTTCCGCTTTTAATAAATGTTTCATCCACGCCAAGCGAGACCCCTAAGTTTAGTTTTACACAATTCATTCTTATTATGTATGAAAATAAAGTTCAGTATCTGTTTCTTATAATGGTATAAAATCAAATCAAACTAATGTTTTCTTTGGAAGTGCAGGCATTAAATATGATTAAGAATAGTCAAGTTTCTAAGCAATGAAACCGTCGGCTTTCTGAACGATACAAATATAATGGAAAATTAGGGATTAGTTTCACTTTAAAATATTACCAACGCAATATCATGTTTGCAACCCAAATGTTCCAATGTATGTAACATAAATATAAATATAATAGGAAGGTTTTTAAACCAAGTTAAAAACTCAGATTTTTAGGGAATTTAACCACAATCATTTATAAGTATGTCATTTGTAAATCGGATGTTTGTAAGACAAGTTATGGGCTTAGAAGTGCAGGTTTTATGTGACTTTTCTGCAATGCCGTTTTTCGTAAATTTGGAAAGGGGTAAGTAACATCATTAAAATGCCGGAAAATCGACCCCAAAATACAAAAAAACTGAAAACGCAGTTTTTTAGAGGATTAAACCATAATCATTTTGAAGTATGCCATTTGTAAATCGGATATCTGTAAGAAAAGTGATAGGTTTAGAAGTGCAGGTTTTAGGCGACTTTTCGGCAAAGCCATTTTTCGTAAATTTGGAACATTTGTAAAACGGATTTCTGAAAGAAAAGTTATGGGCTTAGAAGGGCAGGTTTTAGGCAACTTTTCTGCAGCCATTTTTCGAAAATTTGGAAATAATGTGCTTCTTAGCGTTGCAAACTTTTGATTAAAATTATAATACCGTCAACAAGGGTATACAAAAATCAATCTAAATCGATGATAATTCCCATTGTCTCATTAATGATGCGTCACAGCGGAAAGCCCAGAATTAACAGTGCGAATTCGATTAGTAATTATGTATTTTAGTTAAAGATACGACACTAATTCCACACTAAGTTGTAAGTATAATACCATAAAAGCATTCGTAAAGTAAGCATTAGATCTAACACTAATCTAGGAGCATATTTATTCGAGCGTGTCTAACGTAATCGTATTGAAATCTCGCAAGGGTAGGCCCGTTCAATGGGCTCGGAGCATTTTCAGTTGTCCATGAAATATTGAGTATTCGCGAATTGAGTCTCTAGCTGCTGGTGATGCGGCTGCTGCTGCTGCTGGAGCTGTAGCTGCGGATGTGACGGCCCTGGCGCCGTCCACAGGTCTAACTAACGTCGCCACATGCTGGCACCTACGCCAATGCCCCCAGAGGCCACGCCCCGTCGCACCGCCTCCATTTCGTCCTGCCGGTTGTCGCGGTAGGCGCGCTTGGTGTCCTCGAATTCCCGCAGTCGCTGGTTGTAGCGATCGATCTGATCCCTAAGAATAGCATCCTCGTGCATCGCCCGTCGTTCGTCGTATTCCAGACAACCCACACCGTCCAGCCGCTCCAGATCCATCCAGCCACGAAAGCGGACGCACACCCCGTTCATAATAAAGTAGGATTTGATGTGCACCTTGCCGTGCTCCTTGTCAAAGTCGCATTCCTTGTCGTGTAGGTACGGATTCTGGTTGGCGTTAAACACCAGCTGCAGATTGGTTCCCGAAGCCACGAAACTGGCCTCCGTGTGACCCTCGCGGCATCCGTTCATGAAGCGCACCTGCCGTTCCTCGATGCTGCGCTCCCGGTAGCCCGTATATCGTACCTCGCTTTCACGGCTGAGTCGCCGGAAGAGCTCATCGCTCTCGAACTTGGATTTCTGGTCGGGCACCACACGGGGCATTTTGAATATGAAGCGCGGCTTGGGCTGTTCGTATAATCCAATGGTGTCATAGGGTATCATGTTTGCAAGCGCCGCCTCGTTCATCATTTTAACGTTTTAAACGCGAATCTCTCGCAGAAAGCTGAACGGGGTCTGTTTCTGTAGGTCCCTCCGCGGGCCTTTTCGTATACGCAATTCTCCTTGGAACACAATACGCTTAATGGCGTATTCTTCGGTCGCTCCTTCGATGGGCCTTTTACGTATACGCAATAGGCGCTTATGTCGTAGCACACTGGATGCTAATTGTTTAAAAATCTTGCCTCCGTCGCAGAAAACAACGCACAATACAACAAAAAGGACGGTTTGCGGTTTTGATATACCAACTAACGCGGCGTTGCCACTGAACAAAAAAGTGGAGTCGGAAAGTAAAGATGGGCACTTTTTACTATTTCTGACACGATCACGCACGACTTTAAGAATATTGGCCCCAAACACATACAGCATTTTGCAAATAAATAATGCACTAGTCGTAGTAAATAAATAATAAAGACAATAAATAATACAACATTAAATAATTGTGAAGGTAAAAAATTTGAAAATTTCCCTGCTTCAATTATGTGCTTTCGGTGAACCGAAGCCAATTATTTGTTTTATAAATTTGATAAAATAAATGTTGTGGCTTACCATGAAATTTCCTTTTCGTTAAGACACATTTTTGTACTAATTAGGTTTTCTGTCCGAAAAATTGTGATTTGGCCTAGTCACGCGCGCACCACTAAAAATAACCAACAATCACTTTTCGATGGTCTGGCAGCACTTTGTTGTATGTCCACACTTTTGCACATATTGATTGCCAATTTTTTTTTAATATTCCGCAAAAAACTCGGCGCTCTGTTTTTTCGCCACCTTACACGACACTCATGGACCGTCGTTCACATTTTTATTCGCGAAAACTTACGAAAAACGAGCAAAAACGCGGACCACATATTTCCCGCGCGACTGAGTGTAACGGCGGCTCGATAATACTAACTGTTTCTGCACACACTGCGGTATTATTTGAATGCTTAAAATACGGTCACACCGGCCGCCTGTTTACAAAATATTGCCTTTTATTTTATCGGAACAACAGGTGCTATAAACCGTGGTTTCTGACCGATATGAGTGACACCCCCACTGAGGAGAACGAGAAACGACCCCAGTTCGGAACCCGCCTACTTACGGACTCTGACGACGTGTTCAAGCACAATGCTTGGTAAATATGGGATGCAAATCCTCCGGAGATTGGCCAGCAAAACTTGGGAGCACACTCGCCAGCGCAAGAAACCGGCAGGAGCGGGTAGTCGGGTGCTCACCGATGCGCGAGAGGTGTTTGAGTTTAACGCCTGGTACTTATCCGTAGTCCTGAACTCATGGAAACCCCTCTAATTCTCGATCAACAGGGACCACGTGCAATGGGACGAGGAGCAGGAACTAGCCGCTCAGGCAGCTGTGGCCAAGAATTCGGCCAGCAAGATGGAAGCGGAGCAGAAGGACCGTTTCCAGACAGACGCTCCCAAGTTCTGGGATTCATTTTATGGGATTCACGATAACCGCTTCTTCAAGGATCGTCACTGGCTGTTCACAGAGTTTCCAGAACTAGCTCCTTTGGCGGCGGAAACGAAGGAGCAGCAGCATCGCAGCATCTTCGAACTCGGCTGTGGCGTTGGAAACACCATTCTACCTCTGCTGAATTACAGTTCGGAAGCGAAACTGAAGGTTTTTGGGTGCGACTTCTCAGCAAGGGCAATTGAAATCCTGCGTGGGCAGCCCCAATTCGACGAGAAGCGTTGCAATGTGTTCGTAATGGATGCCACTCTGGATCAGTGGCAAGTGCCATTTGAGGAGAACTCGCAGGACATAATTGTAATGATCTTTGTGCTGTCTGCCATTGAACCAAAGAAAATGCAAAGGGTGCTGGACAATTGCTATCGCTATCTGAAACCAGGAGGCCTGCTATTGTTCCGGGATTACGGAAGGTACGACCTGGCACAGTTGCGATTCAAAAGTGGAAAGTGTTTGGAGGACAACTTCTATGTGCGAGGCGATGGCACGATGGTGTACTTCTTCACGGAGGAGGAACTGCGGGGTATGATGACCCAAGCAGGGCTTACGGAGGAGCAACTCATTGTGGACCGCAGGCTGCAGGTCAATCGGAGTCGAGGCTTAAAGATGTACCGCGTTTGGATTCAGACAAAGTTTAAAAAACCGCTTTAGTTTATTTAAGTACAGAGGGAAAACATAGAATATAAAATCGTATAGCCAATTTATTATATTCAAAACATTTTAAAATAATAAAGTCTATGCATTTGTAGTTTTAAATGACCATAGTTCCCTTTTATTTTTAGAGTCCATCCTTTGAAATAAAAATATTGTCTCTTTTTTTTTTAATCCTGATGGCAAAGCCCGGCTTGTTTTAAACTTATTCACTTACTCGCCAATCGTTACTTGCGAATCTCAAAGGAAAAGCTTCTCGCCGGAAAACCATTCGCTGCCAACAATCCAGGCAGCTTTTTTCCCCAAATCCAAATACACATAACAGTTAGGAAAGCTGCAAGTTTTCGCAGTTGGCCAAAAACGTCGTAAGTGAAAATTTTCGTTGTGCTGCGTAAAATAATTTTAAGATTATTATTTAAGCATAGTTTTTTGTTAGCTAAAGCTGCACGAGCATAGTTAAAGTGTTGCTCATCAAGAGTGCTGGTACGAAAATGTATAGAGTAGGAAAATTAAGCTGAAATGTCAATGAAAAGCAGCCAAAACCATTGTCGTGCAGAATTTCATTGATTTTTCTTTCTCAGTCCGAGCCTGAATTGTCCACTTGAAATTATTTTTAAAACGTTTTGCATTTTGAAGACAGTTTAAAAGTGCCCCTGGGGGTATGCAACAGAAATAAAGAAGGACATAGGTGGTAAGGTGGGCGTGTTACTGCCACTAAATCGCCCAGCTTAGACTGTAGATAAAACCAACAATCGAGTATATACGTATGTACTAAAAATAGTTGCAACTATTTTCGCACTTTATTCAGCAGCAGTTTCAGCGGTGAGCCAGAAAATTCCTGCGAAAGGCTGTCGTGGCAAGTGTTACCCGCACACATACACATCATCCAGATCCAGCCAATCCCCCCGTGGAGTGGAGTGAAAATTCATTGACGACTGGGGGCGAAAAAGCTCTGGCGGAAGAGCGAAAGAGAGAGAAAGGCGGTACTGAGAGCGCAACCCTCAAGAACAAAAACAACGAAACAGGATTCAGCTGCACCACCACCCACCACCTACATCACCACCATTCCGACCTGCGGCAGTGAAAGACAGTGAAAGAGGCCAAGTGCATAGTGCCTAGAGTACCTTCATCCTAATCATCGCCAGCCGAATTTGTTGAGGCCACCACAGCACCACCAAGTCACTACAGCCACAACCACACAGCCACCAGAGCCATGTAAGTGGATGGACATTATTGATTTGTTTTTTCGGCGCGGGGAATGGGGTTCCCCTTTTCGGTTTTCGCACAGAGGGAATGCTCATTTGACAGCCACATTAAGTATACGCAGCATGGGTCGCCCATTTCATTTGTCATTTGTCCAAGTGGACGAGGCTCATGAAACAAGGAACCCAGACTCACTGCAGCTGCCATTTCGGTTCACTAAGCATGATTCACTTGGCGATGACGTTCTCGCATCACATGGCCAAGTCTCTCACACCGCAAAATCAATAAAAACACGTTTCGCACCACTAAGTCAGGACATGCAAACTAAGTTGCACCTATTTGGGTTTCTTTGAAGTCAGACTTGTGCTATTTATTAGCAAAAGATAGTCATAATACTCTATAATATTTTCATTTAAAATGATTTCCCAATATGAATGTATGGACAATTCCAAAAATAATCGCGCATATAAGCAAACCAAAGGTTGCCGGTCTTAAGGGTTGGGGTTAGATATTGATTTGTTTTCCTTTGTAGTCGGCAAATAAAAAGAAAGGGGGTTCGATATAGATACTTTATAAAAAATCTGCTGTCTTCAAATATTTTGTAGATAAAAAATTCTAGTCTTTGCAACTACAAATGTTTTTTACTAAATGCGCGACACTGTATTCTTATTAAATATATTATATCTTTTTTCTTGTTTATCAAGAACTCATACATTTCTGTCAGTGCTTAAGAAAAACAGGTGTTTTGGTTTTCAGATACCTTGGATATCAATTTGTTTTTTGTATTGTTGCAGTGAATATAAGAAATGCATATGTATGGACAGTACGAAATGTAGCTTAGATATTTATCAATTAACAATGTACTACCTTTTCCCATTCTGCCTTAATATTATCATTTATTATTGTTATTATTAATTATTTCCCTACTTTAAACCCCTGCAGAGCACAGAAGACGAGTTAAAGATCTAAATTTTTGGGGGTCTGAGATGGGCAAGAAAGACAAGAACAAGGAATCGTAAGTCCGCTTTGACTACAGATCAAAGGGTAGCTGGCTAGAAATATACTCCAGCACTTTCTAAAGCCCACACGTATCGTCGAGATGTTTTTATTTAAGCTAGAAACTATAGTCGTACTCCAAGCCCTTTCCCACACTGACTCACCCACTCTGTTTGTAATTTAAGTACTGTATTTAATTTGAACGCCCCCGTTGGGAGTTGATTAGTCTTGGTCCATTCTATTTTTGTGCGCTTTCCGATGAATAATGACTAATGACCTCGTTTCCTGCAGGGCGGACGCTGCACCAGCTGGCGATGCACCACCAAATGCCGGAGCTCCGGCCGGAGAGGGCGGTGATGGCGAGATTGTGGGCGGACCGCACAATCCGCAGCAGATTGCGGCACAGAAGCGTCTGCAGCAGACGCAGGCGCAGGTCGATGAGGTGAGTCTCGGAATTAATATTAATAATTTGGGTATACGGAGGTTAAATAGATATGATCCACTTAAAAAAGGTTTACAATTACCTTTAACCAATAAATAGTCTTATTAAGCCAAATCATACGAAGATTCTTATGGTTAGACTTACTTTCATAAAAAAAATCGTTTCATTTAATATTATAAGGTTATAATGATATGCATCTTTAAGTGAAATAATATATGTACTCCTTAATAAGAAACTGTATGGCCATTAATTAGAAGTAGTTAAAGTCCAAAGCTCAAACCTCCATGTATTCATAGCATTAGCTAAATTTTAAAAACGATTTTGATACTACCTTATATTTATGACCAGGTCGTGGACATCATGCGCACGAACGTGGAGAAGGTGCTGGAACGCGACAGCAAGCTGTCGGAGCTGGACGATCGTGCTGATGCCTTGCAGCAGGGCGCCTCGCAGTTTGAGCAGCAAGCGGGCAAGCTTAAGAGGAAATTCTGGCTCCAGAACTTGAAGGTAGGTCTACCTTCTCTTCCTACGAAACCGTTAACTGAATAAAACTTGTTTTTCTAGATGATGATCATCATGGGCGTTATTGGCCTGGTTGTCGTTGGCATCATTGCAAGTAAGTTGACAGATCCTAGATGGAGTGTACACTCATTACCTGGACACAGACCCCCTAGAGATACTGACCTCCACACCCACTCGACTCACCCACACACAGAACCGAAGGAAATTTCAAGAATCCCGAGTTGCGTTTGTTTTTTAAGTTTGCCTTCGTTTAGCGCTGATTTCGTTGTCCCCCGAAATGCTTTTGTTTCTCTATACACCGAATCAAAATTCCGTTTTTAATTCCACCACTTTTTTTCTCTAGGTAACTTTATGTAGATTGCTAACTATCTTATCCATAAGAAACTAGTAACCTAGCCGCAATGCAATGCAAATCGAAACCAAATCAAAAGTCAATCAATCAACCCAATAAGAACCAATCGAAACCAAATTCAGACTCATTTACAACCGCTATGAGTAATGCTCCGAAATCACAGTGCAACTGATCGTTCGCTGATCGATTCGACCTAGATGCCTTGCGAAATTTCCAAAACTATATAGATCGATCGATCATATCATGTCATGCGCTTCAACCACCATTAAAACAAAAACTAAATGCGGTATATATTTGAATTGTATGCCCAATATATGCCCAAGTCCAACATCATCTGGTTCCATACGCGCATAAGCACAGGTTCGGTAATGAATTGATTTGATGCCCACTGAAAGTCGTGTGTTGTTATCGTTCCGTTGCCTAACCCGTAATCAAGTTGTGATCGCTCCGAATATCAAATCTCTTTCCATGTTGGTTGCTCTTAATAATCCTGAAAGTATTGCGCTCTAAACCGGCAACCGACATGGTGGAGATGGACCGATATTCGTTTGTACCCGTTAGCATTAACCGTAGGACCTTATGTTCTAGATAGCGTTACTCCCGTAAGCCGTAATCGTAAAGTTTGTGGTTTGTTCAGTGTTTCGTTATCCGTATCCGTGTTTCGTTTGTTTTGTTCTGATATTGGCAGCAGCACCACAACCACAGACACACGATTGTGCCATGTCCTGTGTAAATTATACAACTCGAACATAGTTCCCTCGTAATCGTAGTCCCTTCTTAAAACTAGTTACTCGATACTAAGTCTCAACTCAAACGCAATGGCCTTCAGATAGAAAAAGCTAGCCTTACTTGTACCACTGATCTACAGCAAAAGCATAAAGTACTGCCATTATATTTAATTTAACTCTGTTCTTTAAATGTTTTCAATTTTATTTGACACACTCTATTACACTGAACTATATTTTTGAACAATTACAGAGAAAGACGAAGAATAAATACACTGAAAGCTTTAGCTTTGTACAATTTTGTTAACCATAAGCAAAAACAATTTACCCCCAAATAACACATTCAGTGTGAGGTAAAAGCGAGAGCAACCTTTTATTTATTACTCATACGCCACGTGTATTGCTAGGTGCACCTGTTGAAGAAATCATTTGTTTTACATGACTCAAAATCGTATTTTCGTTTTGTTCTTTTTTTTTGTTGATAAATCTATTTCTGCTCGCTTTAAAGCAAATCGAAATAAATTGAACAAAAACATAAACTCACCGAACCATTTCTCGTAGAACCGTACATGTCGGATGATAATGCTGCTGTGCAGACTCCTGCCTCGCAGCAGCAGGTGGTTCCGGCATCTGCAACTGCACCTGAATCAGCACCACCACAAAAACTACAAGTACAACAACAACCACAACAACTACAACCACACCACCATACACAAAAATCTGAACCACCGACACTCGAGAAACCATTGGCCGAGAAATTGACCGAACAACCACAGAGTCCGTCGGATGAAGTGGCGACTGCACAATAGAACGCTCACGATATGTATCTTGAAAAAAACCACCAACCGAACAGCAACAACAACAACAGAAACTAATCAGCCATCGATTAACCACCAAGCCGCATCCGTAGAACCATATTCAAAATTAACCAAAAATGAAAAGAAAACATTTCACACTTTCTTTGTACTATTGACAAAACCGATCTAATCTGATACACTGTAAGCAAAAACAAAACGGCAAAAAAGCAATGCAAAATATCATACCCAGTAATTTGACACCTGCGCTTATTCTTATACCTAGTTTATGTTTGTGTTCCCATTTCCGTTTCCGCTGTACCCCTTTTTAATATAATTTTAAGCTGGTTGTAAACGATACATTCGTTTCTGGGCCGCTTACCCCGTTTACAACCCGCTTTAGCCGCATGAATGTAAGTTAATCGATGTCTTTGTGTGATTAGTATAACATTATTTATGATTCTATAATTTATCGGTTCAATGTTGTATGTTTTTTGGAATTGGCCTAAGTTTAATGCACTAAAAAGCGAAAGGACTTCTCTTCAGGAGGTTTAAGGAAAGACAGCTTTCATTGACTGCCTTAATGTACATAAATATATATTTGTTCAATGCAGTTAACCCTGCGGCAACCGTCCCTCCACCTCCCATTGTCCCCATTCCAAGTCCACTTGCTATATTCCGTCATGAGTGAGCTTTTAACCATTGAAGTGTAATATTTATTGGCGTATTATCGTGTATCGATGTCTGAGATTGGCTATAAAGAGAGCTAAAGAGCCAGCTTGTGTTTTGCCCTACTAACTCTTGTCATGTTTCGCAACAGATAAACTTGGCCTCATAGGCGGGGAGCAGCCGCCACAGTACCAGTACCCCCCACAGTACATGCAGCCACCGCCGCCGCCGCCGCAGCAGCCCGCCGGAGGACAGTCGTCGCTGGTGGATGGGGCAGGGGCAGGAGCAGGAGCAGGAGGATCGGACGGCGGGGCAGCAGGAGCCGGCGATCACGGCGGCGTATAAGTAATCTCACTGCAAGGACGAACGTTTCTCGATTACAATGCCCTCAGCGGGCCCAAACAAACCAAAAAGGAAAGGAAAACTCAGTTAAACTAGAAAATCTCGAGAATTGCAATGAACTCAATAATAATTTCCACTTAGACGATGTGCACGAGTTGGTGTGAGAGGTTTTAAGTAACTTACGTCATAATATTAATACTAAATCTAAAGACGCTCCGGACAAATTAAAGTTGTTGCTAATTTGTTTATGGTTACATTATTTCATGCATAAAAAACGGTATATATAAATATAAATCAAATATATGGAACTTGAATATTACGAGTGACTCTAAAAACCACGTACTACCCTATATGGAACTTGGATCTCTGCGCTGCACTGGCAACAAGGAGCGCCAGTGGAAGCAGGAGGACAGGCGGTCGCTTCCCGATGTTCGCAGCTCTTTGAACTCAGTTTCCTTAGCAAATCGACTAGACAAAACTACAAAAACAAAAAACATAACTATTTCGGAACAAGACCCAAAACCAAAGAAATCTAAGCTTTGTTCCTAAGTAAAGTTACGCAAATATGAATATTCGAAATGTATTATCCAAAAAAGTTTGAAATCGACAGGCCTCATAAGTAATTGACAGTTAAATGTATTCATGGAACATTACTTATAAAAGGCAAGTGTAGTCGGATGAAATACAAGCAAAAAAAAAACCGAAAACCAAGAAACTTGAAGTCTAGTGAAAATATACAAAGCGATTTATTTGCAGAATTCTGTTTATGTGCAATCATTACTGTTGTGTTTGAAAAGCAGCCCAGGCAGCAGTTGAGTATAGCTCGAACGGTTCAATTGAAAGATGAAACCAGACAGTTCAACGATTAAATTAAGCGCTAGACACACAATACGTTGGTTATCTTATCCAAAGGATTTATTTAGCTCGACGCAGGCAGCAGAGGCACTTAACATATGTTTGTATATTTCAATGTTACAAGTATTAGACGAGGCAGTACTTAGAGCATATATATGTACGTGTATGTAACGATATGATATTTAGATCTCACACACTCCACCCAAGCCCCCATAGCCCCCTCATAACCGATCACCGATCAGGATAAAAATCAGAGAAATAACTTTGAGACAACATTCGTAGCACATATTGTACTTACCTTGTTCTGAAATACAACCTATACTACGATTAATGTATTAACTAATTGATTCTACAAGCGCCTGCCCAAAGTGCTTTGCCTACCAACCAATTGGGGCACGAACAAAATCGAAATTAATTAAAGAAAAACCAAAGAGTAAATGGGAAAAAACGAAAATTCAAATCCGAATGCAGGTATTTTTAGCAATATTCGTAGCGTGTACAATATGTCGCCCTTAAAGCTTATTATAATCTCGTTCAATGTCCATCTCGAAACTCACCTAGACACTTCACATGCATATAACCATTAACAAATATAAATCAATATATGTATGTAATAACCAATGACAAATGTTTAGAAAAGCGTTTCGATTTTTGTTTGGATTTTAACCAAAAAAGAAAACAAATGTATACACAAAAACACCTATGAAATTTCAAGAGAACGGAGAACCTACATGGGTTTCTGGTATTCCACTGCGATATTACGGAACCCTTTGGGAGGCGGAACATGAAAAACCCGTATGAAAGACGGACACACAAAACAAAGAAACTCTATAAGAACCCCCAAAAACAACAGACGGCAATGAGAGTATATATATATGAACCGTATATAAACAATAATATTACTAATTAATTTAATGATTAATTGCACCCCGAAAATACATAATTATTTAAATAAATAAATAAAAATAAAACATATGTCTTTTATTTTTATATTGGAAATGGATTATTAAGTTCGACATCAGAAGTACATATTTTGTTGGCTTATTATTTTATATTTTATTTGGCTTTTTAAAAGGTAAAAGTTTACTTTGTATTACATTGGAGCGTTGAATTTCGTTAGAGAGATCAAACAAATTTTGTATACTTTAAGCACTCTGGTAAAATCTTTTCTAATAATCTTAATTTATTTTCAACTTCAAATTACAAAATGGAAATAACTAAGTTGGTTGTATTGTTTTTTTAAGTTACTTATGATACTTAGATCTTTGAATTTGTATAATTAAGTTGTTTGAGTGAAGAAAATTACCATAAGCTTCAAAAGTAATTAAGAACCTTATTTAATTAATTAATAAAGGTAGCGCAGTCTAAAAGTAGGATCTGGCAAAAAGTATAGCACACTATTCAGCGCTCATGCAGCCAAATTGCGCACTTGACTTCAGTAAAAAGATACCCCTCGGTTCCCGGACACACGTGGCTGCATACATAAATAACAATTGAGACGGAGACAGCGTGCAAACAGGATAATGGAAATAAAAACCCGTCTGTGGTGGAAAGCCTAGATTTAAATCGGGCAAGTGTGGGAACAAAGGGACGCCTGTTTACCACACTTGCCACACTTGATTAAAATCTATTGGCAATGCAGGCGACATCAAAATTGGAGCAACGCTAACAAGGGCCCACAAAGGAAGCGGAAACGCCTCCCTCGATGCCCCCGACCCCAGCGACGAGCACTTAATGAAACCCAATTACCAAAGGTGTCCGCCAGCCGGATCCTGGATCCTGGAGGCGGATGGCAAACAATAACAGCTGCAAAGAGCTAAAGAGCCCAGCTGCTGCCGCAACACCTGCAAATTTTATTTGCATTTTTCCTGCCATTTTCATACCCCTTAAATATTGACTAGGGGTATATTGGTCCATATTAAATTTGGATATTATTGAAATCTAAAAAGTAATACAAACAGCTTTAAATAATAACGGTAAGCAATATTATTCAATAGCTTCCTCAATGATAAGCTGGCTTACTAAAAGGGTAATTACATTTTAAGAAGAAGAAAAGAAGTAGCATTTTTTTTGTAACATAATTTTTATTACATAAATTTCTAATATTATTTTGCAAGTCGCACAAATTTATCAATAGTTGATTAGCCATAAACATAATTTATTCTCTGGTTGAAAAATACAAAAATACCTTTCAACCATATTTTTCAACCCAATTGTACAAAATTATAAAATTACTAAATGGTAAGCTTAATGTCGTAACACTTGGTCAAAGGAAATTTACTTGTTTATTATTATTAACTTCGTCGCCATTTCCCGGCAAGGACATGCGCAAACACCCCCACTTCCGCCCACAACACTTCGCCATCATCCCCTCTGCGGCACCAAGGATTACGGAAAAGGGACACGGGTATGGACAGGGACACGGAATACGGAAAGGGACACGGACACATCTCTGAGTGGAGCAAAGTGGCGTATAAATACGGCGCAGCTTTTGCGCACAGCCTCAGTTGACGGACCGTGTTGCTCGCGATTCCCTTTTCCCAGTCGCTGCGTCCGCGAGGTGAGAGTTAATCCGGAAAACGGACAACTGTTGCAAGTTGCACTCTACTGACTGCAGGCTCCAGGGATCAGGCAGCAGGATAACGGCTCCAATTACGGACTTAAGTGCAACAAATTGTGGGTGTGAAATTGAGTTATTGCTTTGTAAGTCAATTGTAAGCAAAAACAAACCGGATTGTAATAATACGATTTTTTTTAACGAGTTCAACTTAAAGCTGACCCCATTCTCACAATAATTGGCTTAACGTTAAAAGGTAAGAAAGACCTGTTACTTTTTAATTATATTAATTATTTTAAAAAAATTACAAAAATCGTAAAATATACTACATTCTTATGGCATTATTGCCTTACCTTAGCCAAAGTGATAATTTAAATAAATATGAAACTATAAAATATAAATCTTTTCAAAACTTGCTGGTGTGGTGAACAAAAAGACAAGAAATTTAATAATTTTAATGAATACAGTAAATTTTAATTAAAAACCCGCTAAAGGTTGACCATATTGTTATCGTTACATAAAAGCTAATCCATTAGTACCAAAAATATTAAAAATTGTAAAAATAATTTCATGTTATCATCTTTTTTGAAATGGTAGACACCCATTACAAAACTGCAGTAAAATAATATTGTCACCTAAATATTCCAAATTAAACGTTAAGAAAATGGGTTTTCCTTATGATAAGACAGCAATTTTTGTTTTTAATTAAAAGTAAACTATTGCTAGAGTAATAACATCTGAAAGTAATTTTTTTGGATTATTAACTTTTACCCCACAAAAATCAATTGTTTTTTGATGTTAAAATCGCCTTTGGCTAGAGCAAAAAGATTCTACGACCGTAAAATAACTTTAAAAGGTAATGTTTAAAATATCCTTGCCAAAACTTACCGCATCGCTTTCCAACACTGCACCTCTAAATGTGTCGTGCAGATAGGCCCCAAAGCAGGAAGCATAGGGTGGTTGCTGACCAAATAAAAACTGGTTGCCAGTCAATCATATGGCGAAAATAGTGGTTAAAACCACCCCTGACGTGGCAGCTTTCCTTCTCGGGGGTTGTAATCCGATTCCAAAACGGAACGTAATCAGCAGCACAGCACAGTCACTCTGTAAACTTCGGAGCGTACGGTTGCAAGTTTCGGTCGCCTGCGATTTTTCTCTTTCCCGATTTTAACACTCTTCCCGTTCCCGCACACACACACAGTCACTTACTGGAAAACTAGAAGGTGGAGCGGAGAGGAGGCGACTTTCGCTCGAATATCTCGCATTGTTATTGTTGCTGCACCGTGTTTAGTGTATATACTGTATACCACTGTGTGACTCCACTGTGTGTGTGTGTTTTTCCTGGAAGTTCGAATCGAATTCTCTTTTTCCGTCTGCGGCACACGTCAAGCAAAAAAAGTTAGTAGCATCAAATCCCTATTTGGAATCGAAATCAAATCACTAATCACCAGCTAATCATGGCCGACAACAACTGCCCCAAGTGCAAAAAATCGATTGCCCCCAAGGAGGCGGCCGCAACGAGCATCGGATGCAGTGGCGAGGATTGTCGGAGGAGGTTCCATCGCACGTGTGTCAACATTGATGACGCCGTCTTCGAGGCGATCCAGAAGAATCCGATGATATCCTTCCACTGCGACGAGTGTAAGAACCAGTCGCCTCGTGCCTTTGCCGCCAAGTTGCACACCATCGAGGAGAAGGTCAACAAGGTGTGCAACGGGGTCAACCAGATCCAGGGCCGGATGTACCAGCAGTACTTCCAGTTCGGTAACCAGCCGCTCCAGGCGCTGGGCGCCTCGGCCGCCGGCGTGGGAGGTGGCCCCCTTGGCGGCGGACTGGATGGCAAGAAGCATCCTCAGCAGAACAACCTAATCGTGGTGGGGAACAACTGCAATTCCGATCGATTGCAGGTGGTCTGTGACTACGGCAGATGGGTGCAGGTGGGCAAGTTTGCCACCAACACCAGCGAGGAGGATGTGATCGATCACCTGGCCGAGGAGCTGAAGATCAACAAGAACCTGGTCAAGTGCACCAAGCTGGTGAAGAACGATGCCAACCTGTCGCAGTTATCGTACTGCAAGTTCAAGATCTCCATACCGGACTACCGCTTCAACGAGCTCTTCAACGAGGCCATCTGGCCCAGCGGCGTGATGGTCAGCCCCTTCACTCCCCGCTCCCAGCTGAACCAGAACCGCCTCTAGAGGGACGGGCCCGGCGGCCGGGAGAGCGGTGACCGGGCGAGGGTGAAGCAGTAAGGAGGAATAGAAATAGGAACAGGAGCAGCGGCTGGAGAGGAAGCACCCAAAGGAAAGAGTGCGCCTGCGCAAGGAGAGGATAAATGAAGAGGCGGAGAAGGAGGATGAGGAACTGCATCGCGGCCTAGCAATCGAGGGTTGTTATCCGGCCAGCGACTACCACTGCAACTACACCGCGGATTCCCCCGATTCCCGTCTTCCCTTTGGGCTGATGGAGCAGCAGGCGGAGGAGCAACTATGTGCCCCCCATTTGTATGCTAATTTTCGACACTCGAAAACATTGTCTAGATCTTTAAAAGCTTACAGAACCTATCTAATGGAAAACAAACAAGAATATTTATTGAATTAACTTTGAAAATGCATTTTAAAATGTTTTAGCGTTGCGTAAATAACGAAAATGAAATCGATAAAGAAACCAAAAAGTATTTTAATGGCAAAACTCACAAGTAAAATAGATGTGAAGCAAAAATATTAGTCATTTATGCATAACTGTCGTACTTAAATTAAAGTAAAACCGAAAACAAAACGAGAAACCTAAGAAAATCCAAGCTAAACGTTCTTAAAAGACACACACACCGAAAACGATTATTCAGGCGCGTATTTAAACCATTTACTAACCAGCACTAAAATTCCCTTTTGATTTTCTAAACTCATTTCCGGGGACTTGAGAAATTCGGACCCAGATCGTTATACTTTTTACAAAATCGATAGAAATTTTATTAAGACGCGTGTGCGATACCTATCACATTAAGTACTTAACCGTAACCAATATCAAACGTATATTCAAGCAGACGACGGCTTATATTGTATTCGTATATGTATGTAGTTTGAGGCATTTTCAAAGCTTGTTCCTGTTCCCAAAAAGTTTGGACATTTTGCGAACCACTGCACAGGACACTGGCCAGCAGCTAGACCCATTCAAATTCAGATCGAAAGTATATGTATTTGCGTTTTCGACTATGGGGAAACCCCATGGGAACCTCAATGGCAGTTACCACAACACGTTCCACACGGACAGGACTCGAAACGAAACGAAGCTGGGCAAATCCGTTGCAATAATAACTCAATGACCGAGTATAATGGATGTACATTTCGTAATTGATCTATTTTTTTACACCAATCCGACAGCAATATTTTCCGTGGGCTCCACGCCAGCGATCCGAACAAAACCGTAGATATTTACGCAAGAGTCAGCAAACGAAATGTAAAACACATATATTATATATTTAGTATACAACAATATGCATGCATGTATTTATGTCAACTTTTTCAATAAATTCTACAAAAAAATTAAATACCAAAGAAGAACGTATTGATCCTTGGGTTTAAGGAACTACATGATTGAGGATTGAAAATATCTTAATTTAATTTAAAAATCTTTTCAACTATTGATGTCTACCGTTATAAGAAATCAAGCAAGCGAAAGATTTCATATGAAAATGGTTATAAAATGTTAAGATTTTCGACCCACAAATTACTTAAATATTATTTACTCTGTTTGGTGGAAATTAATTTGTATATATATTAAAAAAGGTACACTTAAATGTCCAGTTTTGCTCCTATAAATTATTTTCAGAATTAGCACAATGGCCAACTCCAAACGAAAGCTGCCCACGAAATCCAGTGTCACAGAGGTCTCTAATCAGAATAAAGATAATCCCAGCACAACAGAAAAATCTTCCACAGAAGTGGATCCAACTAAAAACTCCTCCCTCCTGAGCTACTTTTTTAGAGATTGCCTAGGACATGAGATGAGCAACTTCTCCAGTTTGTCCCACTTTACTAGCTGGCTACAGAGACCCGTGGATGGAGCCGCCTTGGGAATTTTCCGGTTGTTCTATGGAGCAGCCATGCTGATTGACATCGCAGAGGAGCGCGGTGGTGGGCAGATGGATGTGCGGTTTGGAGAACCACACCACTGCCATTTCCCGCTCTTCAACGGGATGCGGGCATTGGCGTATCCGCTGATGGGTTGCTTATATCTGTGCATGTGGCTGGGGGCGTGGGGCATTATGCTGGGCTATCGATTTAGAGCCAGCTGCCTGGCCTTCCTAGTGCCTTATTGGTACATCTTTCTGCTCGATAAGCCCACGTGGAATAACCACAGCTATCTTTTCGGTCTGGTGGGAATATTGCTGCTCTTCACTCAGGCAGAGTCCTACTGGTATGAATACCTTTCATTAGTTATAAATCAATTTAAAAACCTTTCCTAACTTTCAGCTCTCTGGATAACTGGCTAAATCCGCGGAGAGGTCGCTGTATTCCTTACTGGAATTACTTCATAATCAAATTTCAGTTTTTCGTCCTGTACATGTATGCTGGTCTCAAAAAGTTCTCCCTGGAGTGGCTATCGGGTTATGCGATGTCCAATCTCAGCCATCACTGGGTTTTCGCTCCTTTTCGCCAAGTTATTGATCCCGACCTGATTGACCTACTTATCGTGCACTGGTTCACCGCCTTTTTCGACCTGTCTATAGCCTTTTTCATGACCATTGAAAAGACGCGTCTACTGGTCACTCCTTTTATGCTCAGCTTCCACCTTATGAACTCACGACTGTTTGTAATAGGTGAGCGTACTGTCGAGAGCTATATTTTACTACTTTTATATAGGAAAAGCAAACAAACAATAAATAATTGAACTTACCCAACAGGCATGTTTCCGTGGGTGTGTCTGGCCGAAGTCCCGCTTTTCTTCAGCTTCGACTGGCCCAGGAGGATAAGCGACCGATCGAAGACACCCCTTCCCGAACCACCAGTAGCAGTAAATGAGGTGTCCAAGCCGGGAATCCTCGCCAGGCTGCGCACGTGCCTTATCCTCGGCTACTGCGGACTGCAGCTCTTCCTGCCCTACTCGCACTTTATCACCAAGGGGTATAACAACTGGACAAATGGACTGTACGGCTACTCCTGGGACATGATGGTGCACTCATACGATACGCTGCAAACCTCCATCCAGGTGGTGGACAACGAGAGTCACCAGGTGCACAACTTGAATCCGTATGCCTTTACGGAGTACGATCGCTGGACGAAATATGCGGATATGGCTGTTCAGTATGCCAGATGCATCGAGGAGAACATCCGGGTAGGACAGCCAGAGATGTCCAAAAACATCTCCATCTATTTCGACATCTGGTGCTCCATGAACGGTCGCTTCCAGCAGCGCTCCTTCGATCCGCGTGTGGATCTCCTCCGGGCCAAGTGGTCGCCCTTTGAGAGCACCTCCTGGTCGCTGCCGCTGCTCAACGAGTTGAACCACATGCGACCCAAGCTGCGAACCATTGAGACTGAGGTGCTTGCTTGGAACAACTACTCCGATGTGATCTTCGTGGCAGATTTCCCCGGACTTACATTGACCAACTTTATCTCACCGGAGCTTATTAACTGCACTCTGACCATCCTGGAGGGCAATGTGCGGTACAGAAACGTACGGGACTATGAGGCCTACTTTCTGACCGCCGGCAAGAGCATAGGCCTGGAGAGCAACATAACCCACTTGGTGACCACCATTGGACAGAAACCAGCCTCGTATCTGTTCACGTACACGAACAAGACGATGCTGGAGCAGGGGATCACGAAAGATGAGCCGGAACAGGAGGAGCGCTCCATCCTGCCGCTGTGGAAGGAGTTCCAGCATCGGGTGACCAACTACCAACAGTTTCTAAGCCACATTGGCAACTGTCTGCTGTACTTGCTCTACGGTGTGCCCATTCCGCTGGCCGCGCGGGAGAGAGATTGAGATTGAATATGAAGGCTTGCTATCGGAACTGTTTCGATTTTCACTTGATCCTTATTCGATTTTGAATCAAAACTTTGGTGTTTTTACATTTATTAGAAAAGTATAAAGGGCACTAAATAAAATATGTCTATTCAAAAACAAGTTCTAAAAAAATCTTTAAAATATTAAAAAGATCACGATTTTACTCATGGAATATGATTGTGACTTAATTTTACATAAAATGTAAACGATTTAAATTACTGAAATGCAAATCCAGTTCCCCTTCGCGAGCATAAATGTATACAGGAATAATTCCATTTAATAATAGTAAACAAAAAATATTTTTTGCTTATATAACTGACCGCAAAACTTGAAAATGAAAAAAATGTATACCAATCGAATCCCAATAACGTGAAAACCGAAACAGACCGATGTATCAGAATGTATGGGTGATAAAACTGATAATAAATGTTCCATATTGTACCGCAACCCGTGCTATTTCTCTTATCGCATATCTACAACTGTATTTACAAACGTCACAATGATACTTTAAACCTATAAATAGCGAATCTCCGTGCCGGGAAGATTCTACGGTGAATTTAGTGGGTTAGGGAGGGCCAAACGAAGGGGAGGGATATAACATTGAAACAAACACATACATAGGGTACGAGCCTCGTCTACGCCACGCCCCGCGCCTTCTTCGCTGCCGCCTCATCCTTGCTCTCCCGGCTTGGGTCGAATTGCTGCGTCTGCGTCTCCCAGAGACGGGCATAAAGCCCGTTTTGCCTCAGCAGCTCTGGGTGGGTGCCGCGTTCGCCCACACGGCCGTTCTCCAGGACCAGGATCTCGTCGGCGTCCTTAACGGTAGAGAGGCGGTGGGCAATGCAGATGCTGGTGCGTCCGGTGGTGGCGCGGGTCAAAGCCTGCAGAATGTTCTGTAAAATAATAATAGCCAAGTAAGTCGGTCAGCCTATAACGGGTACAACACAAGAAACTCACATGCTCTGTAATGGAGTCCAGACTGCTGGTAGCCTCGTCGAAGATCAGGATTGGGGTGTTCTTGAGTATGGCTCTAGCAATGGCCACGCGCTGTTTCTCGCCACCGGACAGCTTCAATCCTCGCTCGCCCACCTGAGTGGAGTACTGTGCTGGCCAGCTCATAATAGACTCATGCAAATCCGCCATGCGGGCGGCGTTCTCCACCTCCGCGTGCGACTTGGTCAGATTGCCGTAGTGGATGTTGTGCTCAATTGTGTTGTGGAACAGTACAGAGTCCTGCGGCACAACAGCAATAACCTTTCGCAGACTTTCCAAGTCCACGGCGCTGATATCTTGCCCTCCGACCAACACTTTACCCGAGTTTGGCTCGAAGAAACGGAAGAGCAGGCGTACCATAGAAGATTTCCCTGAGCCAGAGCCTCCCACAATTGCCACGTTCTTGCCGGCGGGTATGGTAAACGACAGGTCCCGAAAAATGGGCTTGCCCGGTTCATACTCGAAGTTCACGTTGCGGAACTCGATGGAGGAGTTGCTGGTGTCCACGAACAGAGGCTGGGCGTTGCTTGCCGTCTGTATACTGCTGTCCACGTTCATCAGCGTGAACATGGCCTGCATGTCCAGCAGAGCCTGACGCACTTCGCGGTACACACTGCCCAGGAATCCGAGGGGGATAGAGAGCTGGAAGAGCAAGGCGTTCACCATCACCAAATCGCCCACTGTCATATTGCCCTGGGCGATCTCTTTGGCGGCCAGCACCATGATCAGACTTAGGGCGCTGCTGAAAATGGCGTTCTGCCCGAAGTTGAGCAGTGCCAAACTGGAGCTTGTCTTCAGGCTAGCCGTCTCGTACTTTTTCAGCACTTCGTTGTAGCATCCTGCCTCGTACTTTTCGTTGTTGAAGTATTTAACCGTCTCGTAGTTGATCAGCGAGTCCACGGCCTTGTTGCCGGCCTCGTTTTCCGCCTGGTTCATGTAGACGCGGAACTGCGTGCGCCACTGGGTCACGCTCAGCGTGTAGGCGGCGTATATGCCCACGCAGCCCATGCTCACACCAGCGAAAGCCAGGCCACACTTCACTCCCAGGATGCTGGAAACGAGTGCCAACTCGAAGATTGTAGGCACTATGTTAAAGACCATGGCGGAGAGCACAAAGTTGATGCCCCTTGATCCTCGGTCTATAGTCTTGGAAAGAGCTCCCGTCTGCTTGTTCAGGTGGAAAGCTAGGTCCAGGTTGTGCAAATGAAGGAACACATTGCTGGCGATCTTTCGGATCGAGTGGTGGGCCACCTTAGCAAACACTGCATTGCGCAGCTCGTTGAAACCTGCTGCACTTGCTCTAGCAATACCATCTGCGTAATTCACATGTTTAATACTTATTCTAATATTCAAGTCAAGGAATAGACTCACATCCCAGCATCAGGGCAGTAGCTGCGGAGAGCACTGCATCCGGAGCGGTGTCCATGTTCAACGTTGTCATAGTGTCCACGGCTCCTTTGAACAAGAATGGAACGCAGACGGTCAGAAGTTTGGAGCCAGCCAATAGTCCCAGGGAAATGCCCACTCTGTGGATAATCAAATAATATATAAAAGATAAGTATCGTTTATCAGATGGACTTACCGCTTCCGCACTAGAGGATCCTCTTTGGGCCAGATGTAGGCCATCATGGCGCGCAGCATATCCTTGGAGGTGACCTCCGGTGCGTCCAGCTTGCCCAATCCTGAGCCACCATCGCTGCCGCCCCCTATATGAACATGACATTGTCGTGATTGCTGTTGTTGTGGGCGGTATAGTCGCTGCCGCTGTAGCTTTGTTGTTTTTGCTGCTGCTGCTGGGGCTCCACCTGCATTGAATTCACTTGGATGCAGCAAAATTCAGACAGGCGCTCAACACAACAAGCGCACAAACAAACAAACAAACGAACGGGCATTGACCGACTTGGATTACAAAGGTACTCGGTACACAAAACAAAATCAATTTGGGTTAATCAATAGAAAAAAGCGTGAGAGGCTAGTACTAAACAATAAAACCTGCGGATCAGCAGGGATGCTATGTTAATTACGGGAAGTCCGGCATTGGTTAATAGCTGGGTTATTGGACATTCCTTAGGGCACCTACCTTTGGCCTTTTTGCCGAAAACACCACCCAGCAGCTTACTGCCCGGCGTGGGCGTAAACGGGGTTATCTTCTTCCGCTTGACATCGCTGTTACCCTGATCTTCCGCCTTGACCAGCGACGAGTACAGCTGAAAGGTCACAATTTTAATTAGAGTAATCACAAATCGTCATAAATATTGTTCTGGTATTTATTACAAAAATAAACAATTTTGTTTGCGGTGTTAATAAAATGTCTTAAAGGATATATGTTAATTTAACTGTTTAAACTGTTATTACTTTATTTAAGGTGCCTGAAATTATCAAAAAATGCTTTGTACTGATTTTAAATCTAAGCACAGCCTCGATTATTTCTATTCTACTGGATGAGTTATTTGAAAGTTAGCCAGATAGCGAATGCACTCCTCCAGGTAAGACCGTGCAACCGACCCACTCTCCGACGGCTTTGGAAGTTTATCCAGCTCTCCCACAAAGATTTGGTACTCCTTTATTTTGTAGGCCACCAGATAGGACAGCTCCGGCTGCACATCCTCGAACTGTTCAGCGTCACCAAAGGCGATTTGGTTAAGTATGTTTGGGAAGTAGGCCTGCTGCTTGAAGATCAGGTGCAGCACCACCCTTAAATTGTGCGAGCAGCCATCGTCGATGTGCACAAACATCTGATCGTTTAGATTGTGCTCCCTGATAAACTTGAATATGTTCCGGTGGTAGGTCTGCGTGGATAGCTCCTTATTATGCTTAACCATGTGCTCAATGTCCAGCAGAGATAAATCAAAGTAATCGTGCTTATTTTCTTTTAACCAAAAACCATACTCTGTTAAAAGCTTAAAGTTAGGCAGAGCACCGTAACTGATGAACAGTTGGTCATAGATTTTGGTTTTGGAAAAAGGTAGGGATTTCAATGAAAGGACATAATCTTGGCCGTGAATCTCTGCCGTAGTTTGAACACTGTCGGAGTGGTTGAAAAGGTCCAGGAACGGAGCCAATGCCAGATTGGTGTCGCCACTGATCAAAGCCTGGAAGTGACTGCTCTGCTTTTTCAGAAAGCGGGAGCTGAGGTGGACGCTTCTTGTGTTTACTGTGAAGTAGGCCCATTTGAATTCAGCGAGTGTCCAGATCTCCAGGCCATAACTCTTCCCACAGCAATCGCAGCTGAGAAAACTCACCAGACCTTTGATTATCTCGTAGTATCCCCGTATCTGGCGGTTCTGGGCAACAGTTCGCTCTAGCAAAGATTCCGGCAGACATTGCAGCTCGGGTATGGAGCAGAAATAGGGAGCAGAGTAGCTTCTGGGCAGAGTGTCCAAATAAGCAGCGTAACCAGAGGATTTAGAACAATCCTGTAGGTGCTTGTGGTACATAAGATAACAGGCGACCAACGCTTGAAAGGAAATCCTAGCGTCCTTGTCGAATAGGTCCTTGTTGAAGAGACTTTTGAATTCCATATCCGATTCCAGGGTGGCTATGCTTATGAGGCAATCAACGGGCAGACGAATGAGCTCGTCCTCTGGGTAGAAGGTGTCCTGTTTCGAGCACAAGCCCCTTCCAGTCTGAGCATAGTTCTGAGCGGATAGGTGAGTGTGGTTCTGCCAGCCGAGGGAGTGAAGGTGAACGTAGAGATTCTGTAGGGAGCTGGAATCCTCTGCTGATTTCTGAGCCCTCTGAAGCCGGAGGCGCTGAGTGCGACCCATTATTTCCGATCTAGTAGTCTGTGTGTGCGCTGTTTTGGTCTTTATCTATATCTCTATGCTTGCTGCAACGAAATAAGCCAGAGCGTGGAGCATTAATTTATCAGGTAAATGGGAAAAGGACCAAAACAACGCACACGCAGACTGTTTTGCCCCTATGACTGTTGGTAATTTCCACTCAATCAAACCGCCAATTCATTGCGTATTTACGCCTAATTACGAAATCGTAATCTAGTCTAGATAGTCTGGCATGTGGCCTTGAAATAGGTCTCTAGACCCGGTCGCGGAGTACTCACCACTCTGGCCTGCACGTGTGTTCCCTTAACGAACGTGTAGCATTTCGCGCGTCCTAAGTGAGCGGGTAGATGAATGCTGCACTTCTTGGTCAGATGAAGGAGTCCGGCCATTACTCAATTGCCAGGCGAAAACAAAATAAAATCCCTCTTCTTTAGCACCGTCCCTGTGTTTATGCGACGATATCTGCGTGGGCAGTGTTGGTTAACGTCGAACACTAGGTCAGCTGTTAGGTGTTTCCGTCTCGTTGTGACTGGCTCCCCAGGTATGAGCCAATCGAACCAGTTCCGTTCCATCCGATGAGAAAGAATATTTATTATTTGTTGAAGTACAGACAATTAAAAATAATAAGCTAACAAATTGCATTTATTTTTTTTTAGTAAATATCTTCATATATCTAAATGTATATTAAGTAACAAATAGGCATATGCAATTTTTCGGTACATTTGTTTTTTAATTGCAAATACATCATTTAATAAATTTCTAAACTCAAAAATTAATAATTGGTTTCAAATAACTCTTTGATAAAAAATATTGTTTGCATAAGGTCACTTTATTTCAAAAAATTAAACCATATTTGCGACCATCAAAAGAACTAGATCATCATAGCAGTTCCATTTTATCACTGCCGCTACAAAGCCGGCATATCTGAATTCTGGAACAGTCGAACTCTCGAAGATGTCGCTGTTTGGTTTGATTATCTCCGGACGCCTGCCGCAATCGGATTTTGTGGCCGTGGACACCACTAAGCTGCTGGTCAATGTGCCCGACATCGAGTCCGTCAACTACCTGGTAGTATTCCTCACCGGCGTGTCACCTCTGCCCATCGGCACTTCCGCGGCGATATACTTCAGCTGGCCGGACGCAAACGCGGCGCCCACATGGCAGTATCTCGGACACATAAACAACAACAAGCCTTCCGCTATCTTCAAGATCGCCCAGCTGAAGAAGAGCCACGAGCTGGAGGCCCACGCCCACGGAATGGTCTTCGGCAGCCAGGAGATCTCACACATTGCCCAGATAGGAGTGTCACTCGAACCGGAGCTAACGGTGGCCCAGCAGACGCCAGCGGTGGTAAGTTCTAGAGCTGGAAAAATATAGATTTTAATTTTTTTAATTCAATACATTTCAACCATACTTTTATAAAAGAATCTGTCATTTTGGTTATCTTACCTTATGCTATCTTTTTAAAGATTGCTTAACTCCTAAACTAAACAAATTACCTTGATTATTTTGGAATGTTCTATTCCTTCATTGGGACCGTCACAAAAACCAATTTGTTCAACCAAATCTAAAGAATAGAAGTTTCTTTTGAATTTCACGCCTAAGCTAAGAATATTTACTAATCACAGATAAAATGTCAGGGTAGCCCGATTATTAATCTTTAGATCTGTCATAAAATAAATTTCCAAAAAATATCCAACAGGTTTCTAGTTACTGATTGTCTCCTATCACTAAAGATAAGTTATTTCTCCTTTATTGCAGTCCAGCGCCAACGACAACAAGCAATTTGGTCAGCGAATGCTGGAAAACTTCTTCAACTACGCCTCCAGCTTCGGAGTTTCAGCCAGAGACATCCCGCCCGCCTCGAGCGAGACCTTCGTACCTTTCTCCGTCGTTCAGAACTGGTATACGAATTTCCAGCGACGTATGGAACAGAACCCGAACTTTTGGAAGTACTAAGGACACCCGGACGATGGAGGAGTCTCCTCCTTAAGTTGTTGATATTACAAGTAAAGTTTTATATTCGTACTCTGTCTGTATCTATTGGCTATCGTTTAATGGGTGGACTTAATGAGGTTACTATAAACGGTATTAACTTGATTTCGCTATAGATCCGGTTTCGTTGGCTCGGAACCCGTCTCCTCGGGACTATTCTTGTTCTTGACAAAGTGCGGTCTAGAAGCTTGAGGCTTAGAATGCGGAGATGGGGCCGAGGATGGAGCTGGAGCCGATCCCAACCTCTTTTTGCTAAAAGATTCGCCCTTGGATGGCGGCGATGCTCCTCGTTTGGATGGAGAACGTGGGTTTTTACTTGGTTTATCCATTGGTGGACTTTGAGCTTCTGGAGCTGCAGGAGACGGAGACGGCGCTGAATCCGAACCCGATTTCTTCTTGCTTAAAGATTCGCCCTTGGATGGTGGCGATGCTCCTCGTTTGGATGGAGAACGTGGGTTTTTACTTGGCTTAGCCATTGGTGGACTATGAGCTTCTGGAGCTGCAGGAGCCGGAGACGGCACTGAATCCGAACCCGACCTCTTCTTGCCTGAAGATCCGCCCTTGGCTGGCGGTGATGAGCCACCCTTGGCGGAAGAAGATGATTGGGTGTCCGCCTTGGCCTTCTCCTGCTGCGCCTTAATTTTTGCCTCGAGGCGCTCCTTGTTTTCCGGGGTCAGCTCTCCGAAGATGCTCTTGATGATGGCCTTGTACTCGTTGTAGTGCTGAACCTTGTTACCAGTGGCTGGCGAGGAGCTGGGCGGTCGTCCGTGATAGGACACGCAGCGGCTGTGGAGAAAGGCAGATTGGGATTAGAATTTTTAAGGGACACCCAGTATTTTTCCCCCGTCACCCAAAACTCGGGCAACGCCTCTGTCATGTTCTTTGGTCTATTTAAACAAAAGCATTGGCGGTGGGCGACGTGAACTGATTTTTATTCAGTCTCTCCGCCTATCGTACTTTTTGGGGCCTGCAAAAAAGCAATTTGGCAAGCTGACATATTTATTCAGTCTATATAGTGGCCACTATATATATATATCGACGTCTTCGAGAGCGCTTCTCGGTCTGCGTGGCATCCGAAACACGCGCAACCTCTCTTGGCCATGCTGCAAATTCTATTGCCTTTCAAGATCTATCAACATTGATATGCCCTGCAGATAATCGCAAGGGCTTCTCATAGATTTACTAGGTTTTGAGAATAATTTAGTAGTTTTATTTTACCAATTTTGTTCAGCTTATCTTGAAATACCTTGCAAAAATAATGAAAAGATCATTTATATTAAACAGAAATTTTAAATATCCAAAATTTACAAAGTGTCTTTGTTTACAAATGAAAAAAAATGGATTTTCAAATTCTTAAATTAAATAATTATACACACAACGGGCAGTTATTAAAATGGGTTTTTTCATCAAGTAGTTGATGAAGACCATGATTTATCCTTTATTAAAAAAATTACCCTGGATTTGCTACCCATCTGCAGGGCATCAGCACTTCGTGGTTTATGCACCTTCGGATCTACACAATTCATTTGCAATTACATAGATTGCTGACTGATCAATGATCGGATGGTTGCCAGCGAGGCGCAGCCACAGGGAACGGATAGGCTGATCTCGGTGCTGCTCCCGCCGACGGATTGCGCCAGTTTCGCTTGCAACGCGTTGAGTGAAACATAGTCGAGTGCGATCGAGGAATAAGCCCGATTTGGTCGCGTGTTGGCCACGAAATAGGTCAACAGAAGAGCAAGTCCCACGGCCACGCCCACAAGATGACAGCCAAGCAGCAGGGGGATTGGCAGGCGGGATCAAAGGAGGACGAGGAGCGGACGACATCAATGTCGCAGGCAGCAGCTAATAATAATCATAATTCGCAGCGGCTTGTTGATGGCATCGTAAATCAGGGGACTGAGTCAGCCGTGTTATGTTGGTCAAAAGCGGCGCCGGAAGTGCTCGGAATGGCAGGGCAATTTCCGGTTGGCCAAGGAATCACTTGGCGAGGCAACTTCCCCATGATTCACTCGCTGCAGCATCAACTTGTTTGCAGGAACAAGCGAATATATCAGTCATATAATCAACCTATGCAGTCAGGAACATTTCCAATGCACTTAAATTTAAGTTTAAATGGAGGGTTTCCTTTGCATATCTGGGATACAATCACTATTGACCGCGAAGAACTAGATAACCATACAATTTTAACTGAAACACAGCTATTTACACCACATCAAGTATACGCCCCATACACTACAAGCTTCCCCCTTCAACAAGTATACGCCCCATGGCACCAAAATTTTCCTAAACTGCTGCAATTGCCGCGAAAGAATTCCGACGGCGCCTTCCCAGACATGAGCACCACCATGACCCGGCGCGGGCAGGTGGCCCGATCACCCGCCGAGCCGGCTTCCCAGGAATTTCCCATAATTAAAAAACGATTTGTTAGCTTTCCCAATTATCGAGCAATGCCTCAAGATGGGCCGGAATATCCACCCACCGCTGCCGCCACAACAACAATGACGCAGCCGGGCCTCGACAAAGTCACCGAAATAGACGGCGGAGGAGGTGTACATAAGGTGCTAGCGATGTTTGATAATGAACTCGAGGCCGAGGAGCGTTCGGCGGCAGCAGAGGCAGAGGCAAAAGCATTAAACTTGAACGTGGCAAGGGAAATCGAGCATCAACAGGCGGAAAATCTTAATGACGCCGTCGGCAAGCAGCGACACGACCACAAAAACGACGACGCCATGGATGGGGCCAAAAATAAACGCGAAATATGCGAGCAAAGCAAATTAGAGAAGGCCGAAGATCATAATGAGCCAAATATGAGAGATCGCGAGCAGCAGTCAATATGCTTGGCCAGGGAGCAGACAATAGATGGGAATGGGAATAGGCATCAGCATCAGCACCAGAATCGAAATCGGAATAGCAACCACCAGCAGTCCGGCGATCTCTCAGACGCCCGCGAATCGTCGCCAGAGCAAGTGGACGTAAATCTCGGTCGGCTACTGACCCGCGAGCGGAATCCGAATCCGAGTCCGAATCGAACCCTGCCAAATATAGAATTACTGAAGAGTTCCGTGCGCGCCTTCCTCGCCAAAAGTTCGTCGCCGTCACCACGTTTGCAGCCCAACTGGGATTGGGACTGGGAGCTGCTCGACCTTTTGACCGACGCCATTGAACTGATCTGTGGACAACAGGAGACGGGTAACCTTTGGAGCGAGGCGGCCGTCGGAGCGGACATGACCGTGAGCAAAGTCAGCGAGGAGCGGGAGACAGAATCGGTAGACGTTTATCCCGAGCAACCCGATCAGCCGGCGGAACTAGATGATAACAACAATACTGGCAGCATTGAACCACCACCCAGCGACATGAAGTACGAGCTGAAGACTGCCAGCCCAGCACTGCCCAGCAGGAGTAGGAGTCCTCGAACGGAGTCGCCAGTTAGTAGAATAAGTGCCACAGGTCGTATACGTAATGTGGAGGCGAGTGTACCCACAACCACAACACGTGCTCCTCTGCTGGGGGATATAAGGCTCAACTCCACCAGTCGCGATACCATCTCCTCCATCGATGCGGATTCAGTGCTGCCCGAAAGGACGCGTCTACGTCGTCAGCGACGCGTTCGCTCGCAGGATTCCGTGGAGGAGAAGCCCGAGGATGTGATCGAACGACTGAACAAACTCAAGGCCCGGATTTCCGGAGCACTTAGCGAGGTAAAGGGTGTGCTCAAGCAGTACAGCACGGAGAGCGAGGCGGAATCGGCGGCAGAGCAGTCACAGGTGGCACCAGATGGAGTGGGTGAACCTGCTCCCGTTTCCTTTCGCTTTGTAAAGAAAGTGCGACGCCGCAGCTACTTCGATGAGGCCGAAGAGGAAAAGGAGCAAGCTAAAGAGGGTCAGGAAAATGCTGCTATGGTCAATGATATTCAAGAAACCAAAGAAACTATAAAGGAGGATGTGGCACATAAAACTAGTACAGATACTAAGGTTCAAAGAGAGCAGACACCCTTTGCTAGAGAAAAATCAGAAGTTCCTGAAAATCAGGAAAGCCAAGTCAATGAAAAGCAGGCATGCAGTGAAAACCAAGAACCAAAAAATAATGAAGAGCTTAAGCCAACTGTGCTTAAAAGTGAGGGGACTAAAGTCAATGAAAAATTGGAGGACACTGAAAAAAAAGATACAAAAGTTATTGGAAATCAAGATACAAAGACCCTTACAAATCAGGATAATCTGGATGGTGCTAAACAGGAAAAAGAGGAATTTACAGCGGTTAAACAAACAGAAACTGAGAATCAAGATAAGAAAATCATGAATCATGATATTAAAACCCATCTTAAGGAGCACAAGGATATACAAATCCAAGAAGTTTCGTCAGAGCCACCAAAAATAAATGGTGAACTACCAAAGACAACAGAACAATTCAAACAACCTGCGAAAAACAAGACCCAGGCCAAAATTGAGTTCCTGGCCAAGGTTCAGAGTGAACTCAAGTCTAAATCCGCCAAAGGTGCAACTCCCCAGGATGAGACTTCTAGGGATAAAAGTCCTAGGAAAGAAACTGGAAAGGTATTAACGCCCCAAGAGAACACTACCAATGAAACAATGTCCAAGGACACTACTCCCAAAGAAGCAACTCCCAAGGAAACTACTCCTGAAGAAGCAACTCCCAAGGAAGCAGCTCACAAGGAAGAAACTCCAATGGAAATAACTTCCAAAACAGAAACTCAAAAGGAGTCAACCCCCAACGAACCTACAAAAGTAACCACAAGTAAACATGAAGCGGAAACCAAACAATCTGTGGCCCTTAATTCAGAAGTGGCCGTGCCAGATGAGTCAGCCGCATCGCAACCACCGTCCAAGATCAAGAAGAAAGTCATCGTGAAGGTGAAGAACCCCAGACGTGCCTCGATCGCCGCCGTGGAACCATCCAAGATCAAGGTGGAGCCGGCCGTCGAGCAGAGCGATGCTCTCATCACTCAGCGGCGACCCTCCGACTCGGAGGCGATCGTCAAGCGCAAGAAGAAGCTGAAATTAATCGGCGACACAGCAGCTATATCCGCATCCACATCCACATCCCCATCCCCAAGAGCGACATCATCGACAACAAAAGCTGCCGACCATCAGAGGGAGACGACTTCGATAGCCGAGGAGACGGCGGCCAGTGAACAATTGGCTACGCCAGAGGTCACAGCGGTGCCAGCCAAGTTGCCCAGTGCCAAAAGCGACCAAGGAGAAGCGACAGCAGCAGCAGAAACTGCAGCAGCAACAGAGGCGACAAGTGCAACATCAGCAATCGATTCTGATCCGGCGATTGGCAATCTAGCGCCAGCAGGCGATCGAATCAGACGCGCCAGCCTGAAACTAGCGGAGTTGGTGGGTGAAACGGTGCTGGTGGTGCCGGCAGCAACCCCAGGCCCAAAAGAACCATTGCCCGAGTCCAAAGAACCCATCAATCAGGGGACGAAGGTGCTAGCGACGCCTCAACAGGTGGCCATCGCCGCTGACATTGCGCCACAAATAGCAGCGACATTGAGGCACGAAGAGTCATCGCCAGAGCAGCAGGCGCAGTCGCATTCGCCAGTAGAAGCTACAAAAGCCGGAGAACAGGCGCCTCCCGGCGACAGTCTAGCCACCATGCCGGAGCTGAAAGTACTAGCGGGTCCGGTGCAGCCCGTCAAAATCGAGACGGTCGAGCAGCCCCTTGATGGAGCGAAAAATCAAGAGCCCCTGGTCAAGAAGAAGGCTCCGCACCTCAAGAAGCTGGTGCGCAAGAATTCCATAGAAAAGGAGCAGGAGAAGACGGACTCCAGCAAACTGAGCAACATTCTGCGCGACAGGAACAAGATCAATGAGCTTTCCTCTAGGATCAACAAGCTCACTCCGCCCAAGAAGCAGGTTAAACCCAAAGAGGAGGAAAAAAAGGCACCAGTTGCCGAGCAGAAAGATGAGAAGCCTGAGGAAGAAGTCGTTCCTTTGGAAGAAACCCCAGCCGAAAACCAAGTTCATGAAGAGACCGAAGTGGAACCTGAAGTCGAACCTGCGCTGGAGCCCAAGAAACCCCGCAAGATCAAAAAGAAGGTCATCATCAAGCGGCAGAAACGACGCCTCTCCGTCGGCGACACATTCTTCCTGCAGCCGGAGCCCGAGGAGCCCACAATTCCGGAGGTGGAAACCATTGAACGGGCCATTGCCTACGTGACGGATGACGAGGAGGATACCAAGGCGCCCGAGGAGGAGCCAGAGCCCATCAAAGCCCTCAAATCCTGCCTGCATGTAAGGGAATACAAGATCGGAGACTTGGTGCTCTATGCGGAACGCTATCGCAAGACACAAGTGAAATGGAAACGCGGTCGAGTGCTCGAGCGGATCACCAGCATTTCGTACAAGCTGGAAATCGAGGGAAAGGAGGTTCCCGCCCATGTCAGCTATATAAAGAAATACACTGGGCGCAAAGTGCGATTCGGAGGCAAGGAGTACCTCGAGATCGATTATGAACAGGTGGCCGAGGAGGAGCGCCGAGCGGCCAGCTACAGCATATGGAACATGGTGTAGACGCCAGAGATTATCCCACCATATCCCCCAGTGGTGTCCAGTGTCCAGCCATTTTTGAGTGGAATTAAAAAATTGTTCGCCATGCGAGGTAATTTTTTAAGGATCTCAACTCGACATTCAGTTATGTTATAGTGATTCGTCCTAGTCAGTGTACATAGAGTAGCTAGCTTAGTGTTATCCTAGTGTTTAGTGTAACTTATTCCAGGCCTTTCGTTTACATCTTAAGTACTCTGTATGTGTAATTATAAACAAGCTATTTAATGTTAAATAAAGCGGAAAATATTTCAGTTATGCGAGAGCGTTCTATTTTGGGCGTTCCAAAGCCAATTACTCATAAAACTTTTATGAATCTGTTTATTCCGATGCTAGCCATTCGTCGATTGATGCTTCCCCCTCTCGATTCTTGTTGTTTTCGGGGTTATTTATAAAGCGAATCTGGCGATGAATGAACAATAAAACAGAGGCTAGGGGCTAACAGGCGCTACTGAGTAGTTGGACCATGGCCCACGGCCAGGCAAACATCTCAATCAGCAAACAAAATAATATTCCACCCACTCCATCAATGTCGATAATAGCCCCCAAAGATCACCCAGATGTGGACAACAGAGAAATGCGTGCCATTAATAAAACTTTGGCGGGCTTTGCTGTGCAGTGGCCTGCATTAGACATACGTATAGAAACCGAAAAAGAAACAGATTCGCAAGACAAAAGCAAAAACATTCCGCCCAAGATCATCGGACATTTCTCATAATTGATTGTCAAGGCGTTCGGTTCGGCGCTTTCGGAATTCTTATTCGCGAAAAATCTCTCGCAATTACCAGAGACTTTAATTCACGCTGACAAAAACAACAAAGAAATTGGGAAAACACACAACACACATGCCAGCCATAAACATATCGCGCCGGGGAATGAGGCATGCCATCATATAGTAGACGCGGACCTGCGAATATGCTACATTCCTAAGGCCTCTGGCGGGATTTTCATTCAATTTTCGGGGCTGGCAACCGAGTACTATACGTGCGATCAAGACATTATGTTTGCCTCGTAGCGAGTACACAGGAAAAATTAATATTTCATGGGTATTGTCAGTGAACTGTCAAATAAATTAATACAAAGCGGTAAACAAAGGATATAATCAGACATGCCTTATTTGCCTTTCTTTATCAAAAAACAGGTGATTTTAATCAAGTGTCTGGGACTTTTAAAAAACAATATAAATCAAATTAAGCAAGACAGCTTCTGATTAAGTAGAAATTCAAATTAAATATATCTAAAAACTTGCGCAACAGGTTGTTGTATTTCATTAAATTTAACGAAATTGATTTAGACAATCACTTGTTTGAAAAATATATTGAACCTGTACTATTTTTAAAAAGATCTATGTACATTCCCCGTATTTTTCCAGTGCACATACATATTTGCACAAAAGCAATTGAAAAACAAAGCACATTTCATTCTATATGTTCGGAATTTCGAGTTGAGCGATAGTTGGGAACACTTATGAAGACCAAAACATCCGCAGAGCAGCAACAACATCAAAGATTTCAAGTGCAGAGAGAGGGTCCTCGCGGTTACACATAAAATCATATATCTGTCTCGTGCAATATATTTGAATTTTCCCCCGAAATGTTTATGTGGTCAGGGAAGCAATATTGTTTTCCATAAATCAGAGAAGAAATCTAGCGCAGCATTAGCGTTATTAGGGACCATTGTTGGGTCCGAATGCGAATTAAAATTGTCGTGGAGAGGCGAGATATCTCGGCGAAGACCCCGTCTATAAGGAGAGGAGCCATGAACAGGGGCGGGGAAAGTGTTTTAGTATCAAACGCCGCGAATCTGTGCCAAGTTCCTTGCGCCAGTTCTGTTCTTTGGCCGTAAATACAATGCGATGTCCAACATCGAATCGACATGGCTGTCCGCGGTCTGCAACGAGGTCGTTCGGACCGGGCCAATTACTAACAACGCAGTTGCCAAATTGCACAAATTATTGGAGCCTTCGGCTCGTGGCAATTAATCGTATCAGAGCGACAGCAAACCGTCCATGAACCCGCATATTTCATCGCTTACTAACCCCGATTTATTATAGTAATAAAGTCAAAGAACTATTTCACCTTATAGTAAATTTCGAGTCAGGAAACGAATTTGCGGGGGCGCCGTTTGAACTCTGGCGAGGCCAAGTGCGTTACACATTCTCGAACGAACCACCCGAAGACCAAACAACAATATATTTGGCAATGTTTATAGAAGCAGTCCCCACGTTTGTAAATCTTTAGGGCAACCTTCTCGAATCCGCTTGGCACACGTTTGGTTGCAATAAAAAAAGCAAGTGTTAATGATTAGTGCATTGTATATATAGAATAAAAAAATACTTGATATTAAGATGTTTCTAGAGTAACCCATTGGTAAATAATATATGTACATATTTAAGCAATGATGTGAATGTATAATGAGTAGTTTATAAAGTGTGATCGTAAGATAGTAAACAGGTAAAAAAATAATGATGAAAATAATTTTAGAAATTTGATGTTTCAAATCGTATAGGTATGATATACCCCTATCCACAAAAAACACCAGGTATCAAAAGCAAAAACAATTAAACCGAACATCCCCAAATCTTTGCTGTTGGCATGCTTTTGGCTTAGGTGTCAACATCGCTATCGCCATCGCCATCACCAAGAGCGCCAAAGATGGCGTCACACGGCAATGCCGCCCGCCTCCATCTTACCATCTCGGAATTTGGGGGTGTCAGGCGATGCGTGAGACGTCCGAGGAGTCGTCACCAGCACCGATTGACACTTTGAAGGTGCGTCAACGATAATCGCACCTGAATTGAATCACCCGAGGGGAGTAGCCCAAGGCCTGGCACTGCACCTTGGCATTTAGAGAGTGTGAGATTATCTCTATGTCTAGGACTTACCTTTCGTTTTCGTTTTTAAGCAGCGCGGTGTCGAATCGTGGCTGCACGTAGAACCAGCCGCCCATGTTCTTGTGCTCCTCCTGCGCCCACAGCAAATCCGCCTCTGGATACAGTTCCAACTGCTGGGAGATCAGGTCGTAGGGGAAGGGACAGAGCTGGAGGTTTAGGGAGAAATTAAAATGATATATAACTATGGCCATAAGATGAGCCAACTTACCTGTTCCACCCTTACAAGGGCCACCGTCTCGACCTGTTCGTGGTCGTCGCGCTCCTTGAAGAGATCGTAGTAAACCTTGCCGGAGCAGAATACTACCTTTTTGACGCACTCGGGATGCTTGCCGGCGGGACCTTTGTCGGGAATAATCCGCTGGAAGCAGCTGCACTCGTTGAAATCCTTGAAAGGACTTCGGGCCAGCGGATGTCGGAGCAGAGACTTCGGCGAGAAGTTAATCAGGGGCTTGCGGAAACCCATTTTCACCTGGCGGCGCAGGCCGTGGAAGATGTTGGCTGGCGTGGAGAAGTTCGTCACGATCCAGTTGATGTTCATTAGCTGGCGCGCCACAAAGTCGCAATCGCAGGTGTCCGGATAGACGTCTGGATCGTCGTCGCTCATTTGGAGGAACCGCTCCATTCGGCCAGAGGAGTGCTCCGGGCCCATGCCCTCCATGCCGTGAGGCAGGAGCAGCACAACTCCAGACTGGCGCACCCACTTGGTCTCGCCGCTTGCAATAAACGTGTCGATGATGCACTGCGCCGTGTTGCAGAAGTCGCCGAACTGGCCTTCCCACATGACCAGCGCATGGGGACTGGCCATGGAGTAGCCATGCTCAAAGCCCAGCACCGCGCACTCAGAAAGGGAGCTGTTGGACACGGAGTAGGGAGCCTGGTCGGGATACAGATGATCCAGTGAGTTGTACACCACCTTATCGGCCGTCTGGTGGTGCAGGACGTGGTGCCGGTGCGAGAAGGTGCCGCGCTCCACATCCTGACCGGACAGGCGCACATGGATGCCCTCCTTCAGCAGCGAGCCAAAGGCAAAGGCTTCGCCCAACGACCAGTCCGCCACTTTGTCCTGGACCATCTGCTTTCGCAGGGCCATGATGCGGTGGATGCCCCTGGAGGGGTTTAAAATAGGATATTACGAGATAACTATTGTTCATTTATGCGACTCACTTGTGCATTTCGAACTTGTGCTCCGGCGGCGGCGGACTGGAGAATATCTCGCCAATCGTCTTTAGGGTGTCCGTGCTGATGCCGGTGGGACACAACTCTAGCCGATCGCGTCCTTCAAAGAATCCCGGCCATGGGGAGTCTATCCAGGAGGAGTACTGCGGAGAGGGTACCCAGTCATTTAAGGCGATTATTCAGTCTTCCCTTTCTTACCCGTATGGTCTTGATAGTCTTGGACTTGGCCCAAGCTTCCTCGCAGATCTTGTCGTATTCAGAGACCAGTGCCTTGAACTCGTTTTCGGTGACCACACCCTCCTTGATCAGTTTTTCCGAGTAGAGCTGTAGGCATGTTTTCAGCTTACGGATGCGCTGGTACATGAGTGGCTGGGTGAACATTGGCTCATCCGCCTCGTTATGCCCGTTGCGTCGGTATCCGACTATGTCGATGACCACATCCTTCTTAAAGGCGTCCCGGTATTCGGCGGCAATGCGGGCGCACTTGATACAGGCCTCTGGATCGTCGGCGTTCACGTGCAGAATCGGAGCAGACACCACCTTGGCCACGTCCGTGCAATAACGCGAGGAGCGGGAGAAGCGCGGATCCGTAGTGAAGCCCACCTGGTTGTTGGACACAATGTGAATGGTCCCGTAGGTGGTATAGTTGGGCAAGTCAGACAAATGCATCGACTCGTAGACCACGCCCTGGCCGCAGAAGGAAGCATCGCCGTGTATGATGATGGGCAGAACCTTGTTGCCACAGGTATCGCCACGTTGAAACATCTCCGCTCGTGCCTTGCCCAGCAGCACAGGGTTCACGTGCTCCAGATGGGAGGGATTCGCCACCACGGTGATGCGCACCATGCGATTCGTCTGGCGGTTTAACCGCTCCTGGAAAACGCCCAGATGGTACTTCACGTCCCCGGATCCAGAATCGGTGGCCTCAAGACCGTGGAACTGTGAAAGAATGTCAGCGATGGGCTTCCGACAGATGTTGGCCAGGACATTGAGTCGTCCACGATGGGCCATTCCTAGAGGACGACATAGGCAAAATTACATCACAGATAGAGGTTTGATCACATTAGATTACTAACCTATTAAAATGGATTCCACGCCTTTATCGGTTGAGCGGTCTACCACTTCCTTGATGGTGGGGATCATGATGTCACAGCCTTCTAGGCCGAAGCGCTTCTCCGACGAAAATTTCTTGGCCAGGAAGTTCTCGAAGCCCGTAGAGCGAGTCAGACGCTCGAGGATTAGCTTCTTCTCCTCTTTGGATAAGTCCAAAGCGCCGGGCTTCTCGAATCGGTCGCGAATCCAGGTGGTCTTCGTCAACGACGTCATCTGCATATACTCCACTCCAATGTGGCCGCAGTAGATGCGCTCCAAGCGGTCCAGAATCTCTCTGGATGGGAATGGTTAAGCTGCGCTAAATATGAATTACATTTAAACCCACCTCAATGGCAAAAACTCCTCATCACCGCCTATCATTGTGGATGAGGGCAACTTGAACATGGCATTTAGATCGCCTGCAAGAAATATATTTTACATTCTGTGCTGGGTAAATATCAAATGATCGACTGCTCACCAAATATATATGAATAGTGCTGCCTGAGTACCTCCTTCGCCGCATTTCGTTGTGAGCCGTCTACAGAGGCTCCTTTATGAGGCAAAATAATTCCCAAAGGATCCAAGTCGGCGGCCAGGTGACCGCGTGATTGATAAGCGCGGATGATGGCCTGGATTGTGTGGTGGTCATCAATATTTTTCCAATCACTTGGAGGCGCGGAAGGAGCAGGAGCCGCGCCTCCGGATGCCGTCCTTTCGCCCAGCCGAGCCTTTAATGCTGTCCTTTCCACCGGAGCACGTCTGTACTTCCGGGAGAGCGATGCCTGGAAAGGCTTTCTTTTGGAGATTGGCCGCTCGTCTGCTCCGAAGAGCTCGTCCCAGGACTAAGCAATAATTTAAATAAATATATATATATATATTAGTTATATTTTTTATTATATATTTGTATCTTGGATCAACTCTTTATAAAACTATATAAAATTCAACCTCTACAGCTACTATAAACTTTCAACATTATATTTTGTGAGATTTTACGGTAATTAACATTAATTTTCTGTAATAAACCTCATTTTAATCACGATTATTAAATAAAATCAAATCATCAACTCACCGCATCCACGGATTTCGGATTACGCTTCCATTTGCTATAAAGGCCCTCGATGTAGGCTGCACTACAGCCATTGGCGAAGGAGTCCAGATCATGAGCACCGCAAAGCTGCGAACTAGTTTGTACGGTACGCAGGGCTAGCTGGGCGAGGATGTGGTGGTCAGTGCCCAGCAGCCCCAGCGCCAGTTCCCTCCTCATCCGCACAAGACTCCTCAGCCGACATTGGTTCATGTTCTGTATAACTATTGTTATAGCCGGTAAATTTTGAATTTGAGTTACTAAAAAGCCAAAAGTGTTCAGGGTCTGACGGCTGAGAGAGTTGTGAGCTTGGCACACATTTCGAGCTTGTGTGTCATTTGTTGCAACACATGCTGAGATTCGATCGATTCAAAGCTCACTGAGAAGGATGCAATGGATCCTTGTCGTTCTTCTTATGTTCCAAAGGCTTATTGATGGAGTTATCTTTGAGATCCTTTGTATCTGGAGCTGGTTTTTTTAGACTTTTCAATGTGATCTCATCCGAGTGTATCCACGATTTATCCCCTTCTATTGGATCCTTCTGTTCGGCATTGAAAATCCTTAGAGATCTGAATGCTTCAGGTTTTGGTTTTCCTGAATCGTGACTGAACGACATTAGACCTGATTTGGGGTTAGGTTCCAAGCTTGGTTTATCATCAGTTTTAGTATTACCCTTTTGCTTAGGCTTAAAAACTCTAACCGTCGTTTTGTAAGCTGCAGCGTTCTTTTTCGAAGTTTTTTCTAAGTTTGATGTTTTACGCTCTTCTTGGGCCATCTCAGGCTCAATCGGATCAGCCATGTCTACATCCAAAGATGTGTCATCGATATCGTTGATTAGGTCTTCAAGGCTGTCATATGTATCACTTTTATTTTTTTTATTGCTAAGAGGTATTTTTTCCTCTGATTTTGGTTTATTTGGTGATTCAGTAGGCATTGACGGGATATCCTCAGCCTGGAGTTTCTTCTCAGGGATATCTTTATCATCTTTTTGGGAAATAATAGGTTGCATTTGGCAATCCTTCGACTTGCCATCATTAGTATGGGATTTGTTGCAGTGGCTTGGTTCTGATTGCTTCTTTTGGTTTTCATCTTTCGGTTTTAAAGGCACATTATTTAATGGATTATTTGCGGTGTTGGCCACATTGCCCATTCGTTTGCTATGATTCTTTTCATAATAACTTTTGAAGTACATAGTGTTCTTTTGCTTATTATTGCCTTTTAAACACCTTTTCACTACCATTTCTGGCCTAGAAACCCGTTTAAAATTCTCCTTTCTATAAGCTTTTCTCCAATGTTTCATGAAAGTATCGAGGGATCCGTATTTCTTATTGAAATTGTTACGAACATTTCCGGTTCTTCTAGGACCCGTCAAGGTTTCCACCCCATTTGACATGCTACCTAAGTTAGCCCTGCATGATTGGTTGGGATCTTTTGGTGGATTCTTCTGTGACATTTTTCTAGTCATTTTTTTGGAAAATCGGTTTACTATTTCTTTGGCTGCTAAAACGGAACCTGGCATTTTGCTGGCCAATTTCAATCCATTAGTTGAACTGCCTTCGTGGTTTTGGATAGAATTTTTGAATGATGTGGGTACATCCTGGGTTTCTGACAGTCCTGACGTCCTGATTTCTGTTGAAAGTGAAAGCACCTCCATGTCCACCTTTTGCGGGCAAACCACGCAAGTATTCGAGTCCAACCGTTCCCTTGCCGACTCGAAAGTGCTCGACTGGTCCTCCAGTACCGGAGCAGACATTGCCGTCCTCGTTACAGGCACTGGAGATCCTTTCGATACGTCGATTGAATGGCTCGCCTTTGGTGAACATGATCCTATCTGGAAAAAAAATTATAAATAAGTTCATTTACATTTGAATATTATATTATTTAGCAAATTAAGGTACGTTTTAATGAGTTATCCTAAAAAGGCAAAAGTAAAGGGGTTTACCTTATCTGAACTTGATGCGCTAATTTCTATTCCATCCTTCGGAGGTTTGACTTCTCGGGTTCTTTGCTTGGTCTCTTCCACATTTTCGGGAGGCAAGGAAATAGAAATACTTCCTCCAAGTTTTTCATTCATGCCAAGATTAGCACTGGGATTGGTAGCGATGCGAATGGGATGCGTTTGGGATGGAGCGGGAGTAGTCGTCTCTTCTTGGTCCTCTACCAAATCCTTGAAGAATCGTTGCCAGGTCTACGGAAAGAAAGAGTTAGGGAATCTTTTGACCATACCTCACTTGACCTACTCCATGTATCGAGTTATTGTCCTTTATCCATTTAGTAAACAGACACTCCATGTACCTGGCATTCGATGTACTCCCAAGGACATCCGATTCGAATATGCCTGGACTCTGCCTTACGGGTACCTCGCTTTTGGATCCTAAGCTAAGGAGCTGACAACGTTGCGAGGTGAGTTTTAGAAATATGCGCACGTTGCTCCACGCCATTTTGGACACCCTGCTCATACGTAAATTTTGCACTTAATGGCCAAATACTAATTCTATTGCAACTTGCTAAGCATCGAATTTTATTTTAATAAAAACTTTCAATTTTGAATACAGTGGCCTGCACAACATTTTTTCACAACTGTACTTCAAAAGTGGAACCAGAACTGAACTAGAACCGCAATGGTTCCGAGGATCAATTTAAGTACAGAGTATTTTCTATATTCAAATCGCTAAGGCGTTAAAATTTGAATACTACTTTTGTCATTTAAATTTTAGCGCTCTAATACTTGAGAATTTTACCTTTACATTTGAATGAATCCTTTTAATGTGTGAATATGTTTAAAAAAAATAACAAAAATTTGCCAATTACTATTACAATTCTCTAACAAAAACTTAAAAGTTTTATCCATCAGCAATTATTTTAAACCGGAACCAGTAGTGGAACAAACAGTGTTGAAAAATGATTATTCTTAACCATTTGGCTCTTATCAGCCGACGGTCCCACTAATTAAGCCCACACGATAATAAAACGCCTGAAATTGTTTAATTTTTTTGTAAATAAGCTTGGGAGAATTACAGGAGGCGTCGTCATGAATCAGTTCCACACTCCCTCTTTCGGCGACGAGGTGTTCGAGCTGAACGACACACCGGCGGAGAGTCCGAACCAAGCCGTAAGTGGAGGAGGGCAGTCCGAAAACCAAATCCGGAGGAGCACCGTAAATGAACTCTGGCTGCATTTTCGGATCGGCGACAGATTTCACAGACGACCGTCCGCCTTAATTGCCGCGCATCGATGACTCTAATGGTTTTATAATGAGAGAGAGAGATCGAAATCGCGGTATTTGTTGTTGTGTGCTGGCGACCAGCTGGAGGAAGCCCCCTGCCCCTGCCCCATGGGTTATCGCTTGGGCGAGCGGGCCACAAACGCCGCGTCAGCTTCTTATCAGCAAACAGCACGCACACACAGTCGCACAATCAGCAGCGCAGGTTACATATATAAACACCCTCTCCCCTTCACCCCCTCGTTTCCCCCGCCCAACTGGGCTGGGCTTGGGCGAGCGATTTGTACATTAGTTTAGTTGCTCACTCTGTGATTGGGATGAAGAAGTTTCTAGTGAGCTCGCTGGGATTCCGACAATAAATCATCAAATAACCGCATGCCTTTTGTCTTGTCTCTTTTTGCAGTCGCGGAGAATGCTTAGCCTGGATCAGTCCATGTTGAACGACGATGACGAGGAGGATTGCGACACATATGGCAGCGGAGTAGGTGGAGGCGGAGGACACAGCTTGCTGGCCCAGCCGGAGCAGCAGCAGCAACACCAGCCTCTGGCACAAGCGCCACCCAAACCCCTGGCGCCCTTTGCACTGTTTTTCCGCGACACAGTGACAGCCATTAAGCAGCAAAATCCCGCCTGTTCGCTGGAGCAGATGCAGGTGATCGTGCAGACCATGTGGGAGTCGCTGGACGAGACGCAAAAGAATATTTACAGCCAGCGGCACGAGCAGGAGAAGCGCGACTATGTGCGTTTGATGCGGGGATACCGCTACCAGCTGTCCGAGTCGGAGGCCACGTCGGAGTTGGAGGCTCCGCCAGCAGTAGCTGCCCCCAGCCACAAATGGCAGTCGTTATGCCGCATCCGCTAGTCACACCCAAAGTGGAGGCTGTCGAAGCACCAGGGCAGGCAGTGACTGCCCAGCAACCGCCCCCCGAACAGATTCAACTCCTCACCGAAGCGGCGAGGGTGCAAAAGTGCACCCGAGAACAATGCAACAAGCCGGCCATTATAAATCCGGATTGGGAAGACGAGTACTGCAGCAACGAGTGCGTGGTCATCCACTGCCGGAATGTTTTCAACGACTGGGTGCTAACCATGAAGACTTCGCCCTCGTAGCCACACCACCACCACTGGCAAGTGAACCCGCGCCTAGGCTTAGTCTAGGTTTTAGCTCTAATTTGACCGCTGCACTGCTCCCCCGATGAGTCAGCGATCGCCGTGTCGTATATCACTCGGGAATATACGACTGAGAGGCAGTGTGCGATACGATTGTTATTGTAGTCCCAGTTTCGGTTGTAATTAGCATCTGTGTGGAGTCTGAATGAATGCGAGACACGATTTGTATGATACTCTAATTGTAGTAAATAAATCATAACATTAACGATAGATAATATAGAACGGAATACAAAATAAATAACATTTAGAAAATATTGAATGTGAGGCACAATGTTTATTAGTTTTCAATAGCTTCTTTCAACGTAGCTACAAATGATTGCATTTGATAAATACAATTCATATTTTAAATATAGAATAAGTAATAGATCTCTATTTTTAAGGATCTTTTGTTTTTTAGAATTTCTTGGCAATAATAGTTTTTGGTTCCAATTCCCAATACTAAAATAAGTAAAAGTCTTGGTTTATATGGTAACTTTTAATAAATACACACATTTATTTCTCTTGCACTTCATTATCAAGATATCAATTTATCAATGCCGTTGCTTACAAAAATTCACTTTCGCTCGCTTCGTTCTATATTTACCAAATAATTAAAATTTATAAATTAATTTTTTAAAATTATATGTAAGAGACGTTTCCTTGGTTGCCTTGCTGAAGTAATGCGCCATTGTTACGAGTATGATTTAAATAAACAACAGTATAAAAAAGTTCAAGCTTAAATTATTAAAGAGATGGTTTTTCAATCCTTTTCTTATATATACAGAATTGCATATATATATGTTTATTGGGCGGGCTTTGACAATAAAGCGGGATAGAGAGAATAAGACCTTAAATGCAGCCTGCAAAGCGCATAAAGCATATAGTAGAGCATCCTTGGATCCGCAAGAACGTACTTTGAGTAGAGAGTTCGGGTTACAAGCACTTGTTGCCTAGCATTAAACGTAAACATAAAGCGCACTCTAAATAATATCACCAAATACTTGTTTTCATTTTCAGTTTTTTTGTTTTGCAGTTTTTCTGGCTTATCCGCTTTGCATACAATTCATTGCTCGCTTCCCTATCGCAATAAGCTAATATAATTATACTTCGGAGTGGGTAAGGTTTAACGGCAATAACTTGTTTCCTTTGTTTGGGTTTCGGCTGTCTGGTATTTAACGTTTTTAATTATCGCGGTTGTCTGTTGGTAGTAACATCATCTCGTTATTATCGTTATTGTATAATGGTTTCATGCGCCAACTGCAACGGCAGCTGCATGCTAGATTATTGACTAGTGTTGCCTTATGGGACGTGTACGGTTCTGGATTCGGGTTCTCATCTGTTTGGGGACCATATTTGATACGACCTAGATAGAAAAAGATTATAAATGGTTTCATTTTTTATTATCTACAGCCTTGATAATATCTAGGCGATATACGCACCCCATATTGATGCTGTTGCTCCTTTTTCTTTAGTTGATTACTCCACAATCTGCAGTTCGCTGATGTCCAGGTCGGCGCTATCCTTGCAAAAGGTGCTGGAGCGCTCCAGTTTGGACTCTACACGTTCCTTGGGCACCCCACTCTCCATCTGGGCATCAATGAGCAGGTCCAGCTTCTGTTTGACTGCCTGGGCCGACTTGTATGTTCCATTCGTCAGCCCATTGGTTGCAGTTTTAGTTGGTCCACCCACTCCGTTTGTCACCGCAGTGGTTTTCTTCAGGTGCAGCGTATTGGGCCGGCGGGTGGGAATACTGGAGGGCAGACTGTTTCGCAGATTGTGCTGCTGCAGCATGCTGGACACCGCGGAATGTGAGGATGAGCGCAGGGGACCTGCGGAGGAACGCAATTGGACTGACCCACGTTCATCAGCCGGGGCTTCGGTTTGCTTCTGTTGCTGTTGCTGCTGTTGTAGCTTGTTTTTCTCCGCCCGCTTGGCTAGGATCTCGCGGGATTTGGCCGAGAGGAAGCTGTGTCGTCCCTTGTTTGGCGCTCCATCTGTCCCACCTGCAGGCACTGAAATGGAGCGCTGCTTGAACAGCTCCCGAGTGGAAAATGTGCTGCTGACGGAGGACAAACGACTGGCTGCTGACTTGGTGGTGTGCACCGAACTGGGACTTGATCCGTTGGAGGCCATTGCATTATGCTGTTGCTTCAACTGGCGGGTTGACTTGTTGCCGACCGTGGAACCTCGCTGTGTGGCCTTTATCTTTCCCGTTGCGGCTCCTTTGCCATGGCCATTTAGTTGCTGGATTCTAGCCAGTTTCGAGCTGCTCGAGAGCGACTCGTGTGAGATCGTTTTGTTGGTGATCACAGAGCTCTTCATGCTCTCCGCCAGCGAGTTCTGGTCGGAGGAGTATCTGTCCTGTGGTCCCCTAGAGCTGCTCTTAGCACGACGTGCCGGCGATGCCAAGCTGTCCATAGAAAGATTGCTGGACTTGTTGCCCAGCAGTGTGCCGTTCTGCACTCTGCGTGCCGCCGGACTCGAATTCCGTGAGCTTTCGCTGGAAGAGATGTGCAGGTTCTTGGCCTGCGCCTTTCTGCCTCCATTCGCGGGAATGCTCGAGCTAGTGGCACTGCGCACGGGTCCGGCACTATGGCCGTTTGTAGCCGACGGAGCTGCAGCCCTTGGTTTGCGGGGCTCCAAATAACGGGGTCGCACTTCTCCTAGTTTGGCAGTCACCGCAGTATGTTTGCCTTGGGCAGTCTTCGGTTCAATTGTGGGAGCCGCCACAGGAGCTGCAGGTTTCTTGTGGGTCACTGGCGGAGCTTCTGACTGGGTGCGTCGATGAAGATTCAAGCTGTTCCGCTCCGAAGCCACCTGGGAGCTGGCGCGATGAGGAACGTAGGCGCGGGAGTTGGACTTCAGCAGTTTACCTGAAGGAAAACATTAACATTATAACTGAAATGCAAAATAACACCCGATAATAGATAACTTACTGCCTCCCTCCCTGGACTCGTGATTCGCTTGGACTCCCCTATCAGCTGTTTGCACGTGATTTGCTCCACCAGACGCATCCTGCGTTTGGGTGGCCTTGTACAGCAGTGTCTCTTGAGCATGGGCTCTCTTCGTCTGCGCCTGGATGGCCAGCTTGATCTGCACGAGATCCTGGCTGCGTGTACTGCCGCCGAAGGAAAAGGCCTTGCTCACCGGTTTGCCACTTTGGCGCTTCATGTCCAACGGCTCTGTGAGGCGGGCCAGCGTTTGAATCTTCTTGCGTAGCTCCAAGTCCATGCGCTGCCAGGCGGTGACGCGCATAGCCCGTGAGCACTGTCGGATGAGGCACTGCTCTACGGCGTAAACCAATGCTCCCACCAGTCGAATGTACTCCGGTTGCCAGTCCAGCTGCTCCTCCTGTAGACCCTGCAGTTCCCGTGCGAGCTCCGACTGACCCAAACTGGCCGGCATATGGATGACCTTCGCCTGCAGCACAGTGTTCAAGCGGGTTACCCGCTGATAACTCCGGCAAGCCTGTTCCGGAGTCAGTTCAGCGGCCGTGTGTAGAAGCAGCGTCTCCAGGCGCGGGATGTGCCGGCTGCGATCGTGGCCCAGCGACAAGAAGGAATCACTGGCGATCAAACTGGCAAAGTGGTCACCTACATAGGCGTATGCTGCTTCCAAGATCTCGCGCACCAACTGCTCGCAGACGTGGCCCCATCGATAGGCCGACAATTGGGCCAGTAGATGGTCGCAGTCGAGCACCGTGTCCAGCACCGTCTCCGAAGTCTGTAGGCGAAAGAAAGGAAGCGGTAAGCACTTGGGCAAGATAATCCCTTCCAAATACTCACCAAGTAAGCGACAATCTGCTGGCGGCATCGGCCGAGAATGTCCGGCGGAAGTTGGGCGAACTGTCTGGTTGGCCACACCTTCAGGTAGTGGCGACACGTCCAGCGCAGGCACTTCCTGTACAGATCATCCAGAGCATGGTTCAGGGCCACGGGCAGCACCTGTAAGATGCCATCGGTGCACCCGGAGCAGGGCTTGTGGAAGTTGTGGCAGTAGTTCGTCTTCAGCGCATGCGAGGTGACCTCCTTGAGACCCTCCAGTCCCAGCAAATCCGCTAGAGCGGCCAGCTCCATCAGACTGATCCCATCCGGCGGATGCGAGGCACCCGAGTAGATGTGGCACAATGCAAAGTGAACCGCTGCATAGGAGTAACCCTGCAGGGAAACCACACTCTGTGATCCGTGGCCGGCCAACATGGCAGCAAAGTACTGACAACGGGAGCGCAGAATGCACTTGTGGGCGCGAATGCGTCGTCCATGCACCTCCACCAGCATGTCCGTGGCAATCTCCTGCAGGAACATCTTGAGCAAATCCTCCCCCAAACGCCTGGGCTGCCTGCAGCTCAGCGAGGATTCATCCATGCCCGATCTACTGAAACTGGATGCCAGGCTTGAATCCGCACTGAGATCCGTTTGGATGTAGTCCACCTGCTGACTCTGAACCTGCTCCAGGGTCATGCCGTTTGGCAGCGAGTTGGAGAACTCCTTCGAGAAGTTTGGAAAGAGCCGGGAGAGACTTCTTATATTGTCCACCGAGTTGGTAAAGTTCTGCAGCGTGTTGCCCGTGGATCGGGTCATAGCCCAGGAATGCGGACGCGCACGGTTCTCATCCCTGTAGAGCCTCTGACCCAGCTGCGAGCTTCTGTGGTTGTTGCCCACGCTCTTGCTCATCGAATCCGGCGACTGCAAATCGTGCTTTACGGGTTTATCCATGTCGGAGAGCTTAACAAAGCTGGAGGGGATCTGGGAGGGCAGCGGGGCCGTCTGCTCTCCATGCTCGTTGACTGTCTCAAGCAGCTGCTTCTGTTTTTCAATAGTGGCGTGCAGGGATTCCATTGTATGGCCATTGTTGAGGGTAACCTGCTTCTTCGGCGAGGCCGTCTCTTTCGCTTCGATAATTGTCTCCATTACGCTGCTGGTGCGATTGGAGCTGCTGCTCAGCTGGAGCGGTACTGATATCAGTTCCGCCTGCTCCTTGGCTAGCTGTTCGTCCTGCTGGAAAGTGAGATCGTCGGTGTCAGTGTTGGATGCGGGCGACATGTCCTTGGACAGAATGCCCTCCGTTACCGATGCCAAGCTGGATTTGTCATAGGTCTCATTTAATTGAACATCCCTTCGCCTCTTCTTGATTCTTCCCTGTGCCTGACCCTGCTCCTCCTCCGAACAGCTGCTCAATCCAGGATTGGAACCACTGAAATCGTCGTAGGGAGAAACCGAGCTGTCTATCGAGAGGGAGGAGGCCTTGGATATAATGGGCAATTTGTCAATGATGCTCATTAGTCCCGCTCCCGAATCCGTTGCTCCATTGGCAGTTAGGCTTATGGAGCGCTTGCAATCGTTGCCCGATCCGGATGCCTGCTCCGGCTGACCATTGCTGCCCCAGCTGTGACGCTTGGCGGGATCACTTTGCTGACGGTGCTGCTGCGAAAGTCGACGCAGTGCAGCCACCGTTAGCGGAGGCTCCAAATTGCATCTGTAGTCCAGGGATTTACTTTCCCCAGCTCCGGCTGACATATCCTTTTGATTAGCACTCTTGGCCATCAGAGTCTCCGTGGAACTGGCACTGGACTTCATCACCTCGGTGTCTCCCCTTCTGGAAGCCGAGGAGCTCAACGAGCTGGACAATCTCAGAGCCAGACTCAAGGGTTCCTTTCTGCCGTTGGAACGCGGTGTCTTTTGCTCCCCAATATCAATAAACATACTGAATATATTCTTGGGTTCTGGCTTCGGTTCCTCCTTGACTTCGGCCAACACCTCATCCTTTGGCAACTGTTCTTCTTCTTTACCACTTTGCGAGAGATCCACGAAGAATCCTGCTGACTTGGGTGCCGTGTAGGATTTGCTCAGCTGCGATAGAGGAGCAGCTACTGACGGTTTCTGTGGCTGTTCCTGTGGTTTTCTGTCCATGTCATCCAACGAAACGTAGAAGCCGCAGCCACTCTTGTGCGAGCTGTTGGAGTCGGAGCGCTCCCGGAAGCTGGAGGTGGTGCTGCTGGTGCTCCTCCTCCTCTCCGGCCGGCAGTCACTCATGTCCACCACCCAGGAAGCGATTCCGGGAACAGGCTTCCTTTGCAGTCCCGTCTTGACCCTCATTTCTACCCCAGCAATCTCTGCATCTTCGTTCAGGTCCTCCTCGTCATCCTCATCCGCCAGCGGGCGAGTGGGCGCAAAGTCCAGCGAAACGAATCCTCCCGAGACAATTGGACAGGTGTCTGTGCGTCTTTTGATGCTGGGACTCTCGCACTGCTTCTCTCGGAAATCCTCGATGGATGCCCCGCCAGAAACAATAGGATTGGCCTCGTCGAACTTGGAACTTCTCTTGGGAGTACGTGGCAAGGGCAGCGGGGAATCCGTAGCATCACTGCAGTAGGCACCAGAGTCCCTGTGATGCGATAGTGAGGAAGATAAAGTATAATCCCTGTGGATAGAGGAGTTATTGCTCCCAGCCGAAGCGGGTTCAATGTGCACCATCGAGTTGTGGGGCGTGGAAGCGGAGACTGCCTGGTGGTTTCTGCTCTGCTCTGACCACACTAAGCTCGGAGCCGGACTGCTGGAGGAGTAGTCCGTGGTGTAGCTGAGATCGGGATGATGCTGCTGACTCTGGTGCTGATGCTGGTGGTGGCTGAACTTGGGACTGCTGCCCAAGGGATGCACACTAAAGTGCTGGGCATTGTGCTGGAAGCTGTACGGCACTGACATGGGCGCTTGTCGCTCCTCCACCGGCTCATCCGCGGGTTCCTCCTGCTCTGGTTCTCTCGCCTGAGTCGATCTCACGCCTTTGCACCTGGCAAAGGACTTGTGAAACTGCTCCAGCTGCTCTGTGGGCGAGGGTTCGGCCTCTTCCTCTCCGGTCGCCTCTTGCCCGACTTCTTCTTCCTGACCATGACCATCTAGGCTGGGAAAGGAAAGCACCTCATCCTCGTCCCTTAAGGAAGAGGCGTCTATAAAACACGCACTAGTCCCGGAGGTGGACAAGGGCTGATCCCGCTTTTCTAAATCTCGCAGCAGAGAACTGGCACTGATGCCCTTGAAAACCGATGCGGTTTCCGTTTCCTCAGGCTCCTCGGGAGGAGCAACTGTTGCCGCTGGATACATGGACTCCCAGGAACCTGTTTCCGTTGACACCGTCGAGGTTTCCATGCACACAATCTCTTCGTTCTGGCGTTGTTTTTCCTCTTTTGAGGGTGGCTTCACCTTGCTGCCTCCCTCGTAAATCTTATTGTCCACAGAGGCACTCGAAGAGGGCAGGACATCCACGGCGGCAGCTCCGTTGCAATCCGGACTAGTCACTGGCGAGAAAGTATCCCTTTCTTCGCCCACGTCCAGCTCACAGGTTTTGGCCGATCCCGACCCGGAGGTAGATCCTCTTTGCTGCTGTGGATGTAGTGCAGCCGCTCGGATATCTGCACTGTATTGGGGCGCCGAGGAAGACGAGGACGAGGAGGAGCAGGCCGAGGGACTGCTGGCACTACTGCCGCTGCTGCTGCTGTTCGTGAGATTCGAGTAGTTCGAGTGGTTGGGCGAACTGGCGTCCACCTGCTGGTCCAATGACCTCCCAGTGGCCAATATTGGAGCCTGTTCCGGCGACAGGGGCGATGCATCCATTTCGGGACGGAGTTCGGAGTTCGGAGGGGTTCCAGGTGAGAGGGTGGAGTGGATTGGAGTGGAAACGAGGGGCACTCAACTCATCGACGCTTTTCCGGTCTAACCCAACCGCCTGGTTACGCTTCGCTGCCTGAATGCCAAGTGGTTCTCCAACTCCGAATCTCCCCCTCTATTTTTGCACTTTTTGCTGTTTTTATGGTTGTTGTCTTTTGTCTAGGGCCACATGCTGATGGCCATGCCCCCGCGCCTTCCGCTGCAGCTGGAAAACTGTCAACGGTTGCCAACTTAAATAGCAAAAGCGAAATCGATACTCGTTTATTTGCACTGTTTTCTATCTCTTGCGTCCTTCTTAGCAACAAATGCTTCTTCTCTTAATGTACAGGGTTTAATATTTCAGTTAGTCCCTTAGTTCTCAAATCACGTTGTTATTCCAGGTTCTCTTAAGAACTTCTTTAGATATTAGTTACTTCGCTTAACTTAGTTTCCAGATTTTATTCCTTCCAGTTACTCCTTTTGCTCTTTAGATTCCAATTACTCCTTTTCTCTTCGTTTTCCCTTCTGTCCAATATGATCTCTTTGAGTGGAAGACGCTTATCACTCCACCTCTCTTCTTTTAAAGGAGTACACTTTTACTTACACTCCCCCGCGTGGGAAATGCTAATGAGTCAGCTATCTTGCTCTCGCTTGCAGTTCGTTATTCGTAGATTTATTCGTTTTCCCTTTTTACATGCACCGCTCTTATTTCGCTTGTTTGTGTTTTTCCGCTGCGTTTGCTAAAGTTCACACTGCTTCTACTTCTTCTTCTACTGCTGCTGCTGATTTATCGCCAATTGTGCCAATTGTTGAGACTCCGCTGCTACTGCTATTGTTGTTGTTGTTGCACAATTAAACTGCAAAAAAAAAATAAGAGAAAAAAACATGAATTACTTCACACGGAACCGCAGGCACAAGTACATATATATATAAACAAATACACAGCACACAAAAATTATTACATTTGCTTAGCTTTATTGCATTGCTTAAATGCATTAAACTTTTTATTTCGTGTTGCCAATTATTTAAAACTTAAGTCTCATTAAGCAACGCGTTGACGCATCCAAACAGGAAATGAATAATTCGTTGATAAATGGCTGATTAACACCAATTTTTCACAATGACAAGAACAGATTGTAGCCATATTAACGGAAGAATATGGATTTTCGATTAGATATTATTTAAATAATGAAAAGGAATCACAGGTAAATTTTAATACAATCTCTTACATGTGCTTTTAATCTCCGTTTAATCAAAATGTATTTTAATTTATTTATGTTATTGCACATTATTAAACAACAATCTTCATAAAGGATATCCTTAAATCTGTTTTTAAGTTACTGAAATAAAATAAAATTAAATCCTTTTTATTTAACGGAATCTCAAATTTGTTTTCTTATTATTTGAAGTATTCTAAATATCTTTAGAAACCCAAGCCCGTTCCAACCAATAATCACTTGTCTGTGGCTTCGGCTGATTAAACAATGTGTGTGTGTGAGTGTTTAAATAAAAGCCCGACTGACGTCAATGCGTCGCACCCACCGGAATCATTAACAAAAGCATTACCCCATTGGATAAAGCACCTCCCAATGTGACAACCACCCATCCAAACACCCACAAACCGCAAGATACAATAGCAAAAGCTTGACCCTCGCCTCCATTGCTTCCTTTTTCAGTCCGGGCAAACATCTTGAATTTCAATATTCATGCTAATTTGTTATCTCGGAAGCAAGTGCATGCAAAAGTTTTGCAGGCGCTGCGTTTGAAATTCAATACAGGGAAATGACAATATGCTGAGGGCAGCGGAATGAATTAGTCGGCTGAAAACGTAAACCTCAGAAGGCTTTGGCTGTTTGCACAGTTTGGGAAAACGCCTTGAGCATTTCAGCGAACTTACGCGTAAACAATAAATATATTAAAAAAATGTTTGCCCAGACAATATTTGCACAGTTCACCGAGAGTTGACAGAAAGGTAAAGTTTGTTTGTTGAAAATAAAACACGCTTCATTTGACACCTTCGTAAAGGTTTAAACACTTGGGGCATGGGAAATTATTTTGAATTGCGTTTCACTTTAATCCCTGGGTTTTAATATGGGTTTTTTCAAACCACTTATCAATAAGTCATAAAAATTAACTAAAAACGCAATGAATAAGTTTTAGTTATCATCAGAGAACACTAACATTTCTAATTATTTAAGCAACTTATAGCACTCTTAAAAGTATAAAGAAAAGTGTAATATAATTGTAAGCAAGGAAAATCACTTAGGCACGAGCAAATTGTATATATTATATCTGTGACATTCTTGGATTGCATTTGCATACAAAGACAGAACTTATACGTCCAATCCAGCAGCACAACAAATCGTTGAACATGAAAATTAATAAGCTCCGTACTCTATCAATTGGTTATTCATGCAAATCGTGTGCAAGTCAGTCTGTCTGGAAAGCAAACAAAGAGACTCGGCTTGCGAATGTATAGTAAATCAATCAGCTGGGTAATATCGATCGTTACACATTGCCACAGATCGTATCTTGAAGAATTTCTAAGCCGCAATCCGTTGAAGTTTGGCTCAGACAAAGACATTAGTTGTGGGTTCGTTCAACCTCCTGGGAGTTGCCGACCCGAACTGAACACAAAGGCCACAGATCGCAGATATTGGGATTGGTGTCTCCGCGTACAACAGTTGCAGAATTCCAGCAGATAAACGTATAGCAATTATGTAATTTATGGCTCACTCCGCGATATGCATAAAGCGAACAGAAACAAGCTCCATAATCAGCTGAAGGAAAACGGATAAATAAAAAAAAACTCGCTTGTAACTCGATAATTGCACGTTCTGTGTTCAGGTAAAACTTTATTTTTTCCAGCATTCAAGTGGCTGAATTATAAACCCCTCGATCCATGCATAAAATTCCATATATGGAAAATGTTGATTTACTTAATATTCTTCACGAAATTCATGTAATTAAATAGCAAATAGTATAATTTAGACATTAAACGATAGTCAGTGATGTATGACTTTTAAATTATAGCTTTTATTACGGAAATCTATCAACTATTTTCTTTATGATCACCCATTTATATCAATAGAATACCAAAGTCAAGTACTCCTTAGATAGAAATATGGAAGTTTTTATTGAGCTGAGATAGGAATAAAATGGAACACTTTTATTAAACCTTTAGGACTAGAACAGAAATATTTTCAAGGAAATTCTAAAAATAGGACCTATCGATTTTGGAACCTGTTTATTAAGATGTGGCTCCCAACGTGTGACTTAATAATTATGCCATCCTATTGTAAATTATTGAGAACCGCCCACATCGTGCTTAGTGAATCTGGCATTACTTAACACCATAGAATACTTACATTTCTATATACGTTTTCATATAAAGCACATTTATCGCAGGCAGATACCAAACAAAGGTCGGGCATGAGTAATACCCAGTGCCCAAGGCTTAGAACAACGCCACCAGCCACTAGACAGACAAACCAAGTCCAAACAAGATATAAACTGTCGATAAAGTGAATAAAATGATCAAGACGGTCGCTGGCTGATTTGAATCTGTTGCCAAATATGGGCGTAACAAGTTGACGATGACGACGACGTTTGATGACGACCCAAAGCCAACGCCAATATAAGCATGTAAATTTATAGGTTGTATAAGAGGGGTTTACTTGTTTATGTTTGTTTGTATTATAGGAAATTGGAAATAAACCAACGAAAGCCAAAACAATGCCACGCATAAGGACGTGTGGGCAGCAGCTCTGGAGTTTAGAGTCAAAACACGAGAGGACTGTCAGAAATATACGATATAATTGGCACCCGGGGCCAATAACATGTGGGGAGAGCTTTGGAGAATGTTCTTTAAATCTATAATCAAATATTGTGAGGTATTTATAGGGTAGAGTAAGCGGAATGGAGAACAAGTATTAGGGCTTTCATTTATTTATATTTTTTAACAGCCAAACAAATGTAATCTTCTCTAAGCAATAGCTACTTATGTATATTCTTTTACTGAATATTATTATTTAATATTTTATTTGTCATTTAAATATTTCAATGTGATTATTTCGTTAACATATTTACAGGTCAATAAAGTCTTTTAAATTAATTTTCTATAGATTAGATACCACAAAAAACTACATTGTATTATTTTATAGAACCAAAAAATATTTCCCTTTTATTATTTCCTTATTAAAATATTCTTTTCTGTTTCGTTTTTAGTTTATTTATTAGAAACAAAGCCACAGAGTGTGTTGTGAATGTCAATGAATCTGGCACTGGCTCCATTCCCAACCACCGACATCCATCCACCCGAAACCAGTCGCCGCACCACTCGAGTGGATCCGATGGGAGAGATACCAACGATAGATAGAGCCAAGTGACAAACGATAAGTTTATAAAGGCGAATACATTGTTGCCAGCAACGCTTTGATAGAAAATATAAAAAATACAAAATAATAAAATGAAAAAAGAAAGAAATAATAATCATAATGGCCTGTATTTATAGGAGGCAAAAACGTTTTGTTGGGCGGGTCTCAAGTGGGGCGGGACAGGGAGACAGAGAGGTTCGACGATCGCGCGATGATTTGCAAATCGATGGAGCTATCCGCCATACAAGCCAATAATAACATCAAGTATCCGAACACTCACAAATTGCTGAGCAAATTGTTCGGCCAAATGATGAGCCTGCAGGCATGTGTCTAGAGATGGAAGCTAGTGATTCGAATTTTAATCGGGCTTGCATAATATCGCAATCAGCAATAAAATATTATAAAATATTATAAACAAATTTCAGCTCCGACCATTAATCGGTAACTAAATACGAGGTAAAGCTAAGATTAAGGTAAAACATTAATTTGTAAAGAAATACTGTGAAACATATGTTCAGAATCAATCATTAATTTGATAGCTTATTGCCAGTGGCATTTAAACTAAGGCTGCCTTGAATCAACTGTTATTCAAATTTGGGTAGGTTTACAGAGAAATATTACCTTGATTTTTAAGTAATAGCAAAATTAATCCTTAAATACAAGCAACTAAATTAAGCCTGCAAAATTAATTTGGATAATTAACGTTCTGTAAGATAACTGTAATGATTTGTATTTGATAGAGAAGCGAAAAGGCCATCGAACATTAATCGAAAATCAATAAAAATGCTAGCTACCCAAACACTCACAAAAGGAATAATCTTTGATACTAGATTTAGTGGAGCATTAACAGATAGGAATAACCTTTAATCGTCAGTAACTAAAGGACCATTATCCGCTACACTCAATAACTGCTCAAAGACCTTGCTGGAAAGTGCCATAAACCTCAAGGTGTTTTCCTCGAAAGGATTACCACTCGTCACGCTAACATCTCTAGCCCCAAGTCCAAACAATGCGTTGTCGATTTGGCGTTTGGGGCAATTATGTGCGCCATGCATGGACAATCGTTTGCTGGTTTTTTCGAGCTGGCGGATGAGTAGCATTTGATGAGCGGCAAATAAAATGGAAACAGCAACACAATTTAAACTTCGCGTGCGAGTGGAAACCAGAAGGAAAAACTATAGAATTCACTTTCGTCTGTGGCCCAGAAACCAACAAACCGAATTGAGGCGTTGTCTGACCAGTGGCCACGAATATTTTATGGGTTGTTTGTGGGTGCTGTGGTGGCTCGTTGGCAAGTGGAAACCACTGCAAGCCACTACATGTGGGTCTTCATTCAACGTTCAAGCAACGACTTACTGCACTTACAGCCAGGCCAAAAGGCGAGAGCTCTGAAAAGCGGTTGCGAGGTCAGTAATGGCAGTGATTTAAAAGCCAACCTCCTCTGCCCACTTTACACGACAAAAGTAACTGATTTAAAAAAA